GTCTGAAAGGAAACAACCATTAAAAAACAATAAGCCATGTGGGACATTGGAGATACAGCCAGGTTTCAGAGCTGTTATGACCATGGATGGTCTAAGGGAGAGGGGCAGTGTAGCTCAAGGAGAGGATGATGTATCAGAAGACAGAAGCTTTGGCAGAGAAAGCATGTTTCCTAGGTCCCATCAGATGGATGGGACCTGGAGCATGCCACCTCTAGTCAATAGAATAGTCCATGCAAAAACCATGGAGAACAGCTGGTCCTTTAGCTAACCAGGCCCTAAGCCACAAAGGGCTTATTGGTCATAATTAGTACTTGAATTACATCCTTCCCTTGACTGGTAACCATTGCAGCTCATGGAGCGAAGCTATTACAGTGACCTGATGAGATATACCCAAAATATATAAAATATGTAAAGTAAAACATATTTTATTTTAAAGTAATTCCATTTCAAATTTGAAGCCATTAGTTTGATTTGAAAATGGATTGTTTAAACCATTGTGGTGTCAGCGTTCCAGAAAAACCCCAACTCCAAGTAAAGACACGGAAGCAAGCATTTTTCCAAAGTTCTCTTTACTAGAATAGGTAAACTGGCACATCTGGGAAAACCCGAATCTGAAAAGCCCGGGTTTTCCTTCAGTAAGTCAAAGCTCCCAAAACCATCCCCTTTCTCCCCAGTCGATCACATGCTACAATCAACGTCCGTTCCATCTTGACCCAGCCCCCTGACCACTCCTTCTCCAGATGCTGGATCGCCCTGACCTTGACAGACAGGAAGAATGCTATTATGTCTACTAACAACCCCTCTCCTTAATCCCCCCTCCTACTTTCCCACACATGAGAAGGTGGCAGCATCGAAGCTTCCGGCCTAATATGGCTTCCAAAGCTGACATGTGGAAGTATTTTGAGCTTGAAATGCTTCCAAAATAGTCCAAAACTCAAAGCCTTTGTATACCTCTCAGAAGAAACTATCCGTAATTGGATTATATTAATAGTATTTTTAAATGTTATCTTCTTGGTAATATCTGCTAACCCCCATATTTGATTCCATTAACATTGCTATAAAAGTTCAGTTGTTTAAACATACCCTGAAAAGGCTTAAGTATATATATTCCAAGGAAACTCAAAATATCCTGCTTTGTATATAAGCGTGCCACTTGATGTGAAAATGCACTAACTGGTTTGAAAATACTATTCTTTAAAGTTCAAATAGCACAGTCCTGCAGCTTTTCACATCTCACATTTATTGCCTTAGCTCATGTGCTTTTCCAGATATGGTGCTGACTAGTTTTTGGCATTATTTGTCCAGGAAATAGTATTTCATTTCATGCCTTTCTTTTAATATCTATTATATGATTTTTAAAAATCCTCTGTATTGCCAAATACTCCTTACCCAACATGGTAATTCCTACATTTCTACTTGAAGATCTACTAGCATTCTCTTCTTAATAGATAGGGAACAATAATTACATTTATGTTAAAATTGTAACATTAAGGGGCTGATGTATAACGATTAAAAAAAATATTTGGTGAACAACAACACACTAACAACCTATGTCTAGAAAAACAATTAGAATGCATAATTCCTGTTCAAGTCAAAAGCCCAACATATGTAACCAAATCATTCAATCTCTTGAATTCAGTACCTGGATGTTTGAATCATCATTAAAGATGATAAACTATTGCATCGTTTTAATTATTATAAAATATAAATTCAAAATTATAAATATGAACATGGTCTCTGCTGACTCATAACTGAGTAGAAGTTTGCTTCTAGAACAGCAGAAATTTAGCTCGAAGTGGAGAAAGCAGCTAGGAGAGAAAAATAAAGGCACTTTAAAAGCACTGATAGGAAGAAGTAGAGAGGTGTTTTCTGTTTTAGTTTTGAAATAATTGTAGAGATCAAAATGCGATATGCACACCTGACTAAACTACATAAATATGCACAGGACAGATCTCATGACTGATCCTTATCATTAGTTGTGTGAGAGAGGTAAGATATTTATGCTGCTTTTTGTTTTGGACCTAATATCTATAATGTACTGCATGCCTATGTTTGGGTGTAGTGTACACAGTAGTCCGAGGACTACCTCTTTATATCAGTAATTCCTCAGTCCCACAACGTGTCAGTGCTTAACAAAGGGAATCTTGAATTGCCTTTGGAAACCAACTGACAATACAGCCATGTAGCAGTGGTGACACATGGGCAGACAGTTTTCAAGCTAAGTGTTCTTGCAGCGACATTAATTATTTTGGGGGGGAAGGGGGGGCTCTTCTTTCAGCACAGGTGAAGAAGGAAGCTGCACTGATTGCTCCCCTAGTTAACTTGTTCTTTCGTTAGAAATCCAGAGGCTGACTATCTTAAATAGGGGTTCACAGCTGTGAGGGTGACAACCTAGAAAACCAAAAGTCAACCCAACACATCCAAATCAAGTGTCTTGCATACCCTTACGCTTGAAGATTCATGCCTACATCAGTAGAAAAAGGAATGTTGAATATATGTTTTACATAGGGATACTAAAGCATTTGCTTAGCATCACAAAACTGTTCTGAAAACTGCTGGCAGCAATATGTAGTCTGTGTTTCCCACAAGCAGCAAAGCCCTTATTCTCAAACAAAACAAGGTACATGCAGCTGTATTGTGGGTGTACAAAATTTTCAGAACACACATATTTTGACTTTTGCTCAAAACACTAAGGAAATAGCTGCTTTGAAGTCAGCATATTTCAAGCTCAGAACATTTAGCACAAAGTCTGTAGAGATTCTCAGTCATCCAGGTCAAGGTTGTCCCAAAGGTGGCAACTGGACTTTCTTGTTTTTTCTTTTGAAGACGTTTTGCTATACAATTTGGGATGGACACCCTTTGAATGGTGTGGGAGTAGGAATGGATTTCCAGAGGAAAAATTGCAGACTACAGGAACCAGGAGCACTACTCAAATGACCCTGAAGACACAGATAAACCTCCAAGTGCTTCAATGACCCTCTAAAAGGATGCAAATGACCAGCTGTCTGCAAAGAATATAAAACCTTCCATTTCCCACTATCCTGTCAGAGCTGAAGAAGCTTCTTGAATGAGAAGCTAAATGTTTTCAAAAGAAAAAAACGAAGTCCAATTGCCTCCTGAAAAAGCACATTTGGGAGAACATTTTTACCAGCTCCACAATAAAATGTGAGGACTAAATTCTCTCCATTATTCATTTTAAGACATCATCTTGTAAGACAAGATGGTGAATTACCCTGGAGGAATAATGAAACACTGAAAGAGCAGAACAGTGAAAAAATACGTAATTAGGAGCATATTACCTGGTTCCATACTTCTTGGCATAATTTATTGCTACTTAGACTCCTTTGTAAGGAATGAGAAAGTACATTAATAAATAAGGTTTACTTGTCATGAATTAATTATATCCATAATTTATTAAACCAGTTAGAACTGGTTTCCAAAGCAGCTTGCAATTAAAATATCCAAACAGATACTTATCTCCATCATAAAGTATAGTTATGTCTGGAGCAGTTTTTTAATCCTAGGAGTTGCTGACTTCATCTTGATTCAAGGGGCTTCGCATAGAACAAATAGAAAGATCTGCAGATGAATTCAAGGGCCTCCCCAGATAATTTTATTATTCATAGTTATTAGGTTAGCATTACAACCTAGCTTTGTAGCTGGAAGTAGAATAAAATATAGCTATCTGAATTTTCAAATTTGAGGTGGCAGATTGACATATGTTGATCTGTCTACAGGATTGATATTTCAACCCTCTGTTTCTCAATTCATAAAGACAAGATCAGTCTAGTTCATTGTTTTGTATTTTTTCACAATAATAGACTTTTGAGGGGAAAATTCTGCAGGTGCAAAAAACCAAGTAGAAAAAATTCAAATATCACTATAAATACATACATTCTTTCTAAAACAGATTTTTAATTCCCAATGTATTTATAGGTCATTGATAATAATTTGAGCAATTGGGTTTAAAGGAATAAAGCCATTCAAACAATGTACTCTCTATATAAGGAAAAATGTTGACAAGGATTTGAGAAGAATTTGGGCAGGGGGGATTTTGCTATCCAATTACATATATTAAAATTTCCTAATTCAAGGAAGAAGCTGATTTTTGTCATTTTCTTGTTCACATTGAACTGTCCCATAGTGTTACAAGGATTCTCCAGCTTTCTGGGACAGATTGACGTAGCGTGATGTCTGTGTGCATGCATGTGCATGTCTTAACTATAAAATTCCTGGAAATCAACTCTCATTCTGATCAGATGAGCATCTACTGGGCCAAAGAGCCTTTTCTTTGCAGAGACACACCATTAACAGTTTCCATTTAGTTTATCTTCTCTATTTTTAGCATGTGAATATATATCCAACTTGTGAAATCAAAGCCAGTAGTTAAGGGAGGTTATATAGTGACTGCTGTTAAAGGGACATCCAGTCCTATTCCTTTCTGTATAATGTTTGTTTATACCTCTTGTATTGGTATAACATTATTTAAAAATTGCTGAAAAGAATTACTGAGATATAATGCTGTCTGTCTAGATATTTGCTTTTTAAAAATTTTTATTGATAATCTTTTGAGATTTAAAATCCAAAGAAAGAGTGAAACCTTGTGGGTGCTGCCAGTTAAGCATCTTTTAATACCAAGTTCTGTGTGATAAAGACTTTACAGATTGTGCTCATTCAACTGCCATTCATTCAGCAATTGTTCAAACTTATGACAGGTCCTCGTACTTACATTGATCACAGCATCGCCACAGTTATGTGATCATCATTTGATGGCTTCCTGTTACCAAATCAATGAGGAAACAAGTGGTAGGTTACAAATTATGAACATGTGGCATCCTCACTTAACCCACAGTGATTTGCTGAATGATGACAACTGGAAGTGCCAAAGTAGAACTCTGTCGCTAAGTAGAACAGTCATATGACCACATTGCTTAGTTATGGAAATTCCAATCCCAATTACCATTCTTAAGTGAGGTCTGTCTATCTCTTTTGCCTTATAGGGATCCTGCCTGTGTACCACAACATGTTTGCACTAATGAATGAGGTTGACCGATGTTGGTATCCTCCAAATTACACCTTCCAAATAGATGGATCAGCTACTGTCACTGTACTCTACCGAATAAGGTAATGCTAATTGTGGTTTAATTGGAAGTAAATGGGACTCTGTTTGGAGTGAGTTTGCAGTGTTTTGTTCCTGAAAACTAAGCTAATATTTCTGGAGAAGGTTTGTGTCAGAATTTGATTTTACTAATGTATCATTTTAAAGGACTTTTTTCAGTCATATATAAAGAAGGAACTTTAATCAGAGAACCACAGATATCAGTTAATGGTTTCTTTAATCTGAGTTTCTAATATGTGGATATAAATAAGAATTAACAGGAATGCTGAATTACCACCAGCTTATCAAATACTTAGGAGCTGAGGGCTTAGCTGTACAAGGAAACAACAGCCAATCACCAGCCATCAACACACCAATCAGCCAATAGGAAGGCACCATGTAAACATGACTCATAGAACAGCCCAAAACATGTATTTCAGTAGAGAGAAATTTCCTGAAGATAGGCTCCAGCACGAGTCCGAAAACTCAGAAGAGTAAATCTCTGGTCCCGGTGGTTTACGAATCTCTGGTCCCAAATTCGACCTCATAAATAAGAGTGTTTCATACAAAGAGCAGTATATTTTTTTAGCCCTTTACTGACAATCTTGAACAACAGAGTCACTCAGAGATTTTAGGGCAGCATGGCTGATAAAGATTCTGTAAAACTCTGGGAATTTAATTTCATCCATCTTGAAATAGTTTAAGAGTGTCAGGATCAGTGCCCAATGCAAGCCTTAGTTGAAGGATATAGAGCATGGGTGTCAAACTTGCTGCATCACATTGCTGTCACGACGTTTTTTCCCTTCGGGGAGCTGGGGTGGGCGTGGCCTGCACATGATGCATCTGGCCCACAGGCCACCAGTTTGACACCCCTGATATAGAGGATTTGCCATGGTGGCTCAGTGGTTAGAATGCAGTATTGCAGGCTAACTCTCTGCTCACTCCAGAAGTTCAATTCTGAGTGGCTCAAGACTGACTCAGCAGTCTATCTTAGAATAACTTTATTGTCACTTTGAATGTACACTAATCGGCATACATTAAAATGAAATTTCATTGCATACAGCTCTCAAAGGGTCTCCACCTCTAATATACACTACATAAACATGATAAGATAAATAAATAAGTATATAAATAAATACAAAATCATGCATGTACCACATATATTATATGACACGGAGAAACAACACAGTCTAGTTCGAATGTATACATGTACATGGCGATAGAAACAAATCTTGTGAATTTACCAGATGGATGCCATAGGGAACAAAGCTGTTACAGTATCTGGAAGTCCTGCTGGAAATACTTCCAAACCTCCTTCCAGATGGCAGAAGCAGATTGTAAAATGGTTGTGTGGGGTCTCAAACAATGCTTTGAGCTCTAAGCACATAGCGCTTATAAGCAATATCCTGAATGACAGGAAGCGAGCTTCCTATAATCTTCTCAGTTGTCCTCACCACTCTTTGAATGGACTTTGAGGCACTGCTGCCACCAAACCAAACAGTGATGCAGTTTGTTAAAACACTCTCAATTGTGCCTCTGTAAAAGTGGCCAGGATAGAAGGAGAAAGATGTGGTCTCTTCATCTGATGCAGGAAATGCAGACACTGGTTTGCATGCTTCATCAAGGATGACGTGTGGAGAGACCAGTTTAGATTGTTAGTTATCTGCACCCCCAGATACTTAATACTTAATACTGTTGACTACAGCTGCATCCTTGATACTGAGTGGAGTATGACCATGCCAGCTCTTTCTAAAATCTATGATGATCTCCTTTGTTTTATTAACATTTAGAACCAGGCTACTTTTATTGCGCCAATCCACTAGAACCTTCACCTTTTCCCTATGCATCTTCATTGTCGTCCTGAATAAGACCCACCACTGCCGTGTCATCTGCATACTTCACAATATAATTTGTAGCAGATTTGGCACAGCAGTCATGGATATCAAGGTATAGAATAGAATAGAATAGAATAGAATAGAATAGAATAGAATAGAATAGAATAGAATAGAATAGAATAGAATAGAATAGAATAGAATAGAATTCTTTACTGGCCAAGTGTGATTGGACACACAAGGAATTTGTCTTGATGCATACACTCTCAGTGTACATAAAAGAAAAGATACATTCGTCAAGAATCATAAGGTACAACATTTAATGATAGTCATAGGGTACAAATAAGTAATCAAATCATATTAGGAAACAGTCAATATAAGTCGTAAGGATACCAGCAACAAGGTTACAGTCATACAGTCATAAGTGGGAGGAGATGGGTGATAGGAACGATGAGAAGATTAATAGTAATGCAGACTTAATAACTAGTTTGACAGTGTTGAGGGAATTATTTGTTTAGCAGAGTGATGACATTCGGGAAAAAACTGTTCTTGTGTCTAGTTGTTCTGGTGTGCAGTGCAGACTCAAGACACAGCCCTATGGGGAAGCTGTACTCAAGAAGATGCAGTTGGAGACTTTTCTTCCAAGTCACACAAACGGGCCTATCAATAAGGAAATCCAGTATCCAATTATATAAAGGAGTATTAAAACCTAATAGGCCCAGTTTGTTCACCAAATGCTGAGGAATAATTGTGTTGAACGCCAAACTGAAATCAATAAACAGCATTTGTACATGAGTATTCTTCTCCTCCAGGTGTGCCAAGCTAAGATGAAGCACATAGGAAAGTGCATCATCTATAAAGCGGTTCTTCCAATAGGCAAACTGTAATGAGTCAAATGTAGGAGGAAGGCATGACAACATATAGTCTTTTACCAACCTCTCAAAACACTTCATCATATTGGAAGTGAGTGCAACTGAACTCGGTTCCTTCCTGGACTTCCTAGGTCAGTAAAATGAGACCCAGATTATTGGGGGGCAATATGCTGACTCTATAAATCGCTTAGAGAGAGTTGTAAAGTACTCTGAAGTGGTACATAAGACTAATTACTATTGCTATTTGTTGCCTTTTATGATCCTTATCATTCTTTTTACTCAGAGGTAAAATTCCGTCTTTATGTACCCTTCAGCATAAATGACTTACGGGCTAATAATAATTTCTGGTGCTTTATATGGCTCTAACCCACCTGGGCAATAGTATACAGTAGTCCTCGTTTAACCTTCACTCATTCAGCAACCGTTTCAAGTTGCTATAGCGCTGGACAAGGGGTATGTAAGATGGATCGTCATAGATGCAGCCTTTGGTCATTTGATCGTGATTCATGCACTTAGTGACCATCTTGCAATTATGTTGAACCATCTTGTAGCTATGTGATTGCGATTTGTGACCTTCACTGTCAACTTTTGACAAGCGAAGTCAATGGGGAAGTGGGCAGAAGCCCACAATTGGCAATCACATGATCACGGGATGCTGCAATCATGTGGAATTTGACTAAAATGACAGCAACTGAGACAGCTGAAAATGTCATCATAAGTTGGCATAGTCACATGACATTGTATTTAAAGCTGTGCCCCCATGGCGATGGAATTGCTGGTCATAATTATCACTGATAAGAGGACTACCTGTGGCTATAGGCAATCTTAACAACTGAGCTGTCACTTCCATTTGGCTGTTGCAGTTTCTTGTATCCTGATTAGGTCTGCAGTTGGGGAGGGTGAATTGTCACCCCAGCTGAGACCAAAACACCTCATATCAAATCAAAACTTGAAATTATGTGTCAAAATTAGATCTGGGATATTTGGTACTGCCTATTAAGATTGGACATTAGGCAGCAGTGGGGCTTAGTATGTCAGGGGTGTCAAACTCAAGGCCCGCAGCCCACATCTGGCCTGCGGGGTTCTTATATCTGGCCCACGGAGCCAACCTGGAAACAACGAAGGACAGGCCCACGGTGGTTCTGCCAGTGAAAATGGAGCTCGGGAAGTTGCAGTAGGCCGTTGCGACCAAAAATGCAGCTCAGGCGCCCCTGACACGAGTAATGTCAAGCTGGCCACACACGCCTTGCCTCCCCAAGTCAAACCCAACCCTGATGTGGCCCTCAATGAAATCAAGTTTGAAACCCGTGATGTATGTCATTGAGTGAAACAAAAACATTTCAAAGGGATAATAAAGGAAAAAGGAAAAAAATAATGTGCTATGTCAATAACAGTGTTTCATAAAAAAATTTCCCTCAGCATCGCTTTTAGTTTTTTAAAATTATATTTACTGTAAATTTGCTGTACCGCTTTTTATGATTATTTAATGGGATTTTCATATTGTATTATTTTTCAACATAGACTGCCAAATAATTCTGATTTTGAGTACCCCTGAGAGGATCCTGGAGGATCTCCAGGAGTCCTACAACCACATTTTAAGAAACTTAGCCTAGAACATTGAATCGTGCCACAATGTAATTCAGGCTGTGATAGAAGAAGTATGACATGCAGAATGTGAAGAGACACTTGTGCATTGTCAAAAATGGCAGTTCTTTTAGTATGTTAGGATTTACATCATTACACTGTAGCTTCTGAGCAAGCAAAGTGCAGATTGAAGAGTCACTCTGCAGATATATTTATTTATTTATACCCTGCCTTTATTATTATTCAGATCTGAAAAATAATTTTGAGGTAATGTAAGTATTTGCCTCAAACTGGAAGAGTAGTTATTGGACATTCCCACATCATAGTGCCCACATGATGATTGGTCTTTGGTCTCATGCATAAGTGAAATTATTCCGTTCCTTATCAGATAGCCGATACGGAAAACAATCTACCTTTTCTTCACAGCTTAATAATGTAACCCGATAGCAGTTGTGAGAAAATTTTATTCTCCAATCCTACAGAATCTAGAATTACATTGATATACATCAGCAGTTGTACCATGATTAATAGTTTTCTCTAGAGAACTACTGGTATATCTGCCTTCTCTTCTCACAAGCCATATTCTTAGATGTTCTTACTTTCTTCTATACCAGAAGTTTATTTAAGCAGGAATACAAAGCTTTTTCTTAAAATGGGCTTAAGAAAACATTGAGAAAATAACAACTGCACCGATCATAAGGCTGTTTCAAAAGTCTGATTTTCAAACTTGACTACATTTAGCATAATAATTTATATTATAGTTGGTTGCATACTCATTGTGTATGTATATACACACACACACAGAGCGAAATACGACTTACGCATCATCACAAAATCTCCAGAATTGTAAAGCCTACAAACTTAAAATTTGTCACGTATGTTCCTCTTGGCTTCTAGGTGCTCAAAAAGAAAGGATTTTTTTGAAATGACCATCAGAGCATTAGTATTTCCTATATTATTATTAACACACTCTGATGCTAAGGAGTTCTACTCCCCCTCCCAACCTGAAAAGAAATCTGTTCCAAATGCAAAACACAAGCATAGGAGAGGAGTTTCAGTTTCAGTTTTACTCTCACAGTAGCAAGCAGCTTTACTACAGAACAGTTGAGCTAAGCCACGGCCAGGCTTCTTCCTGTTTCCTTGCTCACACAGCAAATACTGTTTCACTTTCCAAACAGCCCTCTAATGTTAAGGAGTTCTACTCCCCCTCCCCACTTGAAAAGAAATCTGTTCCAAATGCAAAATACAAGCAGAGGAGAGGAGTTTCAGTTTCAGTTTTACTTTCACAGCAGCAAATAGGATAAGGTACGGGAGGCTTCTGTGGGGCAAGCCTGAGGGAGAGAAGGGGATAGGATAGGAGAGACCTCTGTGGGGCAAGGCTGAGGGAGAAAAGGGAATAAGATAGGGGAGGCTTCGGTGGGGCAAGTCTGAGGGAGAGAAGGGGGATAGGATAGGCTTCTGTGGGGCAAGGCTAAGGAAGAGAAGGGGAGAGGAGAGGCTGATCGTAACTACTTATTAATTTTCAAATTGTGTCGATTTATCAAGCCCAATCACATAGTTATCTTATTTCAAATTGAAAACTACTTTGACATATACCGGTAGGTAGGTAAGTATACTTTATTGCGGTCATAGACCAAAGAACCAAAACATCCAAGGCACATAGCTGGCACACAACCAGACTGAAGTGCCATACGGCAACAAGATCAGTGGTGGAAACCACTCCGTCAAACTCACAGTTTCATGTATTTTAAATTTTTAGCTCCAGTCTATATGGACTATAGTCGATTAAAATTGTACATAGGTAGAAAATACTATATTGCAATTTGCATAAAATCCACACATTGGCACTTTATACAACCATCAGCTGACTCAACCACTGGCAATCAATAAAGCTAACCTCAGTCAATGGGTCCAGCCCATCCCTTCCCCCGGCTCTTACATCCCAAGACTGCAGCAAAAATTTTTTGCTACCTTTAATGTAATCTTAGAATCAGTATCCTGGAGTAAGAAGCGAAGACTAAGATTTTCAGATAATCCAGGAAATCTTTGGCAAATGGGAGAGAAAAGTTCTGACCTTACCTCCCGATAATGGGGGCATGTAAATACAATGTGAGCCAACGATTCCGGAGATCGACCATCACATGAACAGTGGGTGGATTTCACACCTCCCGAGCACCTGCTATCTAGGACATTCGATACCGGTATTAAATTACTGCTTGGTTTAATAAAAAACAAAATGCTAAAATTGTGGTGTGAATATTGTTCTCATGAGTTTTGCGTAGCACCCACATTTATGAAGTTTACTTTCAAAAATTTAGAGGTAACAATTTAAAAAAAATAAAACCATTTTGATTGACCGACAGAATAACATACATATTCAAAACCTTAATTTTCTCTCATTTAGATTTTAGTAACTTTATTCTGTAAAAAAGTAAAAACTTTAATATGTGACAAACTGTTTCCATACAGATTTTATTTCCCACACTGGTATTCTAGAAACAATATACGAGCATATCGGTATGGCGTTTCTCGAAGTGCAGAGAGTCCCGTCCTTGATGATATTGTCATGTCTTACCTATTTGCTCAGGTAAAAATTGTTAATTTATTAGATAGGTCTATAGCTATTTACTCCTAGATTGATTATGCTTATATTGCTTATCTAAAAACACTTGAAAGGTTATACCCTTCAGTATAGCAAGATTGGGAGTAGCATCAAAATACTGCTGAACAGTGTGATTTGGACTGATTCTTATGGAAGGTTTTTCAAGTTACAGTAAAAATAACCCACAGTGAAACACTAATCCTGAGTTCTCACTCTTGTTTTTGATTCAGTGGCGAGAAGATTTTGTCCACGAGTGGGTAAAAATGGCTGTGACTCATGAAACACAGGAAGAATGTCTTGGAATGGCCGTCCTTGATATGATGAGAATAGCCAAAGAAACGGACCAAACTATATTATCCATTTACAATTCTGTAAGGTAATTCTTTTTTGAAAAGACAGATGAATCGCCTATACATCATGTGTAAAAGTACATTCTCACTCTCATATATGCTATCTAGATAGATCACTGCAATTCATATCTAAGTATTGGTATTAGGTGGCAAAGGTTAATGCCCCTGCTATAGATGAGAGTAAAGTTAAAAGAGTAATGACAAAGAGTTGTATCAAGGGGAATTTCTTCTTTCTGTCATAATCTTCTACTTTCTTTAACAAAAACATGCATATCCATTAGGTTTAGAACAATAACTGCTGCTGAACCTATTAACTGTTTTTCACAACCGGTAGTTGAGGTTTTCAGATCTGTTGGCAGAAGCCCCAAACTGTAATTGTGCAAGCAGAAATGCCAATCCTTTCTTCCTTTTGCACACTCTCTCACACACACACACCATCCATCCCAGCATTGCATAGTCATCTGTTTTATGCAGAAGGAAGGATGGGTGGGAGCTCTATTTTGTTCACACGTTGAAAATTAAAATCAACGCACAGTGCTGTACTTTTCCCCAAAGCTTTCAGTACAGTATGTACAACTCTGAAAGATATGACTGACCTACAGCATGTCAGCAGTTTCATCTCCACAGTTCTAAAATGTACATATTGTCCATTATACTACATTGGATTGCAGAAATGAGATATTGACAGATTTGAAGGAGCTAGTAGTGTGCTTCATTTTATTGGAAAGCAATATCCAAATGCAAGCGTCTTGAATTGTTTTTTAAATCTATATTTCAATACAATACAGTATATTTTCCCCTTCTGCTTAAGTTCTTAGTTTTGTTGGCTGTAGATAGAATATTTGGTGAAACAAATGCTCCTTGATTTTTTTCTGTAGAAAAATAACTGTTTTTGAATTGCTGTTAGTGATGTTTGATTACTCATTTGGTAGTTCTTGTATTCACAGCTACAAAATGTTTTTGCCAAAATGCATCAGAGAAAAAATCCAAGATTATCATATTTTAACAAGAAAAAGAATAAGGTACAGGTTCCGGAAATTTATTCAGCAATTCAGCCAGTGCAAAACAACTGCCAGAAATCTGAAACTGAAGTATCTCATTAATTTGGAAAACCTCCAGTCTGCCTTTTACTCAGAAGTGTTTAAAGTGAAGGATCCTGGAAGAGAACCTTCAAATGCAGAATCTTTTGCAACCATTATTATAAGTGGAAATGGCGGAATACAGTGTCCCAGAGGAAAACAAAATGCCAGTGAGATGCTTGCAGATGAGGTAATATTTGATTATGTTCTTTCATGCTTAATTCAGGAGAAACCTATTACGATGTACCTGGATGACAGAATGACTTTGCTTTGTCATGAGAATGCATAGTAACTAATTAGAAACAACACTGTACAGTGATTAAAAATTACACAGTAGCTAAGTAGATAATTTCCCAGAAGATAATTAATGGGCAGAATGGAAGATTGAAAGCTTTATAAATCTTAGTTGGCACCTGCCCTTTCCCCACAATCTCAATTATGCAGGAGCTTGGTTAATCTTGTGGAGTTCCAGCTATATGTTGCTTCTTAATCTTCATATAGGCCTACACTCACTATAGGCCTACGCACAGTAATATACATGTAGTTCTTCTTAATTTGTGCCGAAAACCAGCAGAATTGCAAACTTGGACTACTTAAGATTACCAGTATTGTTACTGCAGAGAAAACTGGTTTAGCAATAGAAATTATTGTAAAACGGCATTTTCAATTTTTCACTGTGGTATTGGAATATAAATTTTCCTTTAATGTTCAGTCTCTTAACAGCAATACTACAACTTTGTATTTCATGAGGTTTTCCTTATATAACTACAGAAGAGAAATGTTTGGAAATTGTTTCACCACAATTTGCAGTTGCTGCTTGAGGATGGAGTAATCTTTCAACAGTTATTCAGATGGATTCCTTCTACTTGTTGACCTTTGGAAATCTTTCCAAATCTTTATTAATTTTTTTAATCATATGGCTATATTCCAATCCCTATTTCTGCTGGGCTGCAGATGTTGTAAGGGAGCAAGTGGAGGAGGGATGTTCTCCTGTCCTAAAGATCTCAGTTAATGCCACATAAACTATCATCACATATATTTATTAGCAATGGGCCCCCTAAAGTGTTTGGCAGGTCAGATCTATAATCATTAAATTGGAATTGCATCAAATCTCAATCTAAATATTTAAAATGATTATCTTCCAAAGCAACATTGTTTTTTTGATCTTGTTTTTGCAGGACATACAAACCTACTGTGATTTTCCTGATATTATAGATGTCAGTATTAAGCAAGCAAATCAAGAAAGTTCTGGAGAAAGTAGAATTGTAACCATTCACAAACACAGCAAGAATCTGGTACTGTAGCTAACTTTGGTGACTTTGTGCTATGAGTATTAATTGGTCAAATAGATTGGATAATATGCTTTGCATTTTGGTATCTTTGGTATCTAATACAGCCATAGAAGGCAATCATAGAAACAGTTATTTCTACAATGTGCAATAAAATTATCCAGTTAGAAAAGCTTTTAAGGGTGACATCAAAACCCTTACTTATTCTCTTACAAGATTAATGTGGGTGATTGTTCTATTTGCTAAATATCACAGTCAGCATTATACAGTGTTTCAGTTTCCAATCTGAGAAACATTTCGAATATGTGGATGGGAGGCTCAAATATAACAGTCACCTACCTGTTTGCTATTCTTTAAATCAACTACATTGCTTTCCTATTCCCATACACAGTTGTGGCTAAAGATACAGCTATTTTAAAGAGTTGCAGGGAGATACCACATTTATAATCCGAGATACTCTGAATCTTGTTTTTGGAAATGAATTTGAAGTAATATATTATCTACTATGATATCAGAGATTTATATAATATCTCTATAATATTAGAGATTTCTATTCTTTTTTTTATTTTATTTTTTATTTTTAAACAAAACTTAAAACAACCATCATCCATTACAATTACAGAAACTCTATCAATCGGTTACAAATCTTTTGTGCTTAATCCCATATCCAAAATTCTCTTATTTGACAATTTATTATATTCCTTTGTATTATTATTCTCATTTACCAATTATTTAACAGTGGCTTATCTCCCATAAAAAATCCCGCTTTATATATTTTATCATTACATCCATTTCATATTTCATTTCCATGCTTTATTATCTAACCATTGACAAAATAAATCCCATATCAAGTAAAATTGTTTGTCTTCCTGTTCTCTAATTTCAAATGTCAATTTGCTCATTTCAGCACATTCCCAAATTTTCTAGAGATTTCTATTCTTGAGGGTAGAAAACAGGGAAGCACATATCCCGAAATCCATGTCTCATTTCAGTGTGGAAATATTGGAGGGATTTACCTATTGGTATTTGTATCTAAACAGGCCTAAATAAGATTGACATGTAAAGTATTCATGTTTATTCCTTTTCCTCACATAAGAGCATCCTTACACGATTTTTTTAAATGATAGTGTGCAAATTTTCGTTCCACCTCAGTTGGATAACTCTTGATAAATGACATGTTTTCTAAGCCTGTGTAAAATTGCTGATACCCTTGTAATTGTAGGACTTGAATTATGTTTTGTTCTGAAAGTTGATGGTTTTGACATAACAATCATGTACTCTAGATATTAATTACATGTACAGAACACATATTTTTATCTACAGATAACTATGGGGAATGACTCATATACTAAGGCTTCTTATATATGTATGAGATCTAATACACACTGATGTGGACCTTTTAAAATCCTGAACTGACTGGGCCTAAATCAGGGCCCATAACTATTTTCCACACAGGGGTGAAATCCACTTACCTTCGCTACTGTTTCGCAAATGGGAGTATGCACGCGCTCGCTTCGCTCGCACACGACACCTCTGCACATGCACAGGACCTTCTTCACATGTGCAGAGTGTCAAAAACAGGACGTGATGATGTCCGGCTGGGTGTGCTACCTGTTCACCCCAGCCAGATAGAACTGGCTGCATTTCCCCACTGTTTCCACACCTATTATATAGCCTGTGTCCTTTTAGCGATAGATCAAGCACTATATTTCAAAAAAAGAGAAAGGCGCTAAATCAAAATAAAACTTGATTCAAGCATATATAAACCAAGTATGGTTAATTTGAATAGTTCCTTGCTATTGAATAATGTCTTATTAGAATCATAAACTTGGAAGGGACATCTAATTCAACCTCTTGCATGGTGAAAGAAGCATGCAGTTCTTGTGATCTGGTGATTTAAAGTCATTCAAAGAAAAGAAAAAAACAAACAACCCATGTTTGTATCCCAACAGATGTCAGGATAATTGAATTTCCCCATCATTATTTGTGGCTCTTTGAAAGGTTTACCTTTCAGTTTGCTTTTGAAAAACATAATCTCTATTTTCTCCTTGACTGGCTGGACTGTGATAGATGCCAACAATACTTATTTACATTAAAAAGTTAAAATTTTAACTAATTTTATAGCAGCTCAAAGGCCACGTTCAGTGCTTTTAGATCTGACTCAAGATATATTCAGTTTGTTTATTCTTGGTAGTGATCATCAGGTTGAGCTATGTGACCCACTTAAAATCTCTACCTCTTAAGAAAGGCAATACTCCAAAAAGATCAGAGAGCCTCAAGAGAGGCTCAAGCAACTGGCAACTGGCAAGTGTATCTTACTATTCCTGTTACTCTTCATTGAACCTCAGGTTCTGAAATACACTACAATACAATATAATTAGGTCACAATAGATGAGACTTGGCTGATTTCAAAGAATTCTTGCAACTCTGTTTTACAGCTTCCTTAGATATTCCCATTGTGATGGGCATTGATTGGCTGCAAACACATGATCCAAATGCTCACTGCAACTAACTTTTTTTTCCATCTCAGAAATGTCTAGAAGCACCATTTGTAAGCTTTCCACTTTAATGCTTCTTCCTCTCCTTCTTGAATCCTGTTCCTTGCAAAAATAAAAAAAGGCATACAGAATTTGCTAAGGTTTTCAGGGAGGACGAAACAACTTCATTGCTTCCTCCTTGTCTGTAACTTGAAACCTTTGGTGGAATCAGTGGCTGAAAGGACAGTCTGAACTTTATAGATGGGAGGAAGCATATGAAGGCAAACACCAGCCAGGTTTCTATCTGGCTTTCTCACGGAAAAACAGAGTTTGGCAAGATTCTTGTGTACAGTGGAGTCAACAATAAAGGAACCTCTTGACCCAAATCCTGGAGCCACTTCGATTGTTTGCACCTAAGTAAGCCAGAAATTCAAATCCCAGCTAAGAGGCAAGTTAGCTACATTGAAGGAGTTCTTAGTTAATCATCTGAAGAAGGGCTTAGTTCACTCTTTTAAGTTAGAGGCGCCTGGTGCTCTCTAAGCTTGATTGTTTTTTTGCAGACATTTCAATACCCAAACTAGATAATATTATAAGTGCTAGTAAGGAGTGGGGTTTGCTCTCAATTTATATTCTAATGGCTTGCCCTATCAGTATTGGTGGGTGTAGTCTTAAGGGTTCTTTGGTTAGGCTATTTGTTGCTGATTTGTTTGGCAGTTCTGTTTACTTGGGTATTGTTTACTTGATAGTTGGTCTGATGTTAATCTTGGAGTTAATCTGTGTTCATCTGGGTGCTGATTGCTGGTGGGGAGGTGTTTTGGTCTTTTTGTTCCTTTTTGGGTTTGTTAATTGCCTCTTTGCATAGTATGTAGATGTTGTTTATGTCTATGTGTCTTTTTTTTAAATAAATTTTATTAAGTTTTCCAGGTTAAAATCAACATGAGACAAAAACATTGATTATACATAAAAACAAAAACCATACATTCCCCTCCCTCCCTCCCCCATTCATAACACTAAACATACAAACACGTCTATCCCGGCAGATAATATTCCTGCCCTCATTAATAAATAATTATGCCCACGACACAGAATAAAGTAAATAATCCCCAAATATGGTTTCCATACAATTATGTTTCAATCTAGATAGGTATATCTCTCCTCATATTGACTTAGACCCTCACTTCATCTCAATCCTTTTATTCAACCACCGATACCAACTGTCCCAACTTTGAAAAAATTCAGAATCCTCTTTTTCTTTCAACATATATGTCATTCTGTCCGCCTCAGCGCACTCTAATACTTTATTTATAATTTGGGCACTAGCCGGTATCTCTTTTTCTTTCCCCTGTCTATGGTTGACTATTTTGTCAGAGTGGCAGTCTTCTAGAAATTTCATAGCATTTTTGGACTTAGCTTGGGAAATGGTCAGTTTCCCAATTGAAACTATTCATACGTTGGGAAATTAGAGTTTTCATCCTGTCTTCTGACTTCTAGTTGCTGTTCATTGATACATTCTGCCAGTCTTCTGCCTGTTTGTCTTACCTAGTGGCTGTTGCAGTCATTACACTGTATGTTGCAGATGATTTCTGGGTTTTTTTTCTGGGACTGCTGGGTCTTTTGGTTTACTTAGGATGTTTTGAAGGGCTTTAGTTGGCTTTTATGTTACACTAATTCCAGGTAGTTGTAATAGTCTGTTGTTGTTTTCTGAGGTGTTCTTGATGTATGGCAGTGTTATGCCTTTTAGGGCTTGTGATGGTGGTTGTGCTGTATTGGGTTGAGGGGACAAGCACTTTTTGATAAAGTTGTGTAGATATCCATTTTGTTGGAATATGTTATATAGATGCTGTTTTCTTTTTTCTGTTATTCAAGGATACTGCAGTGAGCTACAAATATTACTCTTAATTGGTACTCTTTTAAATCTACATTACATCTATGGTGTCTGCATTGCTGCCCACAGCATTCAGGAATGAGCAGAGGTCAAATAAAGTGAATAAATAAATTAAATAGCATTATTCAAAAACATAATGTTAAGATAGAAAATTCATCTCAGTGCATAGCATTGACTGTATGCTTTTTTTTGTAATTTGCATTTTATTGCTTCACATTCTCTACCACATTTTTTCTCCTTGTCTTTTACAGGAAGTTGAATTTCATTCATTAAAAGAAGCTCTTTCTTTTGTATCATTAATCGATGGATATTATAGATTAACAGCGGATGCTCATCATTACCTTTGTAAAGAGGTGGCACCTCCTTCAGTTCTTGAAAATATCCAGAGCAATTGCCATGGGCCAATTTCGTAAGCAATACTTTGTTCTAACATTTATCTTGGGAATGGATAACCTTTTGAACTAGAGGCGCATCAGGTTAGGCATTTGGGAACACAGTAATCATTGTGTACATTAGCCCTGCTCACTTGTATAGACAACTTGCCTCCATGGTTATAGATTCAACATGGACCATATTGAGGAAGAAACTTCTTTCTACCCGAGGAAGCAGGTTAAAATAGCTTTGTTCTTGCTCTTATTGTTACTGCTAGCAATAGAGGAAGTTCAAAAGCAAGAGCCAATCAGCAAATGTATGGGACTAGTGTAGTTAGCAGGGAGTCATGCAGATGGGAGATGGAATGCCAGGGGTCCTGAGTGCTGCAGATAAGGAGGAAGGGAGATAGATGTTCATTTGTATCAACCAACCCTTGTTTGCACCTATGAACAAAGCATTAGTAACAGTTATTTGGATCCACTTTAACTTGTTTGAATTGATACATATCTCCATCCAGACTCTCAGATTTTATAAGTTTTTATCTATGCACACACACACTAGTTATTTCAATGATTGTTGTGGAATATGGAAAATTGCTAACAAAAGAAATTACTCTTGGTACAGTCTACATCTTACTGTTCCTTTCATAAAGACGAGGAAAAGAATATATCAGAGTAGATATGTATAATACGTCCCAGTTCTGCACAATTTAATATATTAGCATGTTCCAGTTAAGGTAATGATGAATTATAAAATCAAGTGCGTATTGCATAGGAAAAAGTTCACCATAACAATGTCACTCAGAGAAAGTCAGATATTGGTCTCCGTCTTTAGGAAATCACATTATCATGATGGAAGACAGAATTTCTTTTTTGTCTAACTGGAGGACGAATAATTCTCTGAATTGTGTCCTTTATAGCCTGCCAAATTTCTTCAAACCTCTTCTGAAGTTCCATTTTATATTAAAATATGTTTAGTTATTTTACTATCTGTTGCATCCATCCCATTTTGTCCTATTCAATTAAAGATAGCCCTCAAAGGACAACCATTCGTTTAGCAATGGTTCAAGGTTATGTCATGGTCCCCAAAACAATTGCAACAGTAACACCCCCACAATAATGTGATCAGAATTTGGGCACTTGGCAACCTGCCCGTACTTAAAACCTTAGGGATATTTAATTCCCTCCAACTGCCTACTCTACCTCCCATCCCTGCCATTTTGGGCAGCCCATTGGTTTTGCCACCCTGTACTTGCTGGCCCTGTCACCTTTACCGTACTATGCTTGCCATTGTTGTCATGCTGCATTCACTGGCCCTGCCGACTGTGCAGCCTACAGCTGACCTTCACTACCTCCTCCTTCCTGCAACTGCTTCTGAGACATGCTTGGTCTGGCCATTTGTGAGGCAGCTGATGGCTATGCTAAACCATGTTCCTAAGGCTGTACCTGCCCTTTGTCCAAATCATTTGTAAACTACTTGAGATGTTTTGGAGCTTCACATGGGTCCAGCAGGGCCAGGAGAACACATCTGGATTGCTGTTGCTAATGAGTTAATGTGACATTACACTACAACCACATTGCTTAGTGTTGGATATTCAGGTCCCAATTGCCATTATAACAAGTTGTAAATTTTATTTGGTGGCATTCTGCTGGTGAAAGAACAGGTCGAGGAAATGGGAAATGATTTTAACAATTTTTTATTTACTAAAAGAAATGTGGAAAGAGCAGTCTTAGATCAATCAAGAGAGAAGAAGAAGAATTGCCATTTCGCTGACAGATTCTTTTTGTGAAAAATCTGCTATATCCCAATATATTCTGTAATTCAGAAGTGTTGGCTCTTTTTAATATTTTGTTTTTCCTCCTCTTTTTTTTTTTTTAAACAGCATGGACTTTGCAATCAGTAAATTGAAAAAAGCTGGCAATCAGACTGGCTATTATGTTCTTCGTTGCAATCCAAAAGAGTTTAATAAATACTTTCTTACCTTTGCCGTGCAGGTTAGTATTAAGGAACCAGATTTCTAACTGCTTTGCTTAAACTTAAGACAAGATTTCAGTTCCTTTTATTTTGGAGATATATTTATATTTTATCTATTGCTTTTCTTAACTCTTGGGGGCAAAAAATCATCCTTTGTTTTCAGAATAACATCAGTACCTATGTTTTGAGAATAGCATATGTAGTTATGAAAATTGGCAGCAAATTGGACCAATATTTTATTATTTTTTCCCATTCGCTCTCACTGTTCATTCAAGTGTGGGACCGCCTGCTGCCGCAAACGGCCTCCCACTGGCCGGTACGCTCTCACAGAGAGGGACTCCTCCGGGTGCCGTCGGCCAAACAATGTCGGCTGGCGGCCCCCAGGGGGAGAGCCTTCTCTGTGGGGGCACGTACTATCTGGAACGAGCTCCCCCCGGAGATAAGGAGGGTCCCGGATCTACGCACCTTCCGCCGCGCTCTCAAGACCTTTTTATTTCACCAGGCTGGTCTGGCCTAACCTCTCCCATTCTCTTTTTAATGTAAATTTTAATGTAAATTTTAATTTGTTCTTAACCTGGGGTTTTAAATTTGTCTTGGGCTAAATTGATTTAATTCGATTTTACTTCTGCTCTTAAATTTTTGTATTCTATGTGTTTTATCCTGTGCCTGTTCACCGCCCTGAGTCCTGAGTAGGGCGGTATACAAATTAAATAAAATGAAAAATGAAAATGAAAAGTGCCATATAATATTTAAATTTTCAGAGTTTGGTTGTGGTTTATATCCATTTGTGTGAATTTGCCAATAGAACAGTAGCTTAGAAAGAGATACCGGAAGTCTCAGGAACTTCTTAGAGGAACTTCTGAAATGGTTTATAAAGATTATTAGCCTCAGTTCTTCCTTCAAAAGACACAGCACAATATTTATTATTAAAGAATAACTTATCAAGAAGTAACTTATCAACAAATGAAGAAGGTTTCTTCATTTGTTAAAAAAAAAGTATATTCATAAGTATCTGCAATTTATTTTAAAAGTTATAAATTTTGAAGAACATGCTGCTGGTATTCACATACATTTAGCTTCTTAAGTTGCCAATTTTTGTGTCTTTTGCTATTGTGATATTTCTAAGCAGAGTGCAAAACAATTAAAATGATTCAGGTTCAGAGCTTTATAAAAAAATCAAAATATTTCCTATAGAACTTTATTTTTATATACTAAAGGAACTTCTAGCAGTACAGTTCCTTGGTATTAAACTAAGCTGAAGTGTTGAGCTGTGGCAATCATTTGTTCCAGCAAGCTTTGTTGTAGATTAAAACAAAATTAGGCTTGCATAAGATGGTATTTATAGAGCAGATAAAATCAATCAGATTTTACACTTAACATCTGTAAATATTAATGTCATGATAGCTGGATATTCAGAGTAAAATTAAAACATAATTTTGTTCCCTCCACCAACATATTCCATTGTTTGTAATAGAGTTTGTGCGATGAGTGAAAGTTAGAAAGCTACAAAGGGACCAGTAATGAATTAAGTTACTAGATTGGTATAGCAATTCCTTTGCCATAAAAACTGTTCTTTTCTATTCTCTCAATTTTTTAACTTCCCTTGCCCATCCAATATGGCTACAAGATATATTCCTAGTCCTGATTGCCAAACTAGAATTATGCATGACATTTGATTAAATTTATAAAGTTACAAATAAAAGCATTGAACTGAAGTATCGTTTTAAAACTTTCCTTAAATTTGCAGCAAGACAGCATAATTGATTATAAACATTGCTTGATAACAAAAAATGAAAATGGCGAATATAATCTCAGTGGAACTAGAAAAAGTTTTACCAACCTTGTGGATCTGTTGAATTGTTACCGTACAGAAACTGTCCAAGCAAATAGTATGGTTTTCCAGTTTATCAGATGCTGCCCTCCAAAGCCAAAAGGTAAGCAATTTGAATTTTATTTGTTGAGGATGATAATAATTGTGTGGCTAACTGAAGTAGAGAAATAGCTGTCGTTTGAGAAAAATACAAAGACCTACGTTAAACAATAAAAGAGCAGAAGTTTTAACAACATAGTTCTCATATAGGTACATATATACATATTCATAGGCACGCTCTCCAAATTAGATAGAGCAAGACAGACAGACAGACAGACAGACAGACAGACAGACAGACAGACAGACACTAGGATTAATGGGCAAGATTAGATAGATGAGATGAGATGAGATAAGATAAGGATAGATAAAGAGGAAAGAGGGATGAGGAACAATTGCTGTCTTCCTCCTTCATTGCAGAGAACACTTTGCCATGTAGAAGGATGCTGATTGCAACTGATGCTGAAGTTCCATTTTGCAACTCCCCTACCGCACTGACCGATATAATTGGATCTTTTGGAGTTTGGGAACGATTTTATTCTCAGTCCAGATTAAGTTCCACATTCCTGCAATAAAAGATATATGCTCCACTGAATGTCCAGAATGCATGGCACAAATGATATTTGTGTTTATACATATTTGTATATTTGTGATACATTGGGATTAGGATAAGGAGGGAAGTAGTAAAAAAAGAATGTAAGTTGCTAACCCTAAAACATAGGAAGTGTTTAAGTCTTCCATCCTCAACTAGAGGATTCTAAAATCTGTTTGGATTCTGTGCACTGTTATACAAGCTTAGCTTTGGAGCTGCTGTGCTCTGGAAAGTTTGAAAATGCTTCTTGGATGAGAAGTGAAACATCTTCAAAGAAAGGCCAGTTGCCTCTGGAAAAAAGCACCTTTGGGAGATACTTAATTGTATTATTCCATTGTATTTAATATTTAATATTAATATTTAGTATTTAATACAATACTTAATTGTATTTATTCCATGGCTGCTGCTTTCCCCATTTTTGTTAGGTCGGAAGTTTTGTTAGGTCAGAGGGGAAGTTAGGTCGAGAGTTGCAATGAGGACCCCACAATTACCCAGTTTTATTAATCAAAATTTACATAGGAAGCTATGTAAATTTACATAGAAATTTACACAGGCTGAGTGCAGAATATTGTATGTAGTAATTATCAGCTTTTCCTTTGGTTAAAAGTGAAACAAAGTAATATATTGTCTTAACATTTTTAGTTACATATGCAAAGGTTTGTATTTGCTTGTTTTTCATTTTTTATTTGTAAATGAGCCATCTCCCATAGAACCTTCTTAATATTCTCTATCAGCATATATAATAATTATCTGGTGGAAATCATTTATATATTGGGCTAGAAGACAAGCGAGTAAAATATGGTTGTGTCAACTTAACACTCCATTGACTTCTTCTTCCAGATAAGTCCAACCTTCTTGTCTTCAGGAGCAATGGAGATTCTGATATGCCAACATCACCTACTTTGCAGAGACATAATAATGTCAATCAGATGGTTTTTCACAAAATTCGGAATGAAGATCTTATCTTTGTAAGATTAATACATTAGTATTCTTGTTTTATCAGCATCTTAGAATTAAGTTCAATTAATTTAAATATCCTTGGGCTTTTTCTCAGTGGTATGTGCTACTGGAAATAATTTGTACACTGTTGCATTTACCGAAAGCTGGATGTTTATTATGATAAAAGCATATAAATATAAGGTGTAAGGTTCCCCCTCATTATTCATTGAAAATTGAATTTCATTTACTATGCAAGTACTTTCATTAAGATAGGATGTGTTATCATTTCCTTTTTAAGATAGATTTGTGCTTTTATTAAGATAAAGGTGAGTTCTTGAGCTGATCTTGTTACAGCCCTTCCCACCCTCAGTTTATAGTTCTGTAGTGTTAAAAAATGAGGCTATTTAATTTGTTGTCTAAAAATATCTCTGTGCTCCAAAGCAGAGTTCCCTAACCTTTCCGACTTTGCGGACTAGTGGGGGCAGGGGAGAGGGGATGGTTCCAGAAGTGGTGGGTGAGTGCACCCATGAATGCACCCCAACTTGTGTGAGCGGTGGCAGACCACCTGCATGCAACTCCACTTGCATGAGTAGCAGGCACATGCGCCCACCACTCATGCAAATAGATTGCACACGCGCTCACCCACTTCCATGGCCTGGTTCCAAACAGCTCAAGGCCCAGTAGTGCCTTGTTCCAAAGCAATCTTCTTGTATTAGTGTTTTTTTAAAAAAAATCATGTTTGATTGTTTTTCACGTGGGCTGAAATGCTTGACTAATCTTTTCCTTTAATCTCAAATTTTGGCTTTTTTGTTTCTGTTTTTTGAGTAGAATGAAAGCCTTGGACAGGGCACCTTTACTAAAATTTTCAAAGGAGTAAGGAAAGAAGTAGGAGACTATGGTAAATTGCATCAAACTGAAGTCTTACTGAAAGTTCTGGATAAAACACACAGACATTACTCTGAGGTTTGTATATTAATTTAAAAAGTCCTATTGTTAATATTAATTAAAAAACACTACTTTTTAAGTACTGGCTATGATAATAGTTTGAAATGATATACAGTGAAACAAAGCATTAAAAAGCATCACAACTGAAAGGAACACCCAAGATGCAGGTCAAATTTATTTGTCGATAGCCATTTCTTAGTTGAATAAACCTGATGAATTTTCCTTTGTTGAAAAGTATGCAAAGTGACTCATATTTTAGGTATACAGTAGGATTTTGAATATCCAGGAGACAAAAATAGATCTGAGTGGCAGCTTTTCTTCTTTCTTATTCTCCCATGAATGGTTTAAGCGAAATAATTTATACAAAATATACACTTCCATTTCCTTAAGTTGCTGAAGTTGCAGAATTTCAGCTTTTCAGTACTGAATTGGGGTTGGTTTAGAGATTGTACTAAAATATTACACCTACTCTAAATAAATATACTTTAATCTAAGTACTTTAATAAATTGATCTCATGATTTCAGAAAAATAAAAATGTAGACTTCTCCTTCGAGTCTTTCTCATGGTAGTGCAGACTGATTTGTTGTTTATTGCTGGCTAGGAGTTCTGATAAATTCTGATGTTATGAAGTTGATTATCCCATGAAAATTTTTAAGAGATACTGATTAAATGTCTATATCAAATAAGAATTAAGATGATTCTGCACCATCAACAGTTAGGAGATAAACTGTGTCAGCTTTTTCCATGCCTTCTGAAAGCAAATGTGTTGAATTTGCTAATATGATACAGCTGATAAAAGTTCTCTATGAAATTTTGTCTCTGACTATAAAAAAATTGTATACCTTGGAATTCAAAAGCAATTTCCTAATGACTGATTTGTTAATTGTTCCCATCTTTGTTTTGTTGAATCTTATTTCTGTATATCAGTATGCCATCTATAGTATTATGACCCAATATGAAGAGCATTCAGATGCTCATCACAAATTTACCTCTCGCCAGTGAATGACACTGTTCTCAGCCCTCCCTGATAAAACCAGACAGGAAATACAACAAGATGAACTGATTCTATTTTAATTAACAGAAATTTGCAAGTTTGCAAGTACAAAGTTCCCACTGCCATTTGATTCATTACGGTGGATCCTTTCTTTCTCTGACTATTAAGCCCCTGGAGGTTTCTACCTCTCTTATCTGGTAGTTTCCTGGGTAGCACCTCATCCTTTCGTTTCCCAAGCCCATTGACACATTCCACAACATTTATTATTAAAGTACTTGTTCATGATGGCAAATGAATTCCGAAACAAAAATTCTGAGACCATCCTGCAGAATTAATTGTGCAACAAGTAGAAGTAGCAGAAGACGGGGAATGAAGTGGTGTGACAATATAACTGAATTAATTCCAACCAGTTCTTACTTTGACTCACTTTCTTATTGTTATCTTTTTCTTGTAGTCTTTCTTTGAAGCAGCAAGCATGATGAGTCAGCTTTCTTACAAACATTTAGTATTAAATTATGGAGTTTGTGTCTGTGGAGAAGAAAGTGAGTAATCCAGTTAATGGTTTGTACTCTGATTAGAGTTTTTTCCCCCCAAAGTTCTTTCTATAGTAGAGATACAGTATTTGAATAACGAATAAGGGCAAAAACATGAAATAGTGAAGGTTTTACACTAACCACATTTGTGTAAAACCATTATGTGTTTTCTTGAAAACAGAAAAATGCTGTTAAATCCTTAGTGCTCTCTGAGCTTGATTGCTTTCTTGCAGATGTTCCAATACCAAAGTAGGCAACATCTCAGTGCTAGCACTGATTATGTTATCTAATTTAGTAATGAAACATCTGCAAGAAAATAGCCAGGCTGAGCTGCAAATGTTCTATTGATACGAATCCTGTTGGATCAGACCAACCATTCGCTTACTTTAGTAATAGAACCAAATAGAATCTTTCTATCTCATGTTTCCTAATACGATTTGATTGCTTATTTGTTCCCTATGACTATCATTAAGTGTTGTACCTTATGATTATTGATGAATGTATCTTTTCTTTTATGCGTACTGAGAGCATACGCACCAAGACAAATTATTTGTGTGTCCAATCACACTTGGCCAATAAAGAATTCTATTCTATTCTATTCTATTCTATTCTATTCTATTCTATTCTATTCTTTCAAGACAATCACAAGTGTAAGTTGGTAACAGGCCTTCTCTATAGCAGCTGGCTATCTAGAAGACATTGTGTTCCATATTTTGGCATTTTTACGGAAAGAATATGAAAGCAGCTTTTCCTTTCTGTTCCTTTTCTGAGAATTATTTAGCATTAATTATTCTAGGAGTGAGAGCTTCAGTTTAAGTAATTTACAGTGTATACTGCAGTACATAAGATTAACTAGTGTGGTAATTAAAAGTTACAGTTTGAATTCCACTGTGTTGTTATATATTTCTTATCAGATATTCTGGTTCAGGAGTATGTAAAATTTGGATCATTGGATACAAAGAATACAACCTGTGATCAGTAGTCATTTAGCTTCTCCCTTTAGTTGCCGAATCTCCTTTAAAAAATTTTTAAATTAGCGGTCCTCATTATACCAAATAACAATGAATTCTAATATAATGACTATTGTGTGTTTTGAAAGTGTATACAGTTGCAAGAAAAAGTATGTGAACCCCTTGGGATTATGTGGAGTTTTGCATGAATTGGTCATAAAATGTGCTCTGAACTTCATCTAAGTCACAACAATAGAAAAACACAGTCTGCTTAAAATAATACTACACAAACATTAGATGTTGCCATGGTTTAATTGAACATAACATGTAAACATTCACAGTGCAGGGAGGAAAAAGTATGTGAACTCCTAGCCTAATGACTTCTTCAAGAGCTAATTGGAGCCAGGAGTGAGCCAACCTTGACTCCAATCAGTGTGATGATATTGGATGTGTTGCTGACAGCTGTCCTGCCCTTTAAAAACACACACCTGTTTTGGGTTTACTGGTTTCAAGAAGCACTGTCTGATGTGAACCATGCCTCGCAGAAAAGAGCTCTCCGAAGACCTACGATCAAGAATTGTTGACTTGCATGAAGCTGGAAAGGGTTACAAAAGTATCTCCAAAAGCCTTGATGTTCATGTGTCCACGGTAAGACAGACTATCTACAAATGGAGAAAATTTAGCACGGTTGCTACTCTCCCTAGGCGTGGTCGTCCTGTAAAAATGACTGCAAGAGCACAGCGCAGAATGCTTCATGAGGTAAAGAAGAATCCTAGAGTGTCAGCTAAAGACCTACAGAAATCTCTGGCACATGCTAACATTTTTGTTGACACATCTACAATAATTAAATTAAACAAGAATGGAGTACATGGGAGGACACCACGGAGGAAGCCATTGCTGTCCAAAAAAAATATTGCAGCACGTTTGAAGTTTGCAAAAGAGCACCTGGATGTTCCACAGCACTGATGGCAAAATATACTGTGGACAGATGAAACCAAAATTGAGTTGTTTGGGAAGAACACACAACACTATGTGTGGAGAAAAAAAGGCACAGCACACCAACATCAAAACCTCATCCCCACTGTAAAACATGGCGGAGGGAGCATCATGGTTTGGGGCTGCTTTGCTGCCTCAGGGCCTGGACGGATTGTTGTCATTGATGGGAAAGTGAATTCCAGAGTTTATCAATACATTTTGCAGGAAAACGTACGACCATCTGTCCGTCAACAGAAGCTCCGCAGAAGATGGGTGATGCAACAGGACAATGACCCAAAGCATACAGGTAATTCAACAAAAAAATGGCTTCAACAGCACAGAATATGCCTTCTGGAGTGGCCCAGTCAGAGTCCTGACCTCAACCCGATTGAAATGCTGTGGCATGACCTTAAGAGAGCGATTCACACCAGACATCCCAAGAATATTGCTACACTGAAACAGTTTTGTAAAGAGGAGTGGTCCAAAATTACTCCAGATCATTGTGCAGGTCTGATCTGCAACTACAGGAAATGTTTGGTTGAGGTTATTGCTGCCAAAGGAGGGTCAACCAGTTATTAAGTCCAAAGGTTCACATACTTTTTCCTCCCTGCACTGTGAATGTTTACATGTTATGTTCAATTAAACCATGGCAACATCTAATGTTTGTGTAGTATTATTTTAAGCAGACTGTGTTTTTCTATTGTTGTGACTTAGATGAAGTTCAGAGCACATTTTATGACCAATTCATGCAAAACTCCACGTAATCCCAAGGGGTTCACATACTTTTTCTTGCAACTGTATATGTGTGTGAAAGTTATTTTTGATTAAGTGCTTTCTTAATGCCTTTTTGCTTCATGTTGGCGTACATTTTTGCTTCATTAAAAAATTGAACAGTCTAAGATAATAACTATGCATCATATCCACACGATAGCCCATTATTAAAATCTCTTAATCATCTTCTTATCCATCAAAACAACTTTGAAAAGTAAGATTTTATGGCTTGTATTAAAATCACAGCAAACCTGGATATTCTGATTATTTTGTTCTTTACACTGAAATCTTGAAATGCTCCTGAGACTTTTATGATAATAAAACTGTGTGTCCCACCAACCAGATTTTTTAAGGGCAGAATGTCAGTTATATGAAGAACCACCTGCCTTCAAGGCAAGAGGGTATTGGATAAAAAGTTCATTAAATCGTAGGAAGGGTAGAAAGAAGCACCAAAAAGTGAACATTAAGTGGAAATTGGAAATTCACGATGGCAGAACTCATACACCTGTTGTGGTTGTTTCTGCTGAGTATGGAATAAGGAGTCTTGTGTAGCCTGTATGTTGGAGATCCTTAGTGAAACCGTGCCAAGTCAAGATCTGGGGAAATCTGGTTGGATCTTTTTAGTTAACATATTTGTTTATCATGTCAAGATGTGATAAGCAAGTAGAAACTTGTGGCTAAATTGATCTGAAGTTGTAATTCACCTTTGCTTATCTAGGATGCTTGATCAAACACTTTTTGGATCTGCTGCTTTGTATTTGGTATTGTGGGAAAAATTTTCTGCTTAGCTTGTGAGTCAGCAAAAGGAAATTCACATCTTCCAGTAATGTGTAATAAATGGAGGGCAATGAGGTCGTTTTGCTGTAATTCAGGTGGCTTAGCTGGCAAAATACTAGAAAAGATTTGATTACCATCCTAAACCGATGAAAAAGTAATTGGTGCTTACCTGAATTTAATCTTGCACATATTTGGCATCAGCTTGTATTGTTATTAATACTGTCCCCAACTTTTCAGAGACAGGATGGAGTTTGAGAAATTAATAAAAGACTGTGCTTTATGTATTCCATAACATACAGTCATATTAAGTACAGGTAGTTCTCAACTTACAACCATTCATTTAGCAACCGTTCAAAGTTACAACGGCATTGAAAAAAGTGGCTTATGGCTGGTCCTCACATTTACGACCATTGCAGCAACCCCACATTTACGTGATCACCATTTGGGTGCTTGGCAACCAACAAGCATTTAAAAAACTATTTAATATTTCTTAAATTGTTTTTTAAATTTTATATCTGTGTGTTTTATTCTGGCTGTACACCGCCCTGAGTCCTTCTGGGAGAAGGGCAGTATATTAAATAAATAAATAAATAAATGAATGAATGAATGAATGAATGAATGAATGAATGAATGAATGATGGGTGCAGCATCCTGGGGTCATGTGATCGCCATTTGTGACTTCCCAGCCAGCTTCCTACAAGCAAAGTAAACAGGTAAGCCTGTTCAGTTAACAACTGCCTGGTTTATTTAACAACTGCAGTGATTCGCTTAACAATGGTGCATAAAGGTTGTAAAATTGGGCATGATTCACTTAAGAACCGCCTTACTTAGCAATGGAAATTTTGACCCCAATTGTGGTTTCAAGTTGAGGATTACCTGTACTTGTACTTGATAATGCTCCTGAGTGCAGTTGTTTTGTCTGGCTACCTAGAAGACGTTGTGTTCCATATTTTAGCATTTTTATGGAAAGAATATGAAAGCAGCTTTATAATCTGTTCCTTTTCCGAGAATTATTTAGCATTAATTATTCTAGGAGTGAGAGCTTCAGTTTAAGTAATTTACAGTGTATACTGCAGTACATAAGATTAACTAGTCTGGTAATTAAAAGTTACTATTTGAATTCCACTTTGTTGTTATATATTTCTTATCAGATATTCTGGTTCAGGAGTATGTAAAATTTGGATCATTGGATACTTACTTGAAGAAAAATAAAACTTCTATAAATATTTTGTGGAAATTAGAAGTTGCAAAACAGCTGGCAATGGCAATGCATTTTTTGGTAAGTTCTTTTTCGTTTTTATTGATATTGGTAAAAATTCTTTTAAGTTTATTCAGAATATTTTAGGCTTTTGGTTATAATTATCCATTTTTATAAACTTCGCATTGTTGGAATATTATTTAGTTATTTGGAATTTGAGTTTGTATTTTTTTCATAACTTGGAGATTGCTGATAAACAAATACAGAAAACTGCTTTTTCTAGGATGAGAAATTGGAGTTATGCAGGCCTACCAGCTATTGGATAATCGTGTTAATTTCTCTTTTGGAAACTATGCATTAGTTTGTTTTAGGGCAAATTGTGTATTGGACCAACTTCACCAAGCTATAACTTTTAGGGTCATGTTTTCTGTCCCCCACTTTTCTAACCTTTATACACCACTGAATGTTTCTACCATGTCCAGGTAAAGGATTTTCACGTCAGTGCACTACATAAATGCACTATATAAAGCTTGAATTGAAATCTTTCCTTTAGCCTATAGCAAGAAAGGTTAACTGAGATTTGGAAATAAATCACAGCTTTTTTAGATGTAGTGCATATTAATCAGGCAGTGCAACATAAAGTGCAACCAGTTGTCTCCTAAATACCTTCCATGCTCTCTGCTAAATTAGATGGTGCAATTCCCATTTTGGCAAGGTTTAGGAACCACTTACAGAACGTCTTGTTCTCTGGTTTCTGTCTTGATGTTATAATCTTTGGAGAAAGGCTGCTCTAAAATCATCGTGTTCCTATAGTGCAGAGCTCTCCAAATATGTCCAGCTGAGGAATTCTGGGAATTGAAGTGTACAAGTGTTGAAGTTCCCAGGTTTGGAGATCCCTGCTATAGTGGTTGGTAGGTGTCTGGCTTGAATCCAGATGTTCGACACTCTCGGAATAGGAGTTTACAGTTGCTGGGGCACTAATATATTAAAAGAGGATAGATAAATTGAAGAAGTTAGAAAGAGTTTTAACCTCCCTTCCCTTTTTATCCCACCTATCTCAAGATCCTGAATACTGTGTAGTGCCGTATGTGACAAGCAAGCCTAACACAGTGGCATATCTCTGAATTAGAATTAGAGAAGATCTCTACACCATATTACTGTTTTTAAATCTCTTTATGATTAATATTTTTAAATAGTGTTTTGAAGTAAACACAGCTTGACTTTGAAAAGTTAGTGAAATACGGACCACTACATCATATTTATAATCAAATAAATATGAATAATCAAATCTTCACCTTTATCTTTTTCAGGAGGATAAAAACCTCATACATGGGAATGTATGTGCAAAAAATATCTTGCTTATCAGAGAGGAAGATAGGAAGTCTGGGAACCTTCCTTTTATCAAACTTAGTGATCCTGGTATCAGCATTACAGTTTTGCCAAAAGACAGTAAGTCTCTGACTCACCAATTTGAACATACTATGAAAATGTCTTTCTTTCTCCAATTTCACTAACTATTTTATTCCAGGGAATTCCTGTTTTCCTTTGTATTTTCAGGTTGAACTTTCTACAATTGTGGGACATATTTTAATCCTCATACTGCTAACAAATTATGCTGTTTAAAATTGCTTGCATTTATAAATATGTCTTTCTTATGAGATGATATTGCATACCGCAATACGATGCTGAAAAAAGTATAAAAATATCATAGAGTGAAAGCTCAAAATATTTATTTGCAGTATATTGTAATTACTTTCTGCAGGGTCAGAATGCTCATAATCTGTTGGTACAAATCCGGCAGAATTACACAGCTATTCTTGCTTTGTAACTAATAGTGCCTAATATATAGAAGCAAGTATATTTTATAGCAAAGAATTCGGTGCATAAACTTAACATATATACAACAATACCCGAAGGCATTGGCTTTCTTAACAAAGTTAATTTTCTATTTTATTTTGCTTTGTTATTTTTTTTCTTCCTTTCAGTCCTGTCTAATTCTCATAGATCACCTGGACAAGTCCTTGCAGTTTTATTGGCAAAGCTTTTCAGAAGTAGTTTGCCATTGTCTCCTTGCTAGGGCTGAGAGAAAGTGACTGGCTCAAGCTCACCCAGACAGCTTCATGTCCAAGGCGGGACTAGAATTCACTACTAACTTTTATTAACTTCCCTTCAAGAGCTTATAAAACTGGAAAGCAATTAAAACATTCCAGGAATCTTTAGTCTAAAATAATTCCTACCCAGTAAAAGTTCACTCTTTTTTTTCCCCCCATGGTCAGTTCTTCTGGAGAGGATTCCATGGGTGGCCCCAGAATGCATTGAAAGTCCCAAGCAGTTGAGCCAGGCGGCAGACAAGTGGAGTTTTGGGACAACTCTGTGGGAAATCTGCAGTGGAGGAGACAAACCTCTCAATGCACTGGATTCTCAAAGGGTAAGACTCATTGAGCAATTTCCGTCCCTCTACACTGAAACTTTGTAGATGCTAAGGCACACCAGTTGCTCTCACATTTGAGTGCAGTTTCTTCCTGCGGCTCCCTCTTACATTAATGTCTAGACCAGGGGTCTCCAACCTTGGCAACTTTAAGACTTGCAGACTTCAACTCCCAGAGTTCCTCAGCCAGCAAAGCTGAGGAACTCTGGGGGTTGAAGTCCGCAAGTCTTAAAGTTGCCAAGGTTGGAGACTCCTGATCTAGAAAATAGTTTTTGACATACTGGCAGGCATGATTTCCATGCCTGCCTTTCTGGTCTATCAAACAGAACCTATAGTCCCATAGGATTTTGCTGAAAAGGCTGGTTCCCTCAGGTTCCTCTTTGTAACTTTTTTTTGTTGAACTTACAAATACTTCCCCATTTTAGAGAGGAGGGTTGGATTCAGTGGTGTGTTGCCCCCGGTTCGGACCGATATTAAAACCGGTGGGAAGCCCCGTCCACTGCCCTGGATGTCGTCATTGGTGATCTGTGCATGCACAAAAGCTTCTGCGCATGTGCGCAAGTCCGTTGTGAACCGCTAGGAAAGATAAGTAGAACCCACCCCTGGTTGGATTTCATTAAGTAAGAGAAGTACTAAGGACTTCGTCATGCTTTGTGTTAAGTAAGCCTCCTTGGGTTAAACTCTGTTACTTGCACCTTTAGTGTTTTCTTGGTAACAGTATGGAAGCGGTTTGCTTTTCATCTGACCTTTTCTTAAATTTCAGTCCAACCTTCAGTCCGTGGATTTCCTGTGGCTCTCCATTTGTAACAGTAACAGAGTCAAAAGGGACCTTGGAGGTCATCTAGTCCAACCCCCTGCTCACGCAGGAGTCCTGTGCTAGGATTTGAACTGCCGATCTTTCTGATCAATGAGCTCAGTGTCTTAGCCACTGAGCCACCCACTCAGGCTTTCATTTTCATTTTCCATTCAAGTACTAATTAAGTTGAATTTGTCTTAGTTTTTTGCTATCACTTAAGTTTTAAAATAATATTATTAAGAAAATTCAGTGTGACTTATTAAATAATTTTAAGGTGATTTTCTGTTCAGAAGAAGAAAAAGAGGTGCTCCTAGATCTTGTCTGGAATTTCAAAAGGCTTAAGCAGTTCATTTATGATATCACTGATTCAGGGAAAACATCCCAACTCTGCTAATAAATGCTCTATGAAGCATCTTTTAATTGGTTAATTTATGATGATTCACCCATTATTCAGATTTGGTTTTATTGATTTATTTGAAATGATTGGCTTTTTGGGAGAAAAAAGGATTTGGGGGAAATGTTTAACAGAACACTGGGAGTAAATGCTTCTGTTTTACAATCTTGTTGAAAGAAGTTTAAATAGGCATAATTAGTATGAAATTAGCAACAACAAAATCCTACACTCGTTTTCAATTGAGCTTTGAGTGTAAGTTCCAGAATACAACTTTTGTGTTGTGCTTATTGCATGCTAAGAAACGTAAACAATTGTCTCTCTTGCTGTAGAAAGCATTTTAAAATTAATCTAAAATCATATTAATAATCCATATAATGTCTCAATGTCTAGAAGCTACAATTTTATGAAGACAGGCATCAGCTTCCTGCTCCCAATTGGACAGAACTGGCAAATCTGATAAACAATTGTATGGAATATGAAGCAGATTTCCGCCCCTCTTTCAGAGCAGTTATACGAGATCTGAACAGCTTATTTACGCCAGGTAGGTAAAATGGAGGAAAGAATTCTCCGTTTTCTTGGATTCCCTTGGAATTTCATCCAGTCTCTGGAACTTGAATATTGTAACTGGATTTAGTGTTTGTTGTATTATAGCAAGGTAATATCTGTAAAATCTGTATTACCTATTTAAATAATTGAGGATTTTTTTCCTTTTTCAAGATTACGAATTATTGACAGAAAATGATATGTTACCAAATATGAGAATTGGTGCTCTTGGATTTTCTGAAGCTTTTGAAGGCCGGGACCCAACTTACTTTGAAGAGAGACACCTCAAATTCTTGCAGCAACTTGGCAAGGTAAGAAGCTGGGATAGCTTATTGCAGTGATATGCCATTTTTTTTCAGACCTATGCACTACTGTATGAATTGGAACATGTTAGGGGTCCATAAATCAGTATAATTCATATTGCATATGTATTTTCATGAATTTGGGGGCGCAATGGCTCAGCAGTTAAAGACACAGAGCTGGAAAACTGACAGCCCGTGTTCAAGACTCAGGTTGTCGAGACTTCGTTGGGAGGGTAACAATCTTCCATGCACTTCAGCCTATAGTCATGCTGCCACATGAACACAGAAATGTCTTCAGACATTTCTCCACTAAGAAATAGAGATGAGCACTGCCCCTGGCTAGAGTAGGAGACACCTGGACAGGAGAAACTTTTTCTTTTCATGAATAGAATTTTTTTAATGAATAGATTTCTATGTCACTGGTATTTTATGGCCTCCAGGCCACATTCAGTCCTTTGGCTGTCCTTGTCCATGGATTGCTTTTATTTTGAAGGTAGCTGCTATTTTTTTTCCAATTTATGTATGTGCATGCATGCATGCCTGCGTACGCACCTCCACACCACAGCCCTATTGGTTCAGCCCTCCACAAGAGTCTCAGTTTTTCCCTTGAGAAAATAATTGCCTATCCCTGGGAGTGTAATTATCTTGGCCATAACCTATTATTTTCTTCTTTGGTTTATATAATTTGGTTTTCCTTCATTTGAATACCCTGTGAATTAATGCAAACTGGGACAGCTGTTTGTATTGAATTGCTGGTAGATCCAGTTATTAGGCAGAATATTGCACAGCACATCATATATCGGCCTCAATCCTTGCATTAGGCTGAAAGAACAATTTGTAGTACAGGTATTACTCAACCTTTGACCATAATTGAGCCCAGAATTATGGCTGTAAGTTGTGATGGTTGTCGGACACCATGTGAGCATTCCTGATTTTATGACCTTTTTTGCAATGGTTGTTACGCAAACACCACAGTCATTAAGTGAATCCGTTGCTCTGTGTGACACTGCAAATGGCCATAAATGAGAGCCGGTTGCCAAATGCCCAAAATGCAACCACATGAACATGGGAGAGTGTGTATCTGTTGGCATTCGTGAACTAGGTCATAAGTAGCCTTAGGTCTGTTGTAATAGTCACTAAGTGAGGACTACCTACTTTTCTGGCTGTTCTCTCCATTTTTCAAAACGCTTCGATTTCTTTATTTTGCAGGGTAATTTTGGAAGTGTGGAAATGTGTCGATACGATCCACTGCAGGATAATACAGGGGAGGTAGTAGCTGTGAAGAAACTGCAGCACAGCACAGAAGAATACCTGCGAGATTTCGAAAGAGAAATCGAAATTCTCAAATCTCTGCAACATGACAACATTGTCAAGTACAAAGGAGTGTGCTATAGTGCAGGTACCCTGCACGTTTAATCACATTATTCATTACATACTTAAGGAAAATGCTGGTGACCTGGAATAATATTTGCCGTTAATGTATAGAAGCATTTTAATGAACTACTACTTTCTTTGTTGTGTTTTAATATTTCTGGTTAGTTTCTGCTGCACATAAAATTTGAAAGCTTGTTTTTTCCATGATGAGGAGCTTTTGTTAGTTTTTATTTTTGTTGTTGCTGTTGCATGAAATAGACTTATGTTTAGCGGTGGCTTTTAAATGATTGCAAAATTATTTCTTTGTAACTTCTAAAGATTATCTCTTGTACATATTCATATTTGCTTGGAAGAGTTTACAATCAGACCTAAAACCTGTTTTGCTTTACTTTTAAATCTGCTGATTGATGCTAGAAGCAAAGTAATGGTATTTCAAAACCAAGCTAGATAATACTGGCCTCTCTTTCATGTCTTAATCACAAATCTATCTAATAGTCGCAAAAGCTACTACGTATCAAACGGGTGAGCTTGAGCCCATCCACATGTTACTGGAAAACACTATTGTTGGTATTAGTCAGGCTGTCTGAGGCTATTAGGAGTTACAGTTCAGCAGTGTGTAGATGTTTATATTCACTGCCTGAGAAAGGTGTAATTTCATTTCAGATACTTGTTTCATTGAGGGCATGTGTGATGCTCACAATGCAATAGTTTTCTTGTTCATTGGCCAGGGAACAGCAGAAGTTCTAGCTTTTATTTTCTCAGATTTGTGTCCTGTTGTCAGTTCAGGATAAAAAGTTATATTCCTTCCCTCCATTCCTTCCTTCCTCCCTCCCTCCCTCTTGTGTCCATCCAACTCCCGATGATTTTGGGCAGCTCACAAGTAAAAACATTTTTTAAAAGATACAATTGGTAATAGAAATAAGGAATAAAAGATAGCAAGATGATAGGAACTGACTGGATTGAAAAAAAGAATGCAGAGGGAATTCACTTAGAGCCTTTAAAACACCAGCCCAATGGGGGTCATTTGATGCTTGGGGGAATCTCATTCTAGAGGGTAGCCACAGCTACAGAGAAGGAACGCTTCCTGAGTCCCTATTGATTACATTATTTAATTGAAGAAACTGGAGCACACCAACTCTGCTGGATTGCATTGTCAGGGCAAATACTCTGGAAGACAGGTAGTCCCTCAAGAACCCAGGCCCATGCCATGTAGAACTATATAGGTAACAATCAGCACCTTGAATTGAATCTGGAATCAAACTGGCAACCTGTGCAGGTCACAAAGCAGAGGTGTTAAATGGGCATACTGAGGCATGCCCATCACTGCCCATGCTGCTGCATTTTGCACTAGTTGAAACTTGTAGGTGGTCTTCAAGGATGCCTCACATAGGATACATTGCAGTAGACCAGCAGTGAAGTGATCAGGGCATGAGTGACTGTCTGATCCAAGAAAGGACACAACTGGCCCAGCAGATGAAATTCCAAATGCCTTCCTGGCCACAGTTTAGTGGTGAAATCCAAATTTTTTTACTACCAGTTCTGTGGTTGTTGCTTGGTGGGCGTGGCAGGGGAAGGATACTGCAGAATCCCCATTGCCTCCCCACTCCTGGGGGAAGGATATTGCAAAATCTCCATTCCCACCCCACTCTGGGGCCAGCCAGAGGTGGTATTTGCTGGTTCTCCGAACTACTCAAAATTTCTGCTACCAGTTCTCCAGAATCTGCCAGAACCTGCTGGATTTCCCCCCTGCCACAGTTGCTATTTACACAACAAGCAAGAGCTGTGAGTCCAGAAAAACTCGTCAAGTTACCTAACGCTCTTGAACATACAAGTGCAAGATCAAATATAGAATATCATGAGATCTGGATGACCCAAACACCCCCTGCCACTTGGTCTTAATAGCATCTTGTTATTGTTATCAATAGCAATCTAGACAGACTCTCTTGGCTGGCTCAGAGTTGAAAGATGTATTTGGAATGATAAGCACACAGATAATATAATGCCTTTAGTTATGGAAACCAGGGTTCAATTAATTGCTGTTTTCTGTTTTATTGGCATAGAGTAGTTGTATAGAGTTAGAGTTTTAAACGCAATGTTCTGAAGCTTTAATATATATTAAGGATCATTCAGCATTGGTGTTTTGGATTACAACAAGCGTCTATCTGAAGGGAGAAAATTATTGCGATTCTTCCCTTCTCTTTTTAGAAAGGTATTTGCTAGCCATAATGTCAGAAGTAGCTTTATGCAGGAGAATTTCAGTACTATATACGAAGAAATCACTTTAAACTATAGTTCTAAATATTTATGTTTGTTTGAAAAGGTCGGAGAAATCTGAAGTTGATAATGGAATATTTACCCTATGGCAGTTTACGGGATTATCTCCAGAAACACAAGGACAGGTTGGATCATAAGAAACTCCTACAGTATGCTTCTCAGATATGTAAGGTAATAATTAATCCTACTAAACCTACTATGGGATTAAACTGAATTACAGTCTTCATTGTCCCAGAGGTGCTTTTTTCAAGAGGCAACTGGACTTTTCGCTTTTTCTTCGAAGACGTTTTGCTTCTCATCCAAGAAGCTTCTTCAGAGCTGAAGGAAGCTTCTTAGATGAGAAGCAAAACGTCTTTAAAGAAAAACCAGAAAGTCCAGTTGCCTCTTGAAAAAAGCACCTTTGGGACAACCATGATCTGGATGATTGAGAATCTCCATATACAGTCTTCATTGTTTTCCATAAATTCTAGTCATGAAATATTCTTGTGGGAAATGTTTTTTTTCCTCATCAGTGACACAAAATCAATCCATTCCCTTTCTATAATCAGTCTTTTTTTCATAACACAGTCGTGACTCCTCTTGCTTGCTTATTTTTTAAAATTTTCTTTACATCTTGTTTCTTGACACACACTAGTTTCTAATAGTGAAAAGCAATTGAATGCACTAGTTTCCTCTTCATTTGACTGATGGTGGGGAGGAGGGAAGGCATTTCTGTAGCTGCCAGAGAATGTTCTATAATGTAATAATAGTGAAAGCTGTTTGTAATCTGATTATAGGTATAGAGTGGGATTGTCCTAGGCATCAACCGATTTTTTTCTGCCCTTGATAGTGATACTTTTACTTCATTAGTTCCTGAAGTAGCTTTTTAATGCAGGTGGTCCTTGACTTATGACCACAATTGTGCCCATATAATTTCCATTGTTAAGCAAGTTGTTAAGTGAGCTAGCCCCATCTTATGACTTTGCCACAGTTATTTAGTGAATCACTGCAGTTGTTAAGTCAATCATGCAATCATTAAGCAAATCTAGCTTGCTTCCTTGACTGCTTTTCAGAAGCCAGCTGGGAAAGACACAAATTGTGATCACATGACCCCAAGACAGTGCAACTTTCAGTATATGCCAGTTGCCAAGTGCCCTAATTTGGCTCATAGGACCATAAGGATGCCTTCTAATGGTTAGAAGTGCAGAAAAATAGTCATAAATCACTAACAGTCACTAACAGAATGGTTGTAAGTCATTTACTTTGATTGGGAGCCAACCACAGTTGGTTGAAAGATGGGCAGCTATATCTTACACAAATACACACAAACACAGAGGTTTTTTTTCCAGAAACCATAAAGCCCATACTCATTTAATTTTAGCAGTATTGCAGTCACAATTACATACAGGATCCAAACTTTTACTTGGATTGTTTCCACTGAAAGATATCCTGGAACAGAAATAATTCTTTCTGTTCTTATCTGAATCACATAAATAATGCATATCAATATTTAATATCAGCTTCCTAGTTGGCTAAATACAGTCATACAAACTAAAAGAAAGAAAGACAAGTTTGGGTTAGAGATCCCCTAAGTCTCATTCTGCCATGGAAGGTGAAGAATAGTAAAAGTCAGTTGTAATGTATACATGTCAAGGCATGATGAAACCATTTTAAGAATAAACAGTTTATCATTTCATTCATCTGGCCTAAGAAGATGAACATCTAGTGGTAATTAACAGGAAATGATGAGTTATAATCGGTGACATCTAGTGGTAATTAACGGTGACATCTAGTGGTAACTAGACATCTAGTGGTAATTAACAGAAAATGATGAGTTATAATCGGTTTCAGGGAACTTCCTGTTCAACATGTCTTGTAAAAAAAATTTTTTTTTCCTCCTGAGAATGCAAGATGATTTTTGATGCTTTATAATGCCTTGTTCTTGGTCAGCTTAACATGGGATGTTATTGCAAAAAAATATGCAATGTTCAGAAAAAGTTATATGACTCATTAAAGTCTTCCACCAAGACTTTGGTACTCACTAAACCAATTAATTTTGATTTCATCTATATATAGGGCATGGAGTATCTGGGTTCAAAAAGATATGTACATAGAGATCTGGCAACACGAAATATCTTGGTGGAGAATGAAAACAGAGTGAAAATTGGAGACTTTGGCTTGACAAAAGTTTTGCCACAGGATAAGGAATATTACAAAGTAAAGGAACCAGGAGAGAGTCCTATATTTTGGTATGTTTCCGATTGGTGATAGAGTCTAAACTAGAAGGATACAATAGATTATTTCATAAGACTTCTGGCTGTTAACTACCATGAATTTCTCAATTAAAAAGTCACTTAACCTGTTAGGCTCAAAGTAATATTTGCATTTGCAAATTTCTGGGTCCTCTCATTTTATCCTGCAGGTTTGTTTGTTTGTTTAATTAATTAATTAATTAATTATTTAATTTATATGCCAGGTATGCTCTGGAATCCTTGACAGACAACAGGTTTTCTGTGGCCTCAGATATGTGGAGCTTTGGTGTGGTTTTGTATGAACTCTTCACTTATATAGACAAGAATAAAAGCCCTCCAGCGGTAAGTAATGTGTATATATGCCTACATTTTTATATGTGGAAGTATAATGTTGTGGTTATCTTCTTGGCTTAAAAGATTAGTTTCTTGGCAGCATGCTCTATTGCCTTATATGTTTCTGCCACACTACCAAAAGTAGCTTGAATCAAATATAGTAATAACAGGAGACTCACTGAAGGATTATACCTGAAGCATATAATGCAAAAATATTATTTATTTGTTTGACACACTTTTTCTCAGTTCTTCGGTTGAAAAAAATCTCTAAAACAGCTTGTCGGAAATATGTTTCAGCTTGTGTTCCAAAGACAAATGCAAGAAAAAAAAAAGAATATATGAGAGAGAGAAAAAAGGCAAGGATTGTAAAACACAAACTCTTAAAATTGCTATATGTATAAAATTACCAGATTGAATGGAAAAAATTCAAAGTGTGGGAAGAATCAAATGGAGTTTATTTCTGAGTGTAACCAGGGCAATGATCCTGCTTCTAGCGACTGCTAGATGCAATTATAGGGAGTCCTCAACTTACAACCATTTGTTTGGCAACCGTTCAAAGTTACAATGTCACTGAAAAAAGTGACATGTGGTCAGTCCTCACACTTAAAACTGTTGCAGCATCTCCATAGTCATGTGATTCAGACAGGGATGAAATGCTACCGGTTCGGGGTTGTTCGCCCGAACCAGTAATGAAAATGCTACAGGTTCGCCCGAACTGGTAGTAAAAAAATGCTTTAAAAAATAAAAAAAATAAAAATAAAAAATTCCAACAATCATGCAGCACAGCTGATCATCTGAACTTTTAAAAAACTTTTTAAAAGCATTTTTTAACTATCGGTTTGGGCAAATAGGTAGTAAAAAAATGCTAAAAAAAAAAGTTGACAATCAGCTGTGCTGCATGATGGTCAGAACTTTTTTTTTTTACATTTTAAAGCATTTTTTTACTATCTATTGCCCAAACCGGTATTTTTGTGTAAAGTGTGATCATTTGTTTTTGAGCTCTCTGAGACTCTGTGAGATTCCTGCTTATTGCAGGGCCATTTTGTGTGAAGTCTAGCTGCTTTTGCATTGTGTGTGTGTCAGTTGTGTAGCTTTTGTGTTATTTTTGTGTAAAGTGTGATAGTTGGTCTTCCCAGTCACATGACCACCAAGCCACACTGACCCAGTCACATGACCACCAAGCCACACCCACCAAGCCACGCTCAAAGAACCAGTATGTATTTATGACGGTTACAGCATCCTTGGGTGATGTGATTGCAACTTTCACCATCCCAAAGTTTATTGTTGCTTCGTCTGTGTTTATTATTTGCCCTGATAATCCAAATTTGATTGTTTTAAAAAAAAAGAAAAGAAAAATAATCCTTATCATTATTGTTCAGTTCAATCCAATTCATTTTTGGATTTTTATTTCAGGAGTTCATGCGCATGATTGGAAACGATAAGCAAAACCAGATGATTGTGTTCCATTTGATAGAGCTTTTGAAGAATAATGGGAGGCTGCCAAGACCCGATGGATGCCCTGATGAGGTATTGGGTTATAACTTGCATGTAATGAGAATGTCTGAATCATTTCTGCAGTTAGTAGAGATGGTGTCATCAGAGAAAAATGGCTTGTATTTACTTGTCATAAGACTATGGGTAGTCCTCAAGTTACAACAGCAATTGTGACTGGGCTTTCCATTATTAAATGATGCAGTCATGAAGCACATTGTCACATGACCACAAAGCCACGCTGACCCAGTCACATGACCACGAAGCCATGACCACCAAGCCACGCCCACAGAATTGGTAGGGAAAATCCAGGCGATCTTGTTATTTGTTAAGCTAGAACTGCATAGGTCATTAGGTAAGGGACCTCACATGACTGCAATATGGCAAGAGGTAGGAATCCAGAAACATTTCCTAACACCACTGAAACCACATCCCAGCAAAGCAGACCAGTGGGCAGTGGTGTGGGTGGGCACTACAGAGTCTAAGATCCTCCTGCCACCCAGAGTCTCTCTGGGAGAAAAAGCAGTGGGAGCCAGCTTGCAAACTCCTGCCAGTCTCCCCATTGACTTTGCTTATGAGAAGCCAACTGGGGAGGGTTGCAAATGATGATCGTGTGATTGCGGGAAGCTTCAACAATTATAATTGTGAGCCAGTTGCCAAGCAACCTGAATCGCAATCACATGACGATAGGGATGCTGCAACAACAGCTTCAAGGAATAGTCAAAGGTCCTCCTTTTTCAGTGCTGTTGTAACTTCAAACAGCCACTGAATGAGTGGTTGCTAAGCAAAGATTACCTGATATTTTGTGATCAGCATCTACCTCTCAATAGACGTGTTACAAAATCAAAAGTAATTTAATTTCTAATTAGCCGTTTCAATTAGAAACAAAGCAGCAGCCTAAAAATGTTTTTTTTTTTAAATTTGATTTATATGCTGCCATTCTCCGGAGACTCAGGGCAGTTTACAGTGGATTAAACAATAGCCTTCATACTTTTGTATATTTTATACAAAGTCAGCTTATTGCCCCCACAAACTGGGTCCTCAATTTACCTACCTTAGAAAGGATGGAAGGCTGAGTCAACCTTGAGCCTGGTAAGATTTGAACTTACTTTAATTGCAGACAGCTGGTGTTAAATTACAGTGCTTAGTCTGCAGAGCTATCCAGGCTCCTTAAAAATGTAATAATTGTTGGTGAAATCAATGATCCCCTTTAGAATTGAGGCTGTTTTCAGTTTCCTGACTGTTAGAGGTCCTCCTATATTTTGTTTAAAATCTACTACCACCAACTACATTGAACAAGAGTCATCCTGAAAATGAATTCAGTGGATTTTGAAATCAATGGACATTTATTATGGTCATAAATGTTTTCTTATTGTACCATAATAACAAAGCAGGCAAATAATGTTTTTTTGTAATTGACTTTAATAAGATTGTTTTCACTTCACAATGTAAAATATCATAAAAGTATTCTCAAATGAGAAGATATAAATTCCTTTTGCAAGTAGGAAATGATCTTAAGTGTATAACACAGCATCCCCAAATTTACTTGAGGGATACAACCTCATGGCTCAATGGAATGAGAATTTTTTCTCAGTACTTTAGAATTATGATTACCAGCCTCATTGGCAATAGAAGATATTTAATAGGTAAGATGGAGATGAAAATAGAGGGGGAAATTGAAATTGGGGAAAGTAATAGATTTCTGCTTTCCCCACAGAACTGTTTAAATTTCATACTCTTTCTCTAAAATTATATATCATGTAGGCCAGAGCTGTCAAACTCAATTTGATTATGGACTGTCTCAGGGTTGTGTTTGACCTTGGACGGCTGGGGTGGAGATTGGCTAGGGTGGGTGTGGCCAGCTTGGCATCACTCGTGTTGAGGGTGCTTTTGGTGGCCCGAGCATTCTGCCAGTGAAAATGGACTCCCAAGCTCCATTTTCAGCTGCAACAGCCTCCTGCAGCCCCCCAAGATCTGTTTTCACTGGCAGAGGGCTGCAGTAAGACGTTGTGGCCAAAAACAGAGTCTGGGAGAGCCGCATGCAGCCCTCCCAAGCTCAGTTTTTGCTGGTAGAGGCACCGTGAGCTGGTCCTCCCGTTTCCATGGTGACCCCATGGGCCAGATCTAAGCACCCCACAGGCAGGATCCAGCCTGCAAGCCTTTTACACCCCTGATGTAGACTAAATCAGTTCCTCAGTCTTGTTCTTGCCTAATCAAGGAATTGTATGCCTACAAATTAGATGCATTTAATATATGATACTAAGAGAGGAAGATATTTATGTGAGCTAATGTATAGTATACCAAAATGTTCAATGTCTTTGGCTCCAAGGTTATTAATAATCCAAGTTTATTAATAAGCTGAGATAAAATTAGTAGCCCCTTATGATTCTGAATGGATTGTTACAGGGATGTAACAATCCATTCAGGTAAAGATTGTTCAGGTAACAATCCATTTGCTAGGTAAAGATAAAGGTTCCCCCCTTGAACATATGTGCTAGTAGTTCCCGACTCTAGGGGGCGGTGCTCATCTTCATTTCAAAGCCAAAGAGGCAGTGCTGTCCAAAGATGTCTCCGTGGTCACATGGCTGGCATGACTAAACACCAAAGGCGCAAGGAACGCTGTTACCTTCCCACCAAAGGTGGTCCCTATTTTTCTACTTGCATTTTTTACGTGCTTTCGAACTGCTAGGTTGGCAGAAGCTGGGACAAGTAACGGGAGCTCACCCTGTTACGCAGCACTAGGGATTTGAACTGCTGAACTGCCGACCTTTTGATTGACAAGCTCAGCGTCTTAGCCACTGAGCCATCACGTCCCTCTACCTTTGCTACCGGTTCGTAAATGTGCGCACACGCACGCTTGCTACTCTCGCACATGCCACCTCTGTGCATGTGCAGGGCCTTCTGCGCACGCGCAGAGCATCAAAAACAGGACGTGATGACATTTGGGCGGAGCCGCCTGCAGCTGCTGCTACTGGTTCGCCCGAACCAGAACCGGCTGAATACCACCACTGGATTGTTATTATTGATGTCTTTGCTATTGTTATTGTTATCTCATACTGATGTTTTTATCTTATCAAGGTTTATGCCATCATGTCAGAGTGCTGGAATAATAATGCAAGTCAGCGGCCATCTTTTAGGGATCTTGCTTTGAGAGTGGATGTCATAAGGGAAGGCCTGGGTGGATGAAAATCCTGAACTTGATCCAAGGGTACATGAAAACATGCAGAGCAAATGTACTTTGCTCCTTAAGCAGTTGCAGACTATCAGCCTTCCCATACATCTTCTTCCCATCTTTGAAGTTGGAGACTTTGAGGAAATCACCCCCTCAGAACGTACAAACGGAGAAGATCTCTGCTTTAGCTTTTTCATCAGGAACACTACCACAATGCACCAATGAAAAGCACTTTGATAGAAAAAGGAATTCCTTTTTTAAAAGAGTAAAACAGTGGATAGTATCGCCTGTAAATGGATTTACAGATCAAAATGTCAAGAAGAAAAGTCATGGAAAGGTTGGAGTTGGTCTACAGAATTTTTCTTTTCTCAGCTGAAGAAAATTTAGGCTGCAATCCTATATCATCTATTCCATGGGATATACCCTATTAATTTCTTGAGACTTATTCTAAGAAAACAGATAGAATTGTGCTCTTAAACAGTAGATTACCTGCAGAATGTATACTATTCGGCTTCAGCACAACTGTTAAAGAAAAGCACATTCCTAAAGGCATCACTTTGAAGAGGAACAAATGCTTGAATTGAAGCTTAGCAATGCCTAAGACATCAGATTCACACTGTGGTCTCGATCACTTGTACTGATTAGAAAAAAATGATTTCTACACTTTTTTTTAAAAGTCTCCATTTGTCCATTGTGTTTCCTATAAGCAGATGAGATTCATTTGTTCATTTGCCCATTGCATATTTCTTGTAAATGATTATGCAGTTCTTTTGAGAATATGCATTCAACATAAAAAGACATGGTAGAGAAGCAAAGAGCTCTCAAGGTGAGAGGAGAAAATAGCACAACTGGTTCTTGGAGTTGCCTTTATATCGTGGAAGATCCCCAGACTTTCAGTGTGGCATGCAAAAAAGGAAACTTGCAGAATGAGGAAGACATCTCTATCCTGCCAGAATTCGTAAAGCAATTCTGAGTGCCTGTGGATTACATTCCAAAAAGCCCCCCAGGATTTCCTGTTTGCCTTTTCTTTAGGAAACAAAATGGTTTCGCATGCTTTTTCATGGCTTACACAAGGGCTTGCATTTTTTTAAAATGCTAGTTTAGCTAGTTTTTACCATGTCGAGGCGTTATGGCTCCAGTGAAGAGAACAAATCATAGGTTTAGTAGGATTGAGCAACTGTATGCCTATCTGAGCCAATGGCGGGTCGGCAAAAGAAGCAGATATGCCTGTTGAGGCAGTATAATGCACTGTATATATTTGTGGGGGAAGGGAAGGGGAACAGATAAGTATTTTTTAAAAGAAAATATGTTAAAATTGCCTTTTTAAATAAGCAAATAGTTGTCTATTTTCCTACCTTTGTGTTTGTGGACTTGTAAAGCTTAACTATGTCGCCTAAAGGTGCAAAGATTGAAACCATATTGTAGCAGCTTAATCCTTGTTAGTCTTGTTATTTCTTTAACTTTTACAGGATGATTCATTCACCTGAAAAGAGAAGTATGCCTGTGATGTTACCAGGATAATCATGGCCCATCTTTTCTTGGGTTATTGGATCATTTGGCTGTATGTGACTTCAGCCGTGTGAAATAAGGGTTAGTCTGTGCAGATTTATGCTTGTCAGTATCAGTGGCACAACTTCACGTTTGCAAAATAGTATGCTGTTTCTGGCACTCTTGTGCTTTCAAACTCTATGTTAAGGATTGGCCATAAAAATTCAGAGGAAAGCAAGTGAATCGAATTCCTTTTTCCATAGTTTGACTGCCAAGTCTTGCTTTTGAAATGTAAAGTTTCTTTTAAGCAAATTTGAACTCAAATTCCCAATATCGGATGAGTAAGTTTGATCAAAGAAGCAGTGATTCTTTGCTACAGAAGCCAAATTAAAACTTGAAATGCATTTATAGCAAAATTTAGGGTAGGTGGCCATATTCTATAAGCCTTTATAGTCAGTTTACTTACCTACCTACCTCAAGCATAGAAGAAGGTACAGCAATGTGAATCTTGTATGGGATTGAACAAGTACCTCAAAATGCAGATGTCCAGCCTGTGAGTGCCAGTTTAAAATTGTTTGTGTCACTATGAGCACTAACATATATATCAAAGTGGACTGACTAGGCCTGGCATATATGCAAAGCTCCCCTTCCAAACATGCCAACTTCCTCAGTCTGGCTCGCTGATAAGGGAACAAGACCAGTCTATTTTGGAGAATCCATGCACAAACCATAGTTCTATTGGGTGGCAGGCGATAGGAAGTCCCTTTATTAGAGGAGAGGAGCCATCCCACTATCTACCATAATTTGCTCAGGTAAAGCCTTAATTTTATTTTAAAGAGTAGGAAATTATGTTAAGCAACAAAGGGGCAGGGAGGTTGAAATTGTAAATAGTTAACGTTTTGTAAAATGTCTGTTATCCTGTTATTGATGGCTGAATTTTTTTCCAATAGTATTTTAAGAGACAGTTTGACTGTATATTTTTAATGGCTTTGGATGATACATTGCACATTTGTACATTGATATAAAATTTATTGTACAGAAACTTCATTTTGGTTTTGTAGAATATTGTGGTAAATGCTTGGTGGTGGGATTTCCCGGTTAACCAAAATTATCGTAGCATCAAGTTGAAAGCAACACGAGGCATCAGGTTCAACATCAGTCTGTTTTTGAACTGCATCTGATCAAGGATTTCATATTCCATATAAAGGAAGAAAAACTCAGGGAATTTTGTGTAATGCAAATAAAAGTTCTTCCATAATTATTTTTTTCAAGTGATTTTTTTTTTGTTTGATCTAATAGAAGTGGAATATTCTACTTTCCTGATATAAGGAATTTCAAACATTTAACAAAAATATTGAAGTGCTTTAAGAGTTTGAAACCTACTCAATTTTGAATGTCCATTGTTGCAGCCATATAAGTGCTTGCACACAAAGTAAAACATTTTGAGCTTGGATTTATTTCTAAGTGAACATGATAGCATTGTGTTGTAAAGCACAAATAAAGCATTGTCCAGATTTCTTTTTCATTTTATTCCATTCACTTTGGCTCTGTTTAAATGGAAATTCAAGCAGATTCTGTTTTTTGGCACAAATATTTCCACATATGCAAGGAGTTTCTGGATACAGTCTTTCAGGCTGGATTGGAGACTACTTTAAAAATGTTCCGGTTCAAGATTTTAAAAGACACAAGAGACTTTCAAGAGAGGAGGGTTCTCAAAAAATTACGTTTACTGAGCTCTTGCATTTGTCTGGCTCCTGTCATTATGCATGAAGTCTTGATTTCATTTGTGCTTTCAGAATAATATTGGTCATGCACACAATTCAAAAACTATAATAACCAGTCAATCAAATAAAAATTGTAATTCTGTGATAGCAGTTTTGTACATATCATTTAAACATTACATTATTATACCATTTGTGTATCAATAGTGTTCTCAGTAATTTTCCTATTCCACTGTAGGAAGAAAGCTGTGTTTGTCTATGAAAGCCAAAAATCAGGAGGAATCTTGTAGCACCTTTCAGATTACCAGATTTTATTAAAACGTTTAGCTTCTTTGAGCTAAACTCACTCCATGCTTCTGATGAAGTGAGCTGTAGCCTACAAAAGCAGATGTATTTTAATAAAATGTGTTAATATGAAAAGATACCACAAATCTTCTGTTTTTTTCCCCCTTTCCCAGAGCGCTATTCACTTTATCATAATGGTTTACCATGATACCAATAATTGCTGTGACTTGCTTTAGGAAAAAAAAATGCTGCATAGATAAGACTGCTCCATTGAGTAAAGTGATAATACAACTACTGCTTTTTAGAACTTTTTTTAATCTATACCATTTTATATAAATAGATTGTATTTTGTAAAACATTTCTGTATTTTTATTTGCTAATTGGTCTGTGGTCCAGTACGATAGAATTCAGAATAATTTGCTTTAAATGTATACTAAGATAACAGAGTATTAAATATTTTTTAAAACTACATTTCCTCTTATTTTTCCATATACTTTTTGACTCCTTTCCTTCACTTGCAAAACTAAAGCTATTTCACTTGATCCAGGTCTTTGCTATGAAAGAGTGTAGACTATCCAGGCATTTTATAGAAGAATCAACCAATCAGAAAAGTATCTAAAAATGGACGTTCTTTGAAGGGCAAGAAAAAAAGAAAGACATGAAGAAATGGCAGATTTCAACAATGTATATCCTGCTTCCCATTTGCAGAATTTAGCCTCCCAACAGTTTGTTGGGCTGAAGATTTTGACCTGTTCTTTGAGCATGATTTCAAGGGTCAAAATCCTAGACTAATCCTATTTTTTATTTATTTTTATTTTTTAAATTTGATTTATATGCCGCCCTTCTCCGGAGACTCAGGGTGGTTTACAATGCGTTAAGCAATAGCCTTCATACTTTTGTATATTTATACAAAGTCAGTTTATTGCCCCCATAATCTGGGTCCTCATTTTACCTACCTTAGAAAGGATGGAAGGCTGAGTCAATCTTGAGCCTGGTGAGATTTGAACTTGCAGTAATTGCAGGCAGCAGATGTAAGTGGATGTTAACAACAGTGCTTTAGTCTGCTGAGCCACCAGAGCTCTTAGACTTAACTACTAGTCATTTAACCACCATTTGAAATTACTATGTCCTCAGAAAAGATACTTTATGGTCCATAAGGCACTTCCAGCTCTTGTAAAGCATTTCCCCACCCTCCAAGTCACATGATTGCGAACTGGGTCATCGGCAACCTGTTCACATTTAATGGCTGGTTGCCACCAAATCACATGATCATGTGATCATCATGTACAATCTGCCTGCTTCCCCAGAAAGTCAATGGGAAAGCCAGCACAAAAGGTTACAAGCTGCTGCCACCTAAGAATATTCCGTCTCATCTCTGAGAACTGTCTCAAAAAACTGCTAACCATGTGGAATTGGGATCCCCAGGCAGCAGGACAGCTCTTTTGAGTGAAAGGGTTTCCTACCAGCTCTGTGTGGTTTCTGACATTTCCAGCCCCAGGAAGGGTTTCCCCTGCATCCTTTGGGATGGAGGATGGGGTTTAAATCCTTCATTGGGTATTAGGAGCATTAAAATCCATTCTTGCAATCCGACAGGATTTCCTACCAGTGGATGGATTGGTGGGCTGCAGGAACAGAGCTAGAATCCTGAAGATCTTAGCTCCATTTCTGCAGCCCAATTATGTATTCCCCACTCCCCCTGTGGATACTTCCCAGGGTTTTCAGATGCACAATGCATTCCCTACCTGGAACTCCTGTTAGCGTCCCTGGAGATTACTTAAATAACTACAACTGGGGATGCAAGGATTCTACAGTATTTGTTTAGTGAATAAGTCCCTTAACAATCATTTGGCTCAATGACAGATTCCAGTCTCAACTGTGGTCATTAAGAACCAGTAAGCTTATGATTTGCAGAACTTTAAGCGCCCATATTATCAATTAATCCCTATCCTTTTTAATGTAAAATTTACATAAGTGCAGGATTCATGGGTCAAGGATTTATTAAAGGAAGGTCGAACACTGCATGTCTGCATTTGGAAAACAGTTTGTGTTACTAACTGGCACAAGTGGCTAGAATACTAACGATACCAGATTTAGCAAATAAATAGAACTTATCTAATTCCAGTGCCTGAGCCAGGGAACTAAAGAACCCAAAGCCCAAGCAAAGCACACAGGCCATCCATCAAAAGTTTGGTCAAACATTCTGCTAAATCTGTTGAGTTGATTGATGCCTGTTCACAGGTGCTTAAGCCTTTCTGACACATTGAAGCAAACATGCTGTGCAGGTGCTATAGTGTTTCTCAAACTTGGCAGTTTTAAGAAGTACCTCTCAATTTGTCAAGATTGAGAACCACCACTGTAGGTGGTTGCAAAGACGCAGGAAAAGAAAAGGAAAGCAATTCAGAGGGAGCAGGTGAGTCAGCTGACAGCTTATCTCATAACTGGAAGTTGGGCCTAGCTGAAGAAAAATCTGGGATGAATATCCCAGGTCATTCAAAGAGACTGGCTTAATAATTCAGTATAAATTAGACTTCAAAATTCTTACTGCAGTTTCCAAGATTCTATCTTGATTCCATAGTAACAGTAAAAATATCTTCCTGAACTTTATGCTTGCTTCCTTGATCTCGCCCAGCTATGTTGGGGTTGACAGATCCCATCACTGACCTCTTGTTCCAGTTGCCTGGTTCAGACCAAGAACACTACAATCCTGCAGTGATTCCAAATGGTAAACTTCAAATAATAATACTTTTATTCAATCCAATAAATTTACAAGCTATCATAATGTTCTATTCCTCCCTTAATGTTACTCTAGCAGTAACCTTATCAGCAGTGATGTCATCTGCTCACTTTGCCTACGTCTTTGATCACCACTAAATTGGATTACTGTGCTTGAGATGTGATTACCTCTGAAGATGATCCGAACACTGCACTGAGTGCTTGATGTTCCTTTTCTAGATGCTTGTAGTGTCACAATATCTGAACGCAGGCGCTCAGATGTTTTTTCCCTCATCGTTTATCAGTGTTTCCAAAAACAATTCAAATGTCATTCTTACACTTTACAGCTCATATTTCTTCAGAACCAGATTATGTGGGGGACGGTTGCTGTCCGTGTGCTGAAATCTATTTTAAGGAGTCATTCTTGAATGGCCATTGTTAAACTTTCCCTATGTTTTTGGAACACCTGCCAAACATCTACACTTCGCAAGTTCTGTGGAGTCCTTGGCAGTCTCTGAGCTTGGTTTACTGAAAACAGTAATTTATGAGCATTTTTTACACTTAGGATCATTGCAGCATTTCCATGGTCACATAATCAAAATTCAAGATGTTTGGCAACTCCTATTTATGACAGTTTCAGTGTCCCAAGATCAGATGATCACCTTTTGCTACCTTCTGACAAGCAAAGCCAATGGGGAAGCCAGACTCACTTAACAACTCTGCTACTAACTGCAGTGATTCACTTAACAACTATGGCAAGAAAGATTATAAAATGGGGCGAAACTCACTTAATAATGTCTCACTTAGAGAAATTTGGGGCTCCATTGTGGTCATAAATTGAGAACTACCTGTACTGTATGCACTCAGAATTCATGAACTTTAAGTGATTTATTTCATCTGGATAGCTAATATGTATTAATGGTTTACCACAATTCCACAAATGCTGCATAATGGATTGGTAATAGAAAATAAATAATCCAAATAATTGTACGGCTTATAAGAAATTCAATATATGAGGACATTTCTATTTGAATATTGTACCTAGAAAGAAAATGAATAAATTATCACTAACCATGAGAAATTTAATAATTCAGGTCCTACCCAAATATTAGGTAGATATAAATGAAAACCATTGCACCGCTATAAAAAATTACTGTTGACCCCTAAAGCTTCAGATAGGTACGTATTATGTCCTCAGGATCAAATAAGGCACAACACACTTTGAGAAAAATGGTGAAAAATGGTAATCTGTCCCCTAATAATCAGGCCTGCTGCTGCTGACTGTGCAAATGGCACACCTGTGTTCCTAGCAGCCACATCTACCAGTGACTCCTGGTGGCCTACCACAAACAAAACTGGAAAACTAGTTGTTACCTGTGGAAGCAAAGACATCCCAGATAATCTCCTAGTCCATTACTGCAAGTACAAGCAGTCCCTGATGTGTGACCGCTTGCTGAACAACCATTTTAAGTTACAATGGACTTTTAAAGTCTATTTACAACCCATCCTCAAAGTTACAAGTGTTTCACACACGCACACACACTGTGGTCGAGACTGCATGCTCATGAACCAAAATACCTAACAGTTCAATTAATTGCTCTTGGAAGTTCTTTTTTTAAAGAGAACAATGTGCTGATGAAAAAGAACCTTCAGATTGAAAAGGTGTTTTTTTCCCCAGATGAAAATATCTATGTCCAAATATCTAAATCAACTCATAAGGTCAACGGAACAGCTCTCAAAGCACTCTGTTCTTTTTCTGAATTACTGTTTGTCCTGTGTCCTAGAAAAGTATAAGGAAAACTTAAACATCAGTTTAGAAAGCAGCTGCACCCTTGTATGAGAATACTGCAAAACAGATTATTACAAAATATGGAATAAATGGTATAAATGGCTCGAGATTAGAAATAAAGAACAATAGTGATAAGAGAGAAGATTAGAAGTACAAAATATATATATAACAAATGCATGTAGTGGAATAAAAATATAACAGAAATGTAGAAATGCATAGTATTAAAGAAATAATTAAAATGTATAGATCTCCATAGGGGGAAGCGAAGGAAAAAAAAAGGAAAACGAGGGGAAGAAGAAGGAGTATTACACTAAGTTATAGGGGAAGAAGAGCAAAGTAACAAATGGAAGATGAAACAATGCTTAAAAATGATAAGATATTTATATGTTGTATGTTGTGTAAATGTCAAATATATGTTTTAATAAAATTATAAATTAAAAGAGAGAGAGAGAGAATACTGCAAGGCAGTGTTATAATCCAAAATTTTTTACTACCAGTTCTGTGGGCATGGCTTGGTGGGTGTGGCAGAGGAAGGATATTGCAAAATCTCCATTCCCACCCCACTCCAGGGGAAGGATACTGCAAAATCCCCATTCCCTCCCCACTCCTGGGGGAAGGATATTGCAAAATCTCCATTCCCACCCTACTCTGGGGCCAGCCAGAGGTGGTATTTGCCAGTGCTCAAAATTTCCGCTATCGGTTCTCTAGAACCTGTCAGAACCTGCTGGATTTCACCCCTGCTGCAAGGTGATTTGACTCTGTGCACAAGGTTTATACAGGTTGTTGGTAGGATTTCTTCCTAGTAACAGTATCTTTATTCTGTTCAATTCTCTGCCATTACTATGTATTTCATGGTCTATTATGATGGATACCCACAAAGGGTATTGAGTTCAGCCTACACTAAAGGATGAGATAATAAAATAAATAAAAAATAAAAGTAGTTTAAAAATAATTTAAAAAATAATAGAATTCATATTGAATTACATGGTTTTATTTAATAAAGCAGATGATATACAGGCAATACTTCTTTTAAAAAAGTTTCACTTTATTTGGTCAACTTATACAATTTGAGTCAGTGATCATCAATAGAAACTGTCTGTTCCTGCTCCTAATTAAAATAGTTAAAAATATGTCTCTCTTTGTTTGGGACGGAGAACGAAGATCTAGTTTTAGCACCCTTATATTCCTTTTCTGATGGACCAGATGATGAACTTTTCAAGTTTCAGAAAAGGCCCCACATACAATGCTTGTGTCAGAGTTTAAGTCAGCAATGTGATTATAAACATACCTATTTTATTTCTCAATAAAAAGTTTGCTTTGTGCTCTTCTGGCTTTTTCAAGATCATCAAAAGTGATAGGTCCTTTTGGCATTTCTAACACAGCATAGTCTGTGTCAATTATGTTCTCGGCTTCACCTAAAGAAAAAGATGTATATATTGCATCAGTTTTGTAAGACCAGAGATAATCACTGATACTAACTTTCTGTTAAGGAGTTTACAGTACTTACATTTCATTCTTTGTAGTAAAGTTCCATATCCCTTATCGTACTGATAGGCAAGTATAAAGCTCAGAGGTATAACTGGAATAAAGAGTTGAGGTCTCTTATTTTTTATTGCTCTGTATTGGAAAAAAAATTATATACTAGATAAATAGGCAATAAAAAGTAATATAATCAATATCCAGAAAATATGCTTTAAATGCAAAATATTAAGATTACTTAATGCTGAAATTAAACATGTTTTGTGGTAATAAAGCTCTGTAGCTTTTAGTTTATATTTTCATTTGGTATAATTATGCAAATAATATGGATAACCAAATTCACACATACTCAGTTCTTTTAATATGCTACTAATGTAGTATTGCTAACAATTATGCTAACAGTTATATTTTGTTGTGCTAACTGTAAATCCCACGTTTGCTTAATTGATTATTGTAAGGGTTTTTTCAGTTCACCAGATTATAGCAGAACAAACTCCCACTGTTTTACTCCTTTAATGTAAATTTGTTTCTGGCCATATTATGATAATTATGATAAATATTTGTTCTAATATGTTTTCAACACACCAAAATGCAAGGCACTTCTTGATAAGAAAATTCTCTCCTCCCATTCCAGTGGTTTACTCTAAGCAAGCAAGCTTAACTAGCCCATATTGCTTGATATACCAGAGTGATATAGAGGTTAAGATGTTAGCCTAAGAATGCAGATAGTCAACTTCAAGTCCATCCTTAGTTATAGCAGCTCACTCGGTGAATTTGGACCAATCACTCAGACCAAACTATTTCAAAGGGCAAAAATGGAGGCTGGAGTGCTATGTACACTGCTTTCAACTCCTGAAGGAAAGGTGGGATATAAACCTAACAAATGCAAATAAAAAGCAAATGAAAATGGTTAAACCAATTAGGAAGTGTTGTTTTGATGTTGTTTCATAGAGCAAGTATGATGTAGTGGTTAAGGCAGCAGCTAAAAGCTGAGAGACACTGAATTCTAGTTCTGCCTTAGGCACAGAGCTAGCTCAGTGATTTTAGACAGTTGCTTTCTCTCAGTCCTAGGATGAAGGCAATAGCAAACCATGTCCAAAATCCTGCAGGGGCTATTTGTCAGAAGCCAACCAAAAAAAATGCAAATCAGGAGCCTTTGTTTATCCCTCTTTTCATAGACCAATATTGCTAAACTAAGAATAGAACTAGGCTGGCTCCAATGGAAATCACAGCTGGAGATATAAATCAGAAATGTCAATTCAGGTCTAATATTAAGCCAACTCAGGTTGCTTATTTATTTATTTATTTATTTATTGGTTCAATTTATATGCTGCCCTTTTCCGGAGATTCAGGGCGGTTTACAATGCATTAAGCAATAGCCTTCATACTTTTGTATATACCTGCTTAGTAGGGCTTCCCCCCCCCAGCAGTGTTCTTTTTTATACAAAGTCAGCTTATTGCCCCCACAAACCAGGTCCTCATTTTACCTACCTCAAAAGGATGGAAGGCTGAGTCAACCTTGAGCCTGGTGAGATTTGAACTTGCAGTAATTGCAGGCAGCTGGTGTTACTTAACAGTGCTTTAGTCTGCTGCGCCACCAAGGCTCTTTTTTTTTTTTTTTTTGCTTAGTTTCTTTTGCTATCAGGAGAAACCAAGCTGGAGTGACAGACTGCATGCATATTCTGCCATAATACACTATAAACCAGTATTGTGAAGGATGCTTCCTTATGTGATGTAGCATTTCTTATTTGAAAGGAACAGAAAAGGGAGATAATCACTAATGTGATTGTAATCCCTAATACAGCATGCATAGCTGGTCTGTGCCTGGACCAAAGCACCTTTTTCATTTCATGTACACCTCTAGACTGGAATATACAATCAGTTATATTTATTTATTAGTTAATGTTTTATTTTAAATGTATCCTTTAAAAACTGAAAGAATGAGAGTAAAAATAATAAAATCTGTCTCTCATTTGCTATTTAAGGGGGGGGAGAATAACTGCATACCCAATTGTTAGACCCACAGTTGTAAGGCCATAAAATGATCCAAAATACTTGAGAAACTCCCTTGTGCCCGCAATCTGCATGGCCATCTGTCTCTCACGCATTTGATTTTGTATCAGAAGTTGCCTTTCTAGCTGAATGTAAAAAAGAAAAAAAGATTTTACTTATACATTTCAGTAACACAGAATAACAATGTTTTCAGCCTTTATATATTTGGTACCTATTTTCATAATTTCAGGATAAAGAATTATTATCTTAAACTACTTGTTGGATTACAAAATATCATACACTTGTCCAAATTACTGCATAAATATCCGTCTTTCATTTTGGATGACTTAATCAGCTTCTGACAAAAGAGACAGTAAAACTGTACAAGGTCTCAATATTATGACAACTTCTATTTGTCAGAATGCAACATTTTTATTTAAAAGCATTTACAGAACTATCTGCAAATTTGATGACACTTGGTCTAGTGAAAGGTATGTTTAGTGTATCCCTTGAAACCAGACTCAATTCATTATATTGTCATGGATTCACCATGTGTAATTGGTTATCTCTTAATTTATGAATTAGTAAAGTGAAAAGTGATAGTGCAATCAAATTTCTTCCAACGTTGTTAATTTTTTAACAGCTAGTCAGCTCCAAGATTTTATGAACAGAAAACCTAATATTATTTCCTCAGAAAACGTGTCACATCATAATTCTCGATCATTCAAAATTACCAGTGTCACTGTAAGATTATAAGATTAATAGCTAGGTGTCAAGTCAATGTAATTACTGCTACAAGGTTCAAATACTCCAAAACAGGAGACTATTAAGTACAGATACTCTTTGACTTTCAACCAATCCCTTAGCAACTGTTTAAAGTTACAATGAATCTTGAAAAAGTAACCTGCAACCCAGATTCAAAGTTCTGATGGCTGCCCCATCCCCATGGTCATGTGACTGCATTTTGGGCACTCTCATCCCAGTTACATGATCAAAATTTGCAATCTTTTTGCTAGAAAACTGCATTTATTCCTGGTTTCTAGCCAAAAACGCCCACAGTAAACAATGGCTTCTTTTAATGATCACAGTAATTGTTTAACAACCCCTGCAAAGAAAGTCACAAAACTAGGTGTGGTCATGTGATGACCTGCTTAATAACCCTCATGATTTACAGCCATAATTATGCATACCTTCAATTACGGCTGCTAAGTCAAGGACTATCTGTATCTCTATTATATTATCAACATGTTTTATTTCCTGCATCAGAGTCCAAATGAAACTTTAATATATCACCATTTGGATCTCAAAATAGTTTCAAATCAGTGCTTTAGCATGCAATGATAGTTACAATGCTGTACCCTGCTGTTACAATTCAATTTATTAGATACAGGCAGTCCTCGGCTTACAACAGTTCACTTAGTGACCGTTCAAAGTTACACTGGCACTGAAAAAAGGGACTTATGACAATTTTTCACACTTACAACTGTTGCAGCATCCCGATGGTCATGTGATCAAAATTCAGCTGCTTGGCAACTGGTTTATATTTATGACTGTTGCTGTGTCCTGGAGTCATGTGATCCCCCTTTTGTGACCTTCTAACAAGCAAAGTCAATGGGGAAACCAGATTCACTTAACAACCAGGTTACTAACTTATCAACTGCAGTGATTCACTTAACAACTGTGGCAGGAAAGGTTGTAAAATGGGGGAAAGCTCACTTAACAAATGTCCCACTTAACAAGAGAATTTTTGTTTTTGTTGTCCTGGGCTCCATTGTGGTCATAAGTCAAGGACTACCTGTATATATCAATGCTCTAGAACTCTCCTACTACAGACCTCTAAAGCAACAAATTCTAGATACATGATAAAGTGCTTCATGGCCCTGAAAAGTTTCAGTCCCTATCTATCTGTCTTTTTTCTTTCTTTCTCACCCCACTATGGAGTTAAAGAGCTATGTACTTATCCATGAAACCTGGCAGAAAAACAAAACTGGAATAAATTTGTTGATCCTGTTGTCAGTGCCCATCCTGCCTCTGTTGGGTCTGTCTTATTGCCAAATGGTAATGTTCTGATAAGTAATATGAGCAAAGTGACTGGCTTCTCTGCAGAGGTGGTATTCAGCAGGTTCTAACCAGTTCTGGAGAACAGGTAGCCAAAATTTTGAGTAGTTTGGAGAACCAGTAAATGCCACCTCTGACTGGCCCCACCCCCATCTATTCTCTGCCTCCTGAGTCCCAGCTGATCAGAAGAAAATGGGGATTTTGCAGTAACCTTCCCCTGGAGTGGGGTGGGAATGGAGATTTTACAGTATCCTTCCCCTGCCATGCCCACCAAGCCACGCCCACCAAGCCATGCCACGCCCACAGAACTGGTAGTAAAAAAAAATTGAATCCCACCACTGCTTCTCTGGCTTTTTAAAGTTCCTTTTTATCATATCATCAGCCAGCACAGAAAAAAATCAAGTCACTAAGCAGATATGGAGGGTCTGACTTCAGAACTCACTTGTCTGTCCTTCCTCCCCACTGTGTAAAACAATGAGATATAACAGTAAATAATAGGTACCAGGACAGCCTATAACTAGACACCTGAAGGCACCAGGACAGTAATAGATCTAGTGAAGACATAGACAAATGTTGCCATGCTGCGCAACCATTTAACTCCTCCAAAGCCAATCAAGGAAGAGCTGCTGAAGAACCACCTCTCTCTTTCCTGGGGATGGGAGTGATTGAAAGTGGCAAAAAGAGAGAAATTGGCAACCAAGCCACAAAGCCCAGTTCAATACCCCTCATTATTTTTCAGGACACCACAATGAGGGAAAGCTGTGGCTTTATGTAAAGATATAAGTGGAGAAGTCCATAAAAATGAATCATAAGAAATTCTGCCTCCCCCCCACGCACACTTTCTCTTCTGCCAATAAATACATGCAATTTTGCTCTGCTTTTTGGGAAGCTTGAATAGAGTTTGGTACTGAAAACAATGAGGAGCTAGGTAAAGAGTGTGAAAGGAATGCAAGAAACAAAGTGCAAGTGGAAAAATGGAAATAATGTCAGAAAAATGGACTCAGTGGAAGATGGCTAATGGCCAGAGAAAAGGGGCACATCCATGCTTACCAATCCTTCTGAACACAAGTAGTCCTTGACTTACAACAGTTCATTTAGTGACTGTTCAAAGTTGCAACGGCACAGAGAAAAGTGACTTATGACTGTTTTGTGTGTTTTTTTTTAATTTGATTTATATGCCGCCCTTCTCCCGAGACTCAGGGCGGCTTACAATGCGTTAAGCAATAGCCTTCATACTTTTGTATATTTATACAAAGTCAGCTTATTGCCCCCACAAACTGGGTCCTCAATTTACCTACCTTAGAAAGGATAGAAGGCTGAATCAACCTTGAGCCTGGTGAGATTCGAACTTACAGTAATTGCAGACAGCTGGTGTTAATCACAATGCTTTTAGTCTGCTGAGCCACCAGGCAAGTTTTTCACACTTGACCACTGTAGCATTCCCTTGGTCACATGATCTAAATTCAAATGCTTGGCAACTGACCCATATTTGTGATGGCTGCAGTGTTCCGGGGTCATGTGATCACCTTTTGTGACTTTCTGACAAGCAAAGTCAATGCCAGATTCATTTAACAACCGTGTTACTAATTTGACAACTGCCGTGGTTCACTTAACAACTGTGGCACGAGAGGTTGTAAAATGGGGCGAAACTCACTTAACAACTGTCTCACTTAGCAACAAAAATGTTAGGGTCAATTGTGGCCGTAAGTCGAGGACTACCTGTACAACTCTGATCACACTCAATATTGGTCACGTGAGCCCATCTTTTTGGTAGCAAGTAGGGAAGCATAGGAGATTTTGCACACTTGAAGAAACAAGACTGAGGTTGGTGTCAGAAGAGGAGGCAACCACAACTCTTAAACCATGATCACTGATGACCAATTAAGCCTACACCTCACTCACACCCTTGTACTTAGGAAGCAGACAACTGAGGTTTAGGCTCTGTTTGTTGACAGAGAAATGTATGATTTATATTGTGGGTGCTAAACTGCACAAAATCATGTCCTCCTGTAAAATTGTTACACGTAGGAAACAAATGTTAGAATACAGTATCTACTTACCTGGGCATAGTTACATTGAAATCAATGACTGATTTCTAAATAGAGCAATATATAGTATAACTCTACATTGCATAAAATAATAACTGGAACTCAATGAGACGTACTTATGAATAGACAGATATAGGATTCAGCTATTAAAGGCCTCCCTCTGTGAGGGAATTGGGTAGTTCTTAAATAGGATAAAATAAAAATATGTTACAGTAGCTGTCAATTGGATATAGTCTTATTACCAAATGAAATATATCAACTATCTCCCCCTTAGACTTGGACAAAATGAACTGACATGGGCACCTTATTTTATCTTTTATTTTTCTATTACTATATTTTGTACTATATGAGACTTGGCCCTAACTCTAAAAAGATTTTTTTTTAAAATGGAAGAGAGAACAGGATCCCACAGCATTTCTAAAATCTTCACATTGTTACCAAGTTCTATAATGCAAAAAAAAAGAAAAAAAAGAAAAAGAAACCCACCTGAAGTCGAGAATTCATAAGCATGAATTCCTTCTGATTCTGCAGGCTTTCATTGACAGACTTTGAAAAGATGAATCCCATTTTGATCTAAAAGGAGAGAAGAAGGCATTGCAACCGTAGTTAACAATCTCCCAAACATTTTACACCTAATAATGCTAACCTATATATCCTGAAGAAACCAGAGTGTGGGGGTGGATAGTTTTGCTGTGCCTTTAACTATAGTTGCCAACACTAGGCTGAATTTGTGATGAGGGCTATCAGATCCGGGCTGCAAAAATCCCAGGTCAAAGGATACAAAGGAATCATAAAACCTAACCGAAAACTATAGAAACTCGGTTCTTGCTATCTTTTTTTTTTTTTTTAAATTTGATTTATATGCCGCCCTTCTCCGAAGACTCAGGGCGGCTTACAATGTGCTCAGCAATAGCCTTCATCCTTTTGTATATTTATACAAAGTCAGCTTATTGCCCCCACAAACTGGGTCCTCATTTCACCTACCTTAGAAAGGATGGAAGGCTGAGTCAACCTTGAGCCTTGGCGAGATTCGAACCCTGCAGTAATTGCAGGCAGCTGGTCTTAATAACCAGCTTAATAACAGGGTGCCTTAAACCCCTGTACTACCAAGGTTCTTTTTATCTTAGTGGCGGTGGAGGCACCTGCAGCCCAGCTACGGTACTCCCACTTCCTTACTACATAACTAAAATGACAAATCGTCGTTTACAAACCACAATTGCCGAGACGGGCGAATAGGAGGGGTGGGATCTCCTTCCTTTGTCGAGAGGCTCAGCCTGGGCGCTGCGATCCGCAAAAGTCAAGACACCACAAACTCACGCGGGCGATGCACGTGCCCGCCCACGCGGTGTCGAGTATCCAAGCGGGAGAATGATGGGAGTTGTAGTCCCAGAGTCTTACCGATGCCCAGTCCGTGCCAACCACCGCGGCGCCTGACGTCGCTGCTCTGCCCAAGCCCCGATCGTGCATAAGTACCGAAGAGAGACCATGCTTCCCAACTCCTCTCCCTTCTTGGCCTTTCCTTAGCCCGGGGGTGTCCAACCATGGCAACTTTTAAGAGCTGTGGACTTTTTGGCACCAGGGATCAGTTTCATGGAACACAATTTTTCCATGGAGTGAGTGAGTGAGTGAGTGAGTGTGTGTGTGTGTGTGTGTGTGTGTTGGCAGCTTTAAGACTTGTGGATTTCAATTCCCAGAATTCTCCAGCCAACTGAATTCTGGGAGTTGAAGTCCACAGGTCTTAAAAGTTGCCATGGTTGGACACCTTGCCTTAGTCTAAACCAGGGGTCCTCAAACTTGGCCGCTTTAAGACTTGTGGACTTCAACTCCCAGAATTCAGCTGGCTGGAAAATTCTGGGGGTTGAAGTCCACAAGTCTTAAAGCTGCCCAGTTTGAAGACCTCTAGTCTAAAACTCTCCCATATTTTACCTTTTTTTTCAGGTGATCTTCGCTCGCTCAGAACCTAGTTAGCCTAGGTTGCAAAAACACTTCCGGGCACAATTCGCTCAGCGCGGCCGACGAACAGATTGCGCGGAGTTCGTAATGGGCGTTCAAAAAGAGCAAAGACAATTAGAAACAGTTGTGGAAATGGCCAGCGAGGCAGGAAGGGGGGGGCGTGGGGGGATGGGGGGGGATCCAGCTCAGAGAAGGACCTCCTGCTACGGTATGCGCTTTGCAATAACAACAACTAACGAGTTGCAACTAACAACCACCCGGGGGGGGGGGGTGCGGGGGAATCACCCGTGTCGGGTTGATTAGCGACCATACTACGCAATCCTGAGGGAAGAGTCAATTGGGGTAAAGAATCTCAGATCAGGACTGCAAATGCTACCGTAAGAGACCTCCTCGTTTGGCCTTGGGCCAGGACGGTTGGACTATGGTTTATGTATCATTCATGCCAGGCAACATCCCTTTGCTCCATAACCGGCTGGATGATAAAATTGCATTTTTCTAACGCATCTTTTCTTCTTTTTTTTTTTTTAAAAAAAGGCAAAGTTCGGTGGTTATACCCAACTCTTTGGGACGCCTTTGGTGGTGGGGTGCTCGAGTGTAGCCACGATCGGGCACCAACAAACAACGGCGACAACAACAACACACACGCACACACTGGAAAAGCAGATTAACAGAGTTGGAAGGGACCTTGCAGGTCATCGAGTCCAACCCCCTGCCTAAAATGGAGACCCTACATCTGACGCTGCTATGCAGCTAAATAGGCCAAACGCCGATTGGGGCTTCGTAGCTCAGAAATGCCAAATTAAGCAAAAGTTGCAAGCTTAAGGCAAGGCGCGAACACACTGCGCTCAGGGTTGACCTCACGGGGTTGTTTTTGTTGAGGGGGAAACCGGAGGAGGAAGGCGTATGTTCGTTGCCTTCGGTTGTTTATAAAAAAATAATAAAGGCGGGACGTAAATAAATGAAGTTTTAAATGGCTAAAATGGTCAGGGAGAGACTCTTCCCTTCACAGAGCCTCACAGAGCGGGGTTAAAAACAAAATTAAGACGAGGCGGCGACGCCCTTGCGGTCGAAGCCTGGCCCTCTCTTAACGGGCTGGAAGAGAAACCCGCGTCAATGGCCAAAGCCGACCATTGTGGTGTCGACAAGTGTCGAGGGCATCTCCGGCCACGGCCAGGCTTGTAGCAAGAGATGGAAGTAACTCCCCAGAAAAAAAATATATGTGAAAGACTTTTCTGCCTCCTCACTTGGCCCCAGATTTTTTTTAAAAAAAACCTGATATGGTAAGGGGTGACCAAAGTCTAACATAATAACAGAGTTGGAAAGGGTCTTGGAGGTCTTCTAGTCCAGCTCCGGCTCAAGCAGACAAGTGGCTGTCCAGTGTCTTCTTGGAAGTCTTCAGTGATGGAGCACCTACAACTTCTAAAGGCAAGCTGTTCCACTGGTTAATAGTTCTCACTGTTATGAAATTTTTCCTTAGTTCTAGGTTGCTTCTCTCCTTGATTAGTTTCCATCTATTGTTTCTTATCTTGTCTTCTGGCGCTTTGGAAAATAGGTTGATCTCCTCTTTGTGGCAGCCCCTCAAATATTGGAACACTGCTGTTATGTTACCCCTAGTTCTTCTTTTCACTAGACTAGACATACCCAATTCCTGCAACTTTCTTTATATGTTTTAGCCTCCAGCTACCTATACATCATTTCTGCACTTTTTCCAGAGTCTCAACATCTTTTTTATAATATGGTGACCAAAACTGGATGCAGTATTCTAAGTGTGGTCTTACTAAAGCTTTATAAAGTGGAACTAATACTTCACATGACCGTGATTTTATCCCTCTGTTAACGCAATCTAGGATTAGATTGGCTTTTTTGTCTGCTGCCACATACTGCTGGCTCAAATTTAAATGACTGTTCACTAGGACTCTACGATCCCTCTCAGAGATACTGCTATTGAGCCAAGTTTTTACCTAATCTGCACCTGTACATTTGTTTTTTTTTCTTGTCTATGTGTAAAACCTTACTTTTTTCTGCATTGCACTTCATTTTCTTAGATAGAATCAAGTGTTCAAGTCTGTAGAGATCCATCTGGATCTTGAATAGAGCGTTGCTTCTGGGGTGTTGCTATTCCTGTCAATTTAGTGTCATCTACAAATTTGATGAGTTTCTCTCCTATTCCTTCATCTAAATCATTTATGAAGATGTTGAAGAGTATGTGGCCTAAAACGGAACTGTGGGGGTACCCCACATCATACTTCCCTCCATGTAGATGTGGTTCTATTAAGGACTACACATTGAGTGCAGTTTGTCAGCCAATTATAAATCCATCTGGTGGTAATACTGTCTATCGCATATATTTTTTTAGCTAACCAAGAAATAGGTTGTGGTCTACTTTGTCAAATGCCTTACTGAAATCCAAGTATACTATGACTGCTGCATTTTGCTGGTCCACTAATTTAGTCACTTTACCAAAGAATGAAATGTTTTAGAATTGGCTGGCTCTATTTTTGCCAATTCAAATAGGAGGCCCAAAAAAGAGCCTTGTCCCCCAGATTGTAGGACAACAGTTTTCTGACTGAAAGAGCAGACGATTCAAGAAAGACCCATATTGTCTCAATTAATACATATAAAAATTCAGATCTGATTCTCACAATTTTGGATAATCCAGGCAATATTGACATCCAAGTAAAAATCTCATTGATTGCATTTAATTTGGCCCCCATTCAAAATGTATTAATATATCTAATTTCATTTAAGTTTGGGCCTGAGGGTATAACAATGAGTTCAAAGGTGTACACAGACTGCAACGTTTCCCTGTACAAATTATGACATAAATTGTGACATTATGTCAAAGCAGAAAGCCCAAAGAAACTATATTTGGTAAGGAAGAAAACAGGGAGAAAAAAAAGAAGCTCCACCCACTCTTTGCCCTGTCTCTATTGATTAGCAGCCCCTTGCAGATTATTATTTGAATGTAGAACAGGAAGACCTCCAAGCATATTTTTAATCTTATGCTTTATGTAAATATGATCTGTGCAAGACAACTTTGATTGGCCTTTGTAAGATGCTTTATATCTATTGCACACCAGGCGGTGCTATTGCTTTTCTAGAGTCCAGCACCCTGCAGCTATTAGGGCAGCTGAAGTTTGCATATAATTGTGATTAGATATACCTGAACGGTTTGTTAATCCAGCAATTACTGGCATGCCTCAGCTAAATATCCTGCCTTTGCTCCTATATTCATATTTCCTCTCTTAGTCATAACACTAAAGCACAGGGTACCACCACCAACATTGTGTGAAACTCTCAAAAGGATCTGTGCATTGTGAAAATTATCCATCTTTGACCAACTTTTGTGAACCAGTAACTTAGGTAACCAGTAAACATCCTAATTTGATTCAAAACTTGTTTAATGCAAAATAAAGTATGACTGCTTCCTGTTTAAAAAGAATTAAGATTAATGGTGGCAAAGTGGTTAGAGTGCGGTATTGCAGGTTTACTCTGCCCACAATCTGGAGTTTGATCCTGACAGGCTCATGGTTGACTCAGCCGTCCATCCTTCCAAGGTCAGTAAAATAATAACCCAGATTGATGGAGGCAATATGCTGACATTGTTAACTGCCCAGAGAGAGCTGTAAAGCACCATGGGGCAATAGCAATAGTACTATTGCTATTGCTAGATACCAGTGGTGATATCCGGACATATCTATCTGGCTCATGCAAACCGGTAGCGCCAGTGGCAGGAAGCTCCGCCGACCTGCCAGTACATCATTAAGTCCCATTTTAAACTCTTTGCGGAGAAGAGGCATGCACATGCAGAGTGTGCATGCTCCTGTGCACTCCCGTTCCCAAACTGGTAGCAAAAGGTAAGTGGATTTCACCGCTGCTATATACCTGTATAAACTAGAACAAAACTACTTTAACTGGATTGGAAAACCTAGATAGCTGCTAGTTTGTAAGAAAAAGATATATTTAATAACTTTTTTTCAAATTTGGCAACCTTAAGATGTTTGGTCATCAGCTCCCAGAATTCACCAGCCAGTTGTGTCTATACAACATTAAGTTGCTGTTCAATAAACACTGTTTAGTGTAGTGGTGTCAAACTCAAGGCCCGCGGGCCAGATCCGGCCCACAATATGGTTATATCTGGCCCATAGGGCTGCCCTGGAAACAGTGAAGGAGTGGCCCGTGGCGCCTCAGCCAGCCTGAGGCTGACCAGGAGCAAATATACAACCTGGTGGTGGCCATCCGGGCTGGAACACAGCCACCCTTAGATCCACAGGGCCGCTCTGGAGCTGGCGGGGGGGCCGCCCCTGCCCCTCCCCCTGAGCGCACGCATAGGAGGCAGCGAATGTGTCCAGGGCCTCATGGCCCCAGAAACCATCTTGCCCCACAGGCTGATGGCATTCTGAGTGCTTCTCTTTCACCCAGGATACCAGTGCTCGCATGCCCGCTGCCTCCTGTGTGCACACACGGGGCAGGGCCAAGGCAGCAGGGCGGTGTCTCTCACTAGCTCCAGGGTGGGTCGTATCTAAGACCCAGGTGCAGAAACCAATGCTGTCCGTGGCCCAGGTGGGCTGCTTGCTCATGTGCGCCGGCCTTACTGTTTGAGGGCAGGAATAAAGCCTTCAATTGAGCAAAGCCCTCACACCTGCATCCAACATGCCAGAGCTTGCCGTGCCGGGAGAGAAATGAGACCCGTTGTCCCGCGGAGCCCGCCACTGCTTGAGCAGGAAGGAGGAAAGTGGTGAGGATTTGTGCCGGCTGGCCAACCAGCCAGGGAGTAAGTTGGGCTGGCTGGCTGAGGAGGGGGGATCATGGCTGCTCAGATGGCTCCTGTCGCCACCAGCAGCTTGGGTGCCCCAGCTCCATGCGAGCTGAAGAAATCTGAAGTGCAGCAGTGGGATTGCCCTCAAAGATCGCTCCATTTTCAAGCGCTCCATTTGCACACACCCCGCAGGACAATGGCGTCTCATTCCTCCCCCAGCGCGGCGAGCCGAACGTGGTTGCGAGGGCTTCATTCAGTTGAAGGCTTCGTTCCTGCCCTCAGACAGTGAGGCCGGCGCCCACAAGTGCTCCAGGGCCAGGGGCAGTGTTGCTCCTTCTGCTATGTCTGCTTTTGCCTCCTCCTCCTTTTCCTGGTCCTGCTTCCTCTTCCTCCAGCTACGTCATCTTCTTCCTCCTCCTCTTCTTCCTCACTTTTTCCCTCTCCCTCTCCTGGCACTCACGCTCCCTTCGTGCACCCCTCCAAGTTTGCAAGACAAGCATGCAGCAGCCCAACTTGTAACTGGGGGCTCCCCCAAGGCCTCATTGGAGGGGGACCCCACCAAGGTATGTGTGTGTGTGGATGCCTTTTTCTCAGAGCGCAAATAGGGGCAGGGAGAAGCTACCTTTCACCTTAATTGCTGCGTCTCCAAGGGAATCCCTCTCTCGTTTGCACCGCTTAAAGACGGCTGGGATCCGTTGCACTTCAGCTGGAGTTTTTTTGCTTTTGTTTTGATGCTTGAGGATGCCTCATGTGGTTTGGCAACATCCTGCCTGCTTTTCATAGTTTGGTTTAGGGTGTGTGTTTGTGTGTGTATTTATTTAAAGGACTTTCATTGCTTGGTCCAAGCCTTTGCAAACTGAGGCGACTGCATGCTTTGGGTTACTTTGCAAAGAGGCATTGTGCTATGCCGAGTTGGTTTGGTTTTTTAAATGGTTTTTTCAGCACTTCCTCCTGCTATCTCTTCTCCTCTTTTTCCTCACTTTCCTCCTCTCCCCGTCCTGGCACCCCAACAAGGTTCATGCTCCTTTCTTCCTTGCAGCTTTCCAAGTTTGCAATCCAAGCGTGTGCCAACCTGGCTTGGAATGGGGGAGGGGAGAAGCTACCTCTCCCCTCTTAAGTGCTGTGTCTCCAAGGGTATCTTTTCTTTTTCGATGGTTTTCTCAGCCCTTTTCAACCCTTTCTTTTTCAGCACTTCCCCAACGTGCTGGGGCTTCGGTTTGTTTTGCTGGAAGGCTGAGTTAGAATTGTCTCTTCTCCCCCACCTTCCTTCCCACTTCCTTAGAAGTAGAAAGTCACAGGTCTAATCTGGAAGGGAAACACTGTGCTGAACCATTGAAAATTGACATTGCAGGTGGTGGTCTCTTCATCGTCTTTCTGCTTCTCTGGGTCTTTGATTGGGGTTTTCTTCTGGAGCAGAAGCAGAGAGCCTCTTCCAGTGAAGATTTCTCTGGGTCTTCTAATTTTCTTCCAAAGCAGAAGAAAAAAACCCTCTTCCGGTGAAGACTTTTCCATGTCTTTATTCTGATTTTCTCCTGGAGCAAAACAGCCCTTTCTAGTGAAGTGTTCCCTATGTGTTTATTCTGATTTTCTTCTGGAGCAAAATCATCTGGTGGCAGTCCTTAAGTCAGAATCCCACACTTATTTTAGTCTGTGCGTGGCCCACCCACTATTTAATTTACCACTTCTGCTTGTGCCTCTTTCCCAAACTATACACTTGTCTTAGTCTCAGTCACACACAAACACACACACACACATCAGTATGGGTTTCAATTTTTTTTACTACCGGTTCTGTGGGCGTGGCTTGGTAGGCATGGCATGACTTGATGGGCGTGGCTTGGTAGGCATGGCAGGGGAAGGATACTGTAAAATCTCCATTCCCTCCCCAATCCAGGAGAAGGTTACTGCAAAATCCCCATTTCCTCCCGATCAGCTGGGACCTGGGAGGCAGAGAATAGATGGAGGTGGTGCCAGTCAGAATTTTTACTACCGGTTCTCCGAACTACTCAAAATTTCCAATACCGGTTCTCCAGAACTGGACCGAACCTGCTGAAACACACCTCTCTCTCTCTCTCTCTCTCTCACACACACACACACACACACCTGTCCATGGAAAAATTGTTTTCCGTGAAACCGATCCCTGGTGCTAAAAAGGTTGGGGACCTCTGAATTAGACCATGCAGGATCCCTACAGAAGAGCCCTTTTAAGGATTATGTATTAAGAGAATAGCAACTAACTTAGCTCACTTCCTAAATGGTAACGGTGTTGCACATAAAAAACAGAGGAGCTCTATCAACTATCACAGCCACCATTTTAACAGTTTTGCTGTACTGTTGTCTGTGGACGCCCCGACTAAATGCAAACACGGCATAAATTAAGGCTGTTTTGTTCTCAGTCTTTTAAGTGGCCACAAAGTACTAGCAAAAGTGGCATTTGATCACAAGGCAAGGAGGCATCGAGAAATGTTTCCCCTTTTGCATTTGAGCATCCAAGAAGGGACAGGAAAGCAGAAAGGAGACAGGGAAAGAGGAAAGACAAAGAAAAAGAAGGAAGGAGGGAAGAGAGCAAGGAAGGGAAAAAAAGGAAAGAGGGGAAGGAAGAAAAAAGAAAGAAAAATGAAGAGGGAAGAAAAAAGAAGAAAAGGAGAAAAAAAGGAAGAGAGGGAGATTATAATGAGAAGGAGGGAGGAGGGTCTGAGGGAAGTCCTGCCTTAGCACTTAGCCACCAGCAGCCCTACTGCCTTTTCGCCATCCCCTTGCCCCCTCTTCCTGACCTCTCCTCGTGGTCTCCCATCCTATTTCTGAGGATGCTTTGGTTACTTTGTCTCCTCACAAGGAGAGGGAGTGGGGCTCCCTCTGACCCACACACTTTGCCCTCCTGCACACACCATGAGCAACCTGGCCAAGGAGAGCGAGCACAGCAGCAGCAGCCTCGAGGAGAAGGTAAGTGCAACCTGGAGCCCCCTTGGGGAAGCAGGGCTGGGCTGGGCTGTGTGGTCCCCATCAGGGATGGGTTCTAAATTTTTTTACTACTGCTTCTGTGGATGTGGCTTATTTTGTGGGTGTGGCTTGGTGGGGGTAATGTGACTGGGTGGGCATGGCCAACTTTTTTTTTTTTTACTTTTAAAAGCATTTTTTCTACAACCTTCTTAAGAGGTTGCAGAAAAAAATGCTTTTAAAAGCCTCTGATGATTCCAGCTGAGCCGCGTGATCATCAGAGGCTTTTTTTTTTTTAACTTTTAAAAGCATTTTTTCGGCTGAAGAGGTTGTAGAAAATATGCTTTTAAAAATAATAAAAAAAAACTCTGATGAGGTGGGTGGGGTAAGCGAGTGGTGACTGGGCCGGGGACCAGTTCGGGGGCGTGGCCAGCCAATGTTATTACCGGTTCTCCGAACTACTACAAATTTTTACTACTGGTTCTTGCAAACCGGGAGCAACCCACCACAGGTCCCCATGCCCTGGGAGCTTGAGGGCCGACTGGGTACTTGACCTTCACTGCCCAGGGCTCCAGGCAGCCCGCAACATCTTCCGAGGGTCCTCTGCCTGAGAGGAATGGCAAGACTCCTCTGGTGGACAAGGGTTTGGCGCTTGCCCTGGTCTCTCCTTCCTCTGCTGGAGACAATGGATCTTCCCAGCCCCCACCTCACGGTGGGCCACCACAGGCGCCTCCCCGACATGAGCGACATCAAGCTGGCCATGGCCACCCTGGCTATGCCCCATCCAGACCACTCCCCCCATCCCAGCTGCCCCTCCGAGGTCAACCACAACCCTGATGCGGCCCTCAATGAAATCGAGTTTGGTGGTTTAGTGTATCAAGAAAACAGGATCAGAGAACAGCAAGGAATCCACAGTGTATTTCTTTCTTGCCAACTTGTGGTTGGTTTTTTTTTTTTTTTTTTTTGCAGCCTGGTTATGCTGACCTTAGAGATTTGAGAGAGATTAGTGGTTTATCCTATTTAGATATCTGTGTATCAACCTGGAGATGCTTATTTGGAGATTGGACCAAGATGTCCTCAATATGCAGTCCTGGGAAGGCAGTAGAAATCTATAGCTCCTATTTGGAACTGAATGAAAGCAAAAGTGCCAACGGTCCAGAAAATATAGTTTGCTGAAGTTTTTAAGCTTATGGAAGAATATCATCTGTTTTGGATGGAGCTACAACTGGTTGACAGCTTGCAGAAAGGACCGTTGGCCGGTGTTAGGGAAAAATCCATGTCAGGGAGCCAAGTTTGAATCATTAGCCAATTTAATTCAGATAATCAAGACCAGATGAGAAGAGAGAGGCACTGGAATGCATGGCTGGTCCCAGGAAAGCATAATCTTGTCTGAACTGATAAAATTAAGCTTCTTTTTTATATATATATAAAGTTTTTTATTTAATAACATTAAATAAACATTGGACACAGTGTGACCCTCCTGGTCTTAACATATCCATACATATTCTTTCCATAACGACAAATATAATTACTATTTAACATACATTGTTACTTTGTTCTTATATACATATCCCTTGTCTTCATTTAGTATATTTTTACTAGGGAGTTCTGGCACCAAATTCAGGCATGGCTAGAGGAGATATTAGAACAAAACATAGACCTAAAACCAGAATTATTCCTACTAGGAATCATAAAAGGGAATCATAGCAAAGAATCAATATACTTAATGCTTCATGTGATAACAGGAGCCAGGTTGGTTTATGCACAGTACTAGAAAAAGGAAGAAATCTCCCCGGGAAGAAAAAATAATAAGGAAGATTTTGATACATGCAGAAATGTATCAAAACATTTCTGACACTAGAACTCAAAAACAAGAATGAGACAGAATACTATAAAATCTGAAATAAAATGTATTATTGGTTGGAAAGGAGAAAAGGAGTTGGAACAAAAAAGATTTAGGGTTTGTAGAATTAATACTGGATAGTATTAATAAAAGTAAATAGTAAAATTAAGCTTCTTAAGATCTCCTTGATAGCTGATATGAGTGAGAAACAAAGGAAAAAGAGAGGAGCAGGAGAGTAGTCTACAACTTGTGGTCCATCTGTCACAGGATCATTTTAGGCATGTTACAGATCTGACAGGACACATTTCGCTTCTACTAAAAAATAATGTTTCATTACAAAAACGTGTATGAAAGAAACACAAATCGGAATGTGCATTTTGATTTGTTACTGTTTTACCTTGCCTCTGTATTTGCACAAATTTATTCTCCTCTGTCTTTTTGAAGTTTTCATTTTCTATTCATCTGTCCTTTGCTTTATATTACAATGATATTGGCAACAGTTTCTAAAGTTCAGTTTCTTACTCTATTTCCAACCGACTTCAAACTGTTGATAGCTTCATTCTTGTAGTTAGGCTTCTGGTTTTTTTAACTATAAAATCACACACTTCATTATCCTTAAGAATGTCTGTCTCTATCCAATTCCGCTTCACCTTTTCTGTTTCCTGCTCCCTTTTTCTTTCCTGCTTTATACCACTGTTAAACTTTAGTGTTTTATTATCTTCCTCTGCCTCAATTTCCCCAGAGCCCCTTGCACCCTCTAGGGCCTCTCTTCAGCGGCTCCCTTGCCCTTCATTTGGTTTTCTTTGGAATTTGCACAGCTCATCTGACCCGTCTGTGCACACTCCCTTCCTTCCTTTCACCGTGAGGTAACTCTTTTGAGTTCTGAGTCCCTCCCAGCTGGTATCCTTCATTCAGGGGAAGAAGAGCTGGGCACTTCTGTTGCTGCTGGAGCCCTCCCTACTGAAGTTCCCTCCAAGTTTGCCTCTCCTCCTCTAGCTTCATGGCATTGGTGACCTCCAGGGATATTTGGAGCACATGCCTAAAGAAAAGTCAAAATGCAGATCATAGAGGTGCTGCCTTTTTTATGTGTTCCCTCTCTCTCTCTCCCTCTCTCTCTCTCTCTCTCTCTCTCTCTCTCTCTCTCTCACACACACACACACACACACACACACACACACACAAGATGCATTTTTACTTTTCTGACAACACCCTATGGACATCCTGGTGGCCTCTGTCTCACATCATGTGTACATGCTTGCAAACACACTCTTCTCTCCTCATCCCTTTTTACTTCCACATTTTGTTCCTTCTCTTCCTCAGCAGTCTCATACACAACCCCAGCCATTCTTACCACTTCTTTGTTCTCCGACAAACAAATTGCCTCCACTGTGTCCTTATGTAATACATATCAGTTTCAACTCTTACCGCACAGAAAGGTACACACACAGTTATGTTTACTTCCACTTTTGGGGAGGTAACTATGACTTTGTAAGGGTCAAGTTACATGACCTGGTGCCTCCTTGTGCTGGATAGGGCCCAAGGTTGGGCTCAAGTCCCCTTGGATCTGAGTTATGATCCAGGCCACGCTCCTGTCAGGCCAATAACCTCTCAGAAAGTCTTCTGCTGCTTACAACTCAAGAAGAAATATCTTGATCTCTCCGGAACTAAGACACCAGCAGTACTGATGGAAATACAGGAGGCATAGATGGCAGTACCATCACCATTGGTCCAGCACCAGCCAATTCCATGGAACTGAACACTGAGTTGATAGCTGCCCTTCCATCAAGGCAGCTGACTTGGTCTCTGGAAAATGATGGGGCTCAACAACGGCATGCAGACCATTCAGTTTGGAATGGTCACAGGTGGACTTTGGCCATCCTCTCACACAATCATAGTCCCGTTCTAGAAGAAGGCAAACTTTGACTGAGCCTTCCATGTGCTAAATGTCTCCAAGATGGATTACTGTTATAGGTGGGGCTACTTTTAAGGTGGTTCTGAAGTGCAGATAATTCAGATTCAGAATTTTTGTTTGCCAATCTGTGCTGACTATCAATTTGCTTTCTGATTCAGTTTCAAGGTACTAACTTTGACCCTAAACCAGTGTTTCTCATCCTTGGCAATTTTAAGATGTGCAGACTTGACACACAGCAATTGGTTGCAGAATTCTGGGAGTTGAAATCCACACATCTTAAAGTTGCCAAGGTTGACAAATTCTGCTCTAAACATTCAGGCTATCAAAAAAGCTCCGGCTTCTCATTTTAACACCTTTAATTTTTATTCTTCCTTTCTCCTTTCCCCATCAGAGCAAATGACTTTGTGGCTGCATAAGACTATGGAACTGAGTCCTCAGAGAGAGATCCCTATTCGATCAGGATAACTATAGCATTGTTTTGATAAGCTTCTGAAAATGCCTTGGTGTGTTTCTTTTTTTATTGTTGCATGTTCTATCTTCAGTGGTGCTTTTATTCAGTGTTGTTGTCTTACTTTACTTTTTCTAAATTGCCTTGAATAAATTATGCTTTATAGTAAAAGAGGGAAATTAATAAATTGAACATAGGTCAGATGGGCTGAACTTCATTTTGTAATGTGATACATGAAGTAATGTTTTGAGTTCTGAGTTAAGTATTAATTCGTAGTTATTTTAGGAGAAGTGTAATAATGCACTGTCATGATCTTGCTTTCTTCTTTTGGGGTTAGCATTGCAAGGAAGTTATTTATAGTGGAAGGGACAATTTTTTTCAAAAATGGGACTTTGACTTCTTGAGAAATAATTTAAAGAACACAATTTCTTACTAAGAATTGTAATTTCTTAGAAATAAATGAAAATCATAAGATCAGTTGAAAACGAGGCACTTTTAAAGCTTCCATTCTATACATCCATTTGTAAAACGTCTTTCAATTAAAGTACTTATGCCCAGGCAAGTTTTTTTTTTTTTTACTTGATTCACAATATGAGGCATGGTAACCTGATTACTGTGCAGGTTTGTGTTGCCAATTTTTACATGTGCTTTTTACATATAAATGTCACATGTTTCTGATCTCAAAATGCTCAAAAACATCATGAGGATTCATCCAGAAGTTCTTCAGAACTGGCACTAGGACATCGGTCAAGCATGACACTTCTACCAGGGTCACTCTTCAGAAGTCCAGAGCTTTCTGTTCTGAACTGTCTTTTTCATTTTGTTAGAAGAATAACTTGGGGTTTCCAGGAATTGGGTTGATGCAAGAACAAATCAAAAATGAAATCCAGACACACTGTGAAAAAGGAGATTCATTTTAATCCCAAGAACAAAGAGATTACAGAGGAACTTTTTTTTTTTTTTAAATTTGATTTATATGCCGCCCTTCTCCGGAGACTCAGGGCGGCTTACAATGCGTTAAGCAATAGCCTTCATCCTTTTGTATATTTATACAAAGTCAGCTTATTGCCCCCACAACTGGGTCCTCAATTTACCTACCTTAGAAAGGATGGAAGGCTGAGTCAACCTTGGGTTCAGAAACTTGGTTTTACAGGGTGGGACTGGTCCTTGGTGGGAGCTCAGGGGTGTAGTTTGTGTGCATGCTGGTTTTAACGTGGGTCCTTCCTGTGGAGATGTGCAGTTCACGATGCTTTTGATCTGAGCTTTGATCCTGAGCTGCATGTGAAATTGAGAAAGGAAGATCACCCTCAGATATGCAGATTCCAACTCTGGTGTGTCCCTGTATTCTGGGGGGATTCCATTCTTTGAGTCAATGAGATACTGATCTAAGCGTTAGGATTGTATGTTTATTCTGAGGCTGGTCGGCAGCAGGGATGGATTCTACTTACCTTTACTACCAGTTTGCAGCGGGGCCGTGTGTGTGTGCCTGCTTCACTCGCGCGCGCGCGCTCTTCTGCGCAAGTGCAGAAGCGTTTTGATGATGTCGGGGTCGGGCGGAGCCTCCCGCCGGTTTTACTACCGGTTCTACAGAACCGGTGCGAACCAGGGGCAACCCACCACTGGTTGGCAGTTGAGAGCTGTTAAAAGGGGGAGGGGTGAGATCAGAGGCCTTTTAACTTCTGTCAGTTTGACCCAAAATTTCTGATTGGCCATGTAGTATAAACTGAGAATAATGGATGCTATCTTGGATACCTTTAGCCCAGCTTCTATTGCTGACCATAGGCCTATGATACAGCATCTGGGTTAAAGATCTAGGGCTCATCTGCTGTCTAATTGGAATATTGGGTGACAGACAACATAGAGGAGCTTTAAAATGTTTTTTCACATGACCAGAGGTTTTTCCCCCAGTGTCTCACGCCAAACTGCTAGGCATGTCATTCTTACAGAATTGAGTACTGACAACCATGTGATTTGAATGTGGTTAACAATTTCTGATTCAGCCAGTAATTTCCTGCAAGTGATAAGCAGCATTTCTTGCTGCAGGAATCTGGAATGTGGCTGGGTTTACTTCGTTTCTAATAATTCAGATATCGGTATGTTAGGAAATCAATGTGTTTTGTTTTTTTTTATCGTAGTTTGTGAATTGTTACTGTATCAGGCAGGAACTGCCAATCTTTTGATTTCCTGTTGAGATAAAGCTGTTGATAAACCTTTTCCTGTTGAGATAAATCAAAATGTTTGTGATCTGCCCCGGAAATGACTGAATATGAACTGTGGGAAGCATTTGTCTTCTACAGCCAAAGGCCTCAAGTGAAGAAAACTAGGGGAATTCCTTCTAGAGGCCTGATTTACTATTGATTTGTGCTATAGTAGTGTGGAACCTATGGTGGATGATGATAAGATGGATAAAGCTTCATAGGCCAATATCTCTCCTGTAGAAGAGAAACATGAAACACGTAAAATTCCTATGGTGTAACAGTTATGTCTTTCATGAAGATAAGGGGGATGATCCTTTGTACAGTTACCTGAGTTGAATTGAATAGAATGGAGTTCATACACACAACACAGACATACGCACACACAATCTTTCTCTCATCTCTATCTCTCATCTCTATCTCTCATCTCTATCTCTCATCTAGCTGCATTGTACCTCAAGCAAGCAAATGGATATGTATGTGTGGAAAAAATGAACTCATACATTTTATTTCTTTGTTTATTTTTCACATTTTTGAACCACCCTTCTCCCTTAAAGAGAAACTTTGGGTGGTATACAATGAAACATCAGAATATAAAACAGTACATAAAATTAAAATGTTAAAGTTAAAAATTAAAAATATTCAATCATTCAAAATCAGATGTTAATAACAGGTGTCCCCCCCCCTTTGCTTCACTGAGACCTTTGAATATGCACTCTCTCATAACTTTGCCTTCTGAGAAATGGGACAATTTGGACCTATTTGGAAGAAATCGCCATTTCCCTTATTTGGAATACTTAATGCCAAGTAAACACACTGAGGATTAGCCTTTAATGCAAGAAACCGTAATCTCTGGATCCAGATTTGGAATGTTGAGCAGCTCTTTTGGATACTTGCACAAAATAGTTGGCATAGTGGGAATGTGGAACCTCAAGAGACCAATTTAGGGGGACACAAACTGTGGCAATTGCTCTGGCATCTCTGTAGCCTCCTGGCATTTATACCCAAGTCTCTAAAGCTTGCAGTTTGCCTTTGCGACATTGCAACACATTTTGACGGAACCTTGGTTTGCTACAGATGTTCTTGCACAAAGGGATCGTGGGAAATGTGCTCATTCTTAATAACACACTTTACAGCACACCATCTTCCCATAGTTATAATTCCTTTTTATTTAAATATATCTTTACCAAAATAAAATAAGGAACCATTGGAACAGTGGTGAAATCCAATTTTTTTTACTATCGGTTATGTGGGCGTGACTTGGTGGGCGTGATGTGGCTTGGTGTGCGTGGCAGGGGAAGGATACTGCAAAATTTCCATTCCCTTCCCACTCTTGGGGGAAGGATTTTGCAAAATCTCCATTCCCACCCCACTCTGGGGCCAGACGGGTGGTGTTTGACAGTTCTCTGAACTACTCAAAATTTCCGCTACTGGTTCTCCAAACTGCTCAAAATTTCCGTTACCGATTCTCCAGAACCTGTTGGATTTCACCCCTGCATTGGAACCTGGACAACAGCAAGGGAGGGATTGCTGGATGTATTCATGTTCATGGAAGCCACATTGGGACTTGTGCTTCACTATATCCGTTTATATTTTATACCAGTTAGTATTACTGGTGTATAACTTGTAACTCCCTAAGTTATAATGTATAATTCAGTTGCTAGATTGTTATCCATTTTCCAGTTACAGAGGAAGCCAAGTGGATTTTGTGACAGCCAGGTTCTAAATATGTTGAGACCCCAATCAAACATTCATTCATTCATTCACCAGCCACTCCATTCCAGCTCCATCAACATCCTGGCCCCAGAGCCTGGGAGAAAAGCCAGATTTTTACCAGTTTCTTGAAAACCAGCAGGGTTGGGATCATCTGCATCTCCATACAGAGGCTGTTTTATAGCGTTGGCTTCCAAAATCCTAGTAGTTGACTTTGTCTTTGAACAGGGTCACCAGGTAGTGATCCACAGATGCGACTGGTAAAGAGAAGAATGGATCCTTTGCCACAATGTCTATTGCCACTGTGTAGGCCCAATAATGACCTCTTAACAGTGCTTGGTTGTATTTTCTAGCTTTCTAGCACAACTGCTAGAGGCATTCTCAGTTGAAGAAGGCAAGGACTGTCTCTTGCCCTTAATCCTAAAGTATTGGAAAGTCCTTCTCATATGTTTTCCTTAATGGCCTTTTATTTCCTCAAAAACACCTGGAATATCTAGTGACATAAGGAAATTAAGGGAATTTTTAAAAGTCCTCTACAATGGGAACAAAGTACAGTTCTTAGAATTGTTTAGAGGAAGCTGTGACAATTTTTCTCTGTAATATCCAAAGCAACAGATCACTGACTTTGTGAGAGAAATGCTGTCCATATCAGATTTTACATTTTTGCTGAAAACCAACACTCAAATAAAGTGAATTAAATTAACATTCTAAAAGCTAATGCATATTTCTAGTTTACTCCCTATAGTGCAGGGGTGGGTGTCAAACTCGATTTCATTGAGGGCCACATCAGAGTTGTGTTTGACCTCGGGGGGGAATCATGGCTGGGGGGGCATGGCCAGCTCAATGTTCTGCAGCCCACGCATGGCCCTCCCAGGGACATTCAAATTAATGTGCTACAGTGCATAAGATTTAGATTAAGACTGGGAAGAGCAAGATTCAACCCCACCCTTAGCCAGGGAGTAGCCTGGTGTGACATTAGCCTGTGACAATTTCGTTAGCAGCTCTGTTTAGAAGGTACTAGAAGCAACTTTCTATAAAACCCTGCTGAGGAGTTGGAGTAAGCACTTGACAATATCATTGAGGGCCCAATCCATTTGCATGCCCTATATGCATGCCCGCGGCCCTCCCGAACTCCATTTTCGCTCCCGAACTCCGTTTTTGCTGGCAGAGGCACCGCGGGCTGGTCCTTCATTTTTTCCAGGGCAACCCCATGGGCCAGATCTAAGCACCCCGCAGGCCAGATCCGGCCCGCGGGCCTTGAGTTTGAGTCTTTGAATAAGACAGGGTTAGGTCATCATGAACTCTATGATACTAAATCATTAAATTCATGTTTTCTCTCTTAATTTGACAACACAGAGTGTTTGTTAGGTTTGTCACCCATTACCCAGAGAAGAATTCAGATGCCTGGCAATCACTGGGGAGAGAATAGAAACGGGATGAGGACTGGCAATGAAGACAGCAAGTTTCAGGCTAGGATAGTTTCCTGATGACTAAAAGATGGGTGAAGAATTCAGTTCTGTCTGGACCTTCTGCTGAATTGAATTGAATTTTGCTCCGTTCTTAGATCCATTTCCCGCCTCCCTTTTGCTAAAACTCCAGCGGCTTGGTGGAGTGAGTAGAAGTGGGAATTTTATCAGTCAGATACTATGAATGTTTCCATGTTTCCAAACATGCCCAGCTGATACACCTGGGTTACATGGGTGAGGGAGAGGAGAAGGGAAATGAGATTTAGTGTGTTTCTGTAGTGTTTCACTCTAACTACACAAACACACAAAATCTCACAAAGCTGTATGTGGAATTTTGTGTGTGTAAAGTGTGAAAGTTGGTTTTTTGGGCTTTTTGTGGCTGTGTGTGGTTCCTGCTTGTTGCGGGGCCATTTTGGATCTAGCACAGCTGCTTTTACATTGTGGGTGAGCCAGTTGTGTTGTGTTGTGTTGTGTTTTATAGGTTAAAAAGGGCAAAGAAGTGACATTGACTTGGCCACGCCCACCCAGTCACCTTACCACCAAGCCATGCCTATTAATTAAGCCACGTCCACAGAACCGGTAGCAAAAAAATTTAGATTTCACCCCTGGTTCTGTATCTTCAGATGAAAGCATGTTTGGGACCCACCCAGAGTTGGTTGAAGGCTGGGTTAATAAATATTAATAAAGTTAATGTGAACATGCTTCTTCCTTCCTGAGAAGCAATTACTCACAATCCTTTAGAAAGCTGGGAATTCTTTTTCTTCCATTCAGATTTTGCAAGTACTTACTATGGTATTTCCCTTCTCCCCTCCAATTCTCTCAAGGGCTTTCCTTCTCTCTTTTGCATCCCTGCTTCCCATACATTTCTGGCTTTTTTTCCAATTGTGTTTTCTTAGGAAGGGAACATGAATAGCTGAGTAACCTCCTCTCTCCACTTGCTGTGACTATTTAGGGCTAATTCTTCTTGCCACTTCCCAGAGGGTTATGGTACGGTAAGAGTGCTGCAGGATAGGTTGTACTTCTGTGCTTGCTCACCAGAGGTGGCATTCAGCAGGTTCTGACCAGTTCTGGAGAACTGGTAGCAGAAATTTTGAGTAGTTCGGAGAACCGGTAAATACCACCTCTGACTGGCCCTGCCCCCATCTATTCTCTGCCTCCTAAAGTCCCAGCTGATTGGGAAGAAATGAGGATTTTGCAGTAACCTTCCCCTGGAGTGGGGAGGGAATGGAGATTTTACAGTATCCTTCCCCTGCCACGCCCACCAAGCCATGCCATGCTATGCCATGCCCACCAAGCCACACCCAGAACCGGTAATAAAAAAATTTGAATCCCACTACTGTTGCTCACCCAATGTGAAAGAGAGGGGACTGACTGACTGACTGACTGACTTTAACAGACTGTTAAGGAAAGGGCTGGTGAATTTTTGCTATCTAAGGATGGTAGTCCTCCTACATGGAATTTTTCTGAGTTGCCTTTGGGGTTTCCTTGGTTGCTCTCTTCCAGAGCAGAACCTAAAATACATGTCTTTTCTTGCCCCTTCATCCTGGCTCAGTCAGTATCTTTAAAGTATCTTTAAAGAGTAAGGCAGACTGGACAAATCTTCTTTGTCTCAGTTTTGCTGAGGGAGATTGTAGCCGAACTCTCAGCCTGTGTTCAGCCATGTTCCCTCATCACCAACCAACCTGATCTGCCTGCTGGAAAAAAAAACCCAGCATATCTAGGCCTTAAATTCCATTAGTGCGCTGAGAAGTATTTGTTTGGCTCCTATATACAAACAAAATATTTTTGTTCTGGAGAAATCTGGACAAAATGCTATGAATGTGGGCCTTTCCATTTTGCAGAGTTAATGTGCTATTCAACCCTTTACCCATTCTTGGGCGGGCAGAAAATTATACAAGTAGTCCTGGTTTATCAGCTACAATTGGGACTGGCAATTCAGTCACTAAACAAAACAGTTGCTAAGTAATTGTGGTTGGATTTACAGTTTTACTTTAGCTTTCCTTTGCTTTTACAGACCTGCAAAGTTGTAAATGAAAGGACTGGCCACAAAGTTACTTCTTCATCATTGTCATAATTGTGAACAGTTGGAAAATGAGGCAGTCACTAAATGAGGACCACCTGTACCATTTTGAAGTTGGCTACCCCATTGCCACCTTCTATTCTGTACCTCTTGCCAGGCTCTTAAGTACATCAAACAGATTATTTAGAGCAGATCCTTTCTAAGCTTCTTTCTCTGCCTGTTATTCACTTGCCACCTCCTTCCCCTTTTATCTCATCATTCCCTAACAGCATCTCTTTCTCCCATGGTTTTCATTATATCTCTGTTTTGATTCCTTGCCATGTCTGCCCTGATTTTGTGGGAATAGAGCAGGGTGAGCAAAGTGATTGGTTAATTCTTCAAGCTATGCTGCCCACCCTCTTTGCAGGCTACCAGCCAGTGAGAAAAACACATGCCAATCAAGGCCACTACAGCAGGATACGTTCATCATCTTTAGATTCCTTCTATGTCCTTCTCCAGTAACATCCCATTCTAATTCAAAGAAAGTTAAAAAGAAAAAAAACAGTTGGAAACAAACACACTATTACTTTGGAATTCGTATTGCTCGGAGTATAAGACACACCTTTTTCCCCCCTAAAAGGGGGTGAAAATTTAGGTGCGTCTTATACACCGAATGTAGCCCCCCCCCCAACCACTGGCCCCCACCCTTTGGCCTCTTCCTCGCAGCAGTTACCTCCTTGCAAGCAAACAGCAAGCTTCAGCACAAGTTGATTGGATCTGCCTCCGGACTCTAAGCTGATTTGCTCTCAGCCAAAGCACAGAGCTCCTCTATTTGCTGCAAAGAGGTAAATTGCTGGAGCAGATTTTTTTCCCCTTGTGCTAATCAAGCTATGCTGAAAACGAAAATGAAAGTAAAGCAGGCTGTTTGCTGTAATGAGACAAAATTGCTCAGAGGCAGAGTTCTTTTTCTTCTTTTCCTCACCAAGGTAGGTGCCTCTTATACTCCTGTATTTTTCCATTTTTTTAAATAGAGGCAACAAATGCCAGTTTCTAGATTCCTCTGTGTTTTTTGTATGTGAGGCAATAGAAGGGATTTGTCCTTCCATCTATTCTACTATAACCCCATTTCTCAATTTTAGGATCTGGCACATTTCTTACAGGTATTGTCCAGTGATTGTTTGTGTGGGTGGGGGTAAACATTTGATTGGACAGCTTCAAGTGGCCAACAGGCACCAGGTGGCTCATGGGTGCACTTGACTGGGCTTCTGTCACCCCCTCCCCCAAAACATCACAGAAGGCTGTTGCTGTGAAAAAAGGAAAATCACCTGATTCACCTCTGGATGACCTAAGACTGCCTTACTCATAGATGGGAAATGAGATGAAAGCACACTGCAGGGGGAAAAAAAAAACTCCCAATACCATCAGCATTACTATTGTGATGAGATGCAAGTCAGGAAACTCCCACTGATGGGCAAACAAGTGATGGACAGTGTTTATAGCTGAAAATGAAACAAATTCTGCTTCCTAGAAAAAAAAAAACACTGCTGCTGCTGCTTTTTTTTTTTTTTTTTTTTAACAGCCAGCCGACTGCAAAGGAAGCAGAATTATTGCTTTCTGGTGGCATTTAGTCATTTATCTCAAACCAGCGCAGAGGGAAGTCTGCTTGAGAGAAATCAAGGGAAATCGTCTGACACGGCTCCGGAGGTGAGTAGAATCCTGATAAATGACAGTGGTATCTCTGAAGAGCATTAGAACAAGTTTCTCTAATGTGTTAAGTCCTTTGCACTCAAAATGAAGAGAATTCAGAAGGGGTCGAGTGCGTGATGGAAAGAACTCTTACTGCATACCTGATGGCATCAATTTGTATAGTGGCATCTGTGTGCAATGTCTTTGTGGCTTCCATCCACCAGGAGGCATTTCTAGCCATGGGCTCAACTTCATGTTGCTCCCAGCCAAAGCCCTCTCCCTTGCCCATCCAACTCCTGTTGTGTTTACAGGCAGCTCTCTCAGTGAAATCTTTCTGTGTACAAATCCAGGTTTTCTATGGGGTTTAATCCATCCTGTTTAGGGAAAACCTTTGTTCAGGGGCCCCAAGGAGAAAGGGAAGCATGCCTACTATTTATCCCATGTTTCTTTTGGACCAGGCTAAGACTTGTCTTCTTTCAGGCGTGTTTTAATTATTATTATTTTTCATTTTATTTTAAGGGTTTGCTATTACACTGATACAGAGAAATGGATGAGAGAGGGGAAGACACACAGATAATACAATAAATAGAGTTTATGTATATTGCTGCTTCCATAATTTTTATTTATGTAATTATTTTCAATCACCCATGGTACACCCAGAGAATTCCAGGTATTGGATGGATTGTAAAAAGTAACAGGTAGATAAAAATATTGCTGGAATGGGAATAGGAGCCTTCCTGTATTAGAACCAGGAAAGCCTTCCCAAGCCTGAAACTCCCCATGTGTGTTGGAGGTTGAATTTGACAGAATTCCCAGCTGCTAAATTTTAGTTAATGTTTTAAAAACATCCTCAGAAGAATATGACAAATAACAGCAAAAGAGCAGAGATTCTGAAATAATCTAGGGGATGGCATTTCATTTCCCTTTGGCTTTGCTGTTTGGCATAATTTAAAGAAAAAACTGTATTTAAATCTCTGTGCATTTGCAAAGGAGGGTCATATTTCAGGTAACTGGTTAGGGCCATCTTCAAAAGCAAGTTTCTAGTCCAGATATAAAAGATGGTGCAAAATAGTGCTTGGTGTCTACAGGGGTTTGGGGCAGGGGTGAAATGTAAAATTTGTTACTACCGGTTCTGTGGGCGTGGCTTGGTGGTGGGGGTTAATGTGACTGGGTGGGTGTGGCCAACTTTTTTTTTTTTTAAACTTTTCAAAGCATTTTTTCTAATGCTTTGAAAAGCCTCTGCCAATCAGGCAACTCAGCTGGCATCGTCAGAGAGGCATTTTAAAAAATACCTTTCTGCCGATCAGGCATCTCAGCTGGGCATGGTGAGGGGGACGCAGGGATTTTTGCTACTGGTTCTCCGAACCACCCACTGCCATCGCTACCGGATTGGGCGATCTGGTCCAAACCAGGAGCATTTCACCCCTGGTTTGAGGGTAGGTAAAACAGTCATGGGGGTTTACAGGAGTGGGCAGGGGGAGGATATAACAGCAGTTTGCTATAGTCACCACTGGAACTCATGCACCAACCCAGGTGCCAACAAGTTGCTGGAAGTTGAAAGAGCAACTGATAAGACTTCATCTCTGGATGCTTCAAAAACTATTGCAGATTTGGGCTCCCAGACAGCCCTAACATTGATCAAATCCAGAATGCAGGGATTCTCTGGAAAAGGAAGACATTCACTGAAAAACATCTGATTTTGCTTTAGGAATTCTGTGCACAGGACAAGATTAAGTACAGTGGTTATCGTGTCAGACCCAGTTCCCTAATGACATCTAAACCGAGGAAAGCGGGTGTTAAAAAAGACGCAAGCATCTCAATTACAGCCAAAGGATGCTGGCCAGCTGCCTTCTCCCCTCCCTCGGCGTCCCTTGTCACTTTCCAAGCCTCTTCTGGGAAGCTCTGTGTAGATGCGATTGTTAGGTTCCTGCCACTGTTTTCATTCTGCATTTCACCTCTGTTGGCTTTGTGTGTTCTTTTGTTCTCATGATAAAGGAAAAGGTAAAGTGGAACTCCCATTTATGTCTCAATCCTGTTCCATCATGCTCTTTCTTCTAACCATGACCAGGTCCTTGAGTCATTAGAAAAAAATATATGCTGGTTTAAAGCACAAAGGCATGATTTTTAATGCAAGGCTAGCTTGACCATGTGGTCTGAATATCATGTGGTCCGAATCATCAGCAAACGACGGGTGTTCCCAGTTCTGCTTTCTGTCATCCCAGAGGGCAGGATATAGGACAACGGATTTAAAGTACAGGCCGGCAAGCTCTGGTAGGAAGTGAGGGTGGAAAAAATCATCATAAGATGGTGGAACCAATCCAAAGACTTTCCTTCACTGGCTGCATTCGTGCAATTGTGCAGGAGCAGACACTACCTACCTACAATAGTTTAATTTGGAGCAGGGGGTTAGGTTCAGTAACTTGATAACTAGCTCATTAATGCTATGATTCTGCCTCACACTGCCAATTTATAGAGCAATTCTCTTTCACTGGGAGAGAGGGGGTCAGAAGCAGAAGAAGCTATGAGCCTGCAGGATACACAAAAGGGAGGGAAGGAGGGAGGCAGGCCATGCCAATTTCTGCCCCCCCTTCCCGGTTTTAAAAATGTGTTTATTTTGCAAATCCTCTCCCCTTGAAGCTACTGGAAGGGATTGGATTGGAATGACCTACAGGCTGGCGATGATAAGCAACATGGTTGGGCGAGGTAAAAAAAATAATTAAAAAGTAGATTTTGTACATCCACAGATTTTCCAGCACAACACCAGCGGCAATTTGGTTTAGTGATTAAGACATCGGCCCAGAAAGTGTCTGGGTGCCTTTGGGTCAGCCCCTGTCTCTCAACCCAGCCCACCTCACAGGGTTGTTGTGTGGAAAACAAGGAGGAGGAAGGAAAATTAGACATACTTGCTGCCTTGAGTTACTTATAATAAACGCAGGATAAAAATCATATAGACAAACAAATAAATGATGAAAGAGAGAGAGAGATGATAGATAGATATGATAGATGATAGAGAGATGATAGATATAGATGATAGATGATAGATCGATAGAGATGATAGAGATGATAGATAGAGACGATAGATGATAGGGATGATAGATGATAGAGATAATAGATAGAGATGGTAGATAGATGAGAGACAGACAGAGAAAAAAAAAAAAAGAGAGAGAGAGAGAGAGAGAACTCAGCAAAGCCCATGTTTTTTATTTCTCTGTGCCTGAGATTGGATTCAGACCCAGAGAAGAGATTGGGATTTCTCTTGTAGAATTGGATTCCACAATTCTTTGAGGATGAGATCTGTCCTGTGACCTTTGGGGTGCCTTTGCATAGGACATGGGATTTAATTTAAAAATGCCCTTCTATTCTTTGGGGGGAAAAGACCTTTTGTCCTTATTAATTTTCCTTCTTACCTTACCAGTTGGATATGTATATACTTATTGATGCCTCTTTCCAAGAACCATGCATGAATAGAAGTATTGCATTTGGATAGGTCCTTGGTCTGATCCAGCCTGCCTCTTTCTGTTTTGGCCATACAGGTAGCCTCAGTTTATGACCATTCATATAACAGCAATTCAAAATTATGATGATGCTGGAAAAAGTGACTTGTGACAGGTCCTTACATCAATAACATGATTGCAATTTGGGGGCTTGGCAACTGGCATTTATGTACAATGGCTGTGGTGTCCTAGGGTCATGTGATCAACATCTGCAACCTTCTCAGGGGAATTCTGACAATTTTCTGACAAAAATCAATCGGGAAGCTTGGATTTACTTAACAATGTTGTGATTTGCTTAACAACCACGGCAAAACTGGTCATAAAATTGGGCACAACTGACTTACCCATGTTGCTTAATGGCAGAAGTTCCAGTCTCAATTGTGGTTGTAAGTTGAGGACTATCCAAAGTAGGTTGGATGTCCAAACTAATGTCAGGCATCCTCTCTGCACTAGAGAGTACTTGTTTTTTAAATTAGATTTATTGAAATCTTTATCCATGCATCTTCAAGGCAGGTTCCAAAAGCATACCGGTATATAGAAGCATACCGTTAAATAAAAACATGAAGTAAAACTACAAAGCGCCATCTAGTACTAAAATAATGCACGAAAATAGCATGCAAGAGGTAAGTTAACAGGTTAAATGCAACTATTAATCCATCTGAGCAGGAAATGCGAAGTTCTGTGGAAGAAGTTTAAACTTGAATACCAGGTCAGCAAAGTTTCTGCTGAATTATAAAATTAGGCTCTCAATTCGCAACATTGCCTGCACACCTAGCCATGGGACAGACGTGTCATTACTGACTTTAGGCAGGAAGATACAAATGCTAGCTCATTTCTTCTGGTGAAACTGGAGTCGGAGGCAGCCAAATGTCTTGGGGTCTGTCTGTCTACCCAGTACCTTTCAAGGTCAGGGGACACATGGCGAATGAACCTGAGTATGGTCTCAATTGACAGGGATGTTTTTTTTAAAAGACAGTAGGCTAAAGAGCCATTTCTCTGTGGCAAAGGAAAAATATATCTATCTTCCTACTTGCATATCAATTGTTTTTTTTAAAGTCCTCTGTGAATTGGCTTTTATTGACAAAAACATTGCAAAGCACCTTAGCTTGAGTCAACCTGCTGAAGTATTATGATATTAATGATGAAACTCTTTTTTAAAGATATTTCTGGAAAAATGGCCAAGTTCCTACCAGTTCTGCTGTTTGCAACCCAGCTTTCGTTGACAGCAGGTGAGAGTTTTCTATTGGATATTTTCCAATAATATTCTCAGAATTGTCCACCAAATTAAGAACTTCAGATTTATGCCAGAACTTTAAACTGTTCACTACTCCCTAAAAGTTCAGGTCAGGAGAACTGTTGCAGTAATGGGCTTTAAGCTCAAATGAATCAGTGCTTGCAGTGCTTTGGGTGTGGCCGTGATCCTTTGGGTACAAGCACTGTTGTAGTTTATTGGGAGATATTCAAAAGGACAAGTGTTGTTGCTTGTGTCTCCCTCTTTTCCATTCATTCCAGCATAAAAGGTCTTCCAAACATCTGGAGTACCAGTAGAACAGAATATTTGTAGCTCAGGTTTGAACGGTGGCATCCTTGAAGCTCTCTGGGCTTGGTTGTTTTCTTGCAGAGGTTTCATTCATCCAACTAGATCAGCAGCCTCCAACCTCTTGGGCACCAGGGACCAGTTCTGTAAGAAGATATTTTTCCACGGACCAGAGGGGGCATGGTTTCGTATGCTGCCTGCATCCTGCAGATGGGGCTTCGCTTCTTTCTGCGGCCCAGTTTCTGGCATGCGGCAGCCCGGTAACGGTTCATGGACCAGGGGTTGGGAACTCCTGAACTAGGTAAAATCATCAGTGCTGGAAGGGAATGGGATTTTCTGTCTGTTTGTATACAAGTGGCTTGTCCCTTCAGTATTGGTGGGAGCAGTCTTGGTAATCCCTTGATTATTGCTGTTGTTTACTGTTTGTTTGATTGTTTGTCTGAGTTGGTAGTTCCTTGATTGAGGTATTGTTTACCTAGTTAGGTAATGAAACATATGCAAGAAAAGCTCAAAGAAGATCAAGGACCCTACATATCTGGAGTAATCGCCAAAGGATTGGTTCTGGTTATGGATTCAAACTCAGGATAAGCAGTCAGGAACCAGAGACATTCTAGGGAAGAAGCCACATCTAAGCAGGCTTGGGGGAATCAGCTGGAACCACCAACCTGATGCTTTGGCCAGCAGTGTGCCTGAAGGCATCTCCTTCAACAACCCTTCCTGTGTCTCACCTGGACTTTTCATTTTTTAATTCACCATGCAGCCATGATAACAGGTTTATGAGCTGGGAAGACCATCCTTGTGGCATTCCTGAGACCTTCACTATACAGACTAAATGCCAAGTACCAGCAAAAATGCTGCCCCACATCCCAATTTATGCTATTGAAGATTTCCATTTCTAGAATTACAGGGTTTTTAAAAAATTATCTTGATATTCGCAGACCCTTAAAATTAACATAACATGCATTTTAGTAATCATAACTAGAAGAAGAAAAATGTTACTAACTGCACTATCAATTTCCCTTAATATTTGCAAAGTATCTTTTAAAAAAAAAAAAAATGCCTGGAATATCTCACAGTAATTTCCCAGTTTATGAAATGTGTCATAAAAATAAAACACCGGCTAGAAATCAGGGACTCTTCACCATGAAATTGTTTCGAAGAGCTCATCTTGGGTAGCTTTCTGCACTGTCTTTGGCTGCTTCTCCATTTAGAAGCAATCGCCATGCTCGGCGCTGCTTAGCTTCTCCTTCACTTTTTTCTTATTTTCAAATTCAAACAGATTGTTTCCCATTTTGCATCAGTTCAAGTCAAAAAGAGAAAAAAAGGATCTGATTAGAAATATTTTCCCATTTTCATATCTTTTTCTCCTAGTAGTTCTATGTTTAGTAGATGTTTTTCCTAACATCATCTATGGGCGCCTTTCATTGAGTTATGATTCTTTTTCACACTATCAGTGAAAGTACAGCTAGCAGGAAAAACAACCTGGTTTGCATACTAGAAATGCAAATAATATTACTGAATAAGTCTACATTAAAATGAGGACCAAAGGAAATGACTACTTCTGAGATCATAGTTACTCATCTGGACTGCCTGTAATGATTAAGACGACCCCATCAATCCCTTTCAGTTGACCAACTTCTGCATTATGGGAGCAGCAAGGATTCTGAGCACATGAATGTTCAATCTCTTAGAAAAAAAACATGTCACCTTAGTACAGGTAGTCCTCAACTTAACAATAGTTCATTTAGTGACCATTCAAAGTTACAACAGCACTTTGTAAAAAACAGCTCATGACCATTTTTTCACAGACCTTTGCAGCAGCCCCATAATCATATGATCCAAATTCAGATCGCTTTGGCAACTGGTTCATATTTATGACCGTTGCTGTGTCCTGAGGTCATATGATCCCTTTTTGTGACCTCCTGACAAGCAAAATCAATGGAGAAGCCAGATTCACTTAACAACCGGGTTACTGACTTATCAACTTCAGTGATTCACTTAACAATTGTGGCAAGAAAGATTGTAAAATGGGGCAAAACTCTGTTAACAAATGTCTCACTTAATAACAGAAATTTTAGGCTCCATTGGACTACCTGTATAAACCAAAGGCATTTAATTGATTAGAGATCAATTATATAAAGTATATGTTTTGATTATATAAAGTATGTACAAAGAGAGCAAACCAATTCCCTTCTAGCACTGATTATTGTTACCTAATTTGATAATGAAATATCTACATGAAAACAACCAAGCTCAATGAGCACTAAAGACCTCACACTTCAGTTAGTATAAACCTTAGTGGTTGTGTTTCATTTATACTCTGGAAATGCAAATATTTCGATATTCAGCATATCTTGGTACTTGCAAAATACCGATAGAAGAGAATATTTGTAGCTCAGGGTTCAACTGTGGGGTCCTTGATGATGTTACCTAGTTTGATAATGAAATATCTACAAGAAAACTACCAAGTTCAGAGAGCACCAAGGACCCCACATGATTAGTCTTCAGGTTCTTAGTTAATTGAGTTACAGCACACATATTCCTGCATAAAAATGTTAATTGCCCAGTGGATACTCAAGTATGTTTGCTTCTTTTATATTTTTTCCAGCTTTATTCAGGGTGAGTGTTATTCAGCCTCATTATTCTGCAGAATATGGAAGCAACGTGACTATGGGATGTCGCTTTCCAACTGATAATTCCTTGAATCTGACACAACTGAATATCTTCTGGCAGCAAAAACTGTCAGACGAAGCCAAGGAAGTTTACAAGCTCCAAAATGGGCGCGAAGACCTGTCAGGGCAACACCAACATTTTCAAGGAAGAGCTACATTATTATATGAGGAATTGAAAAGGGGCTATTCTATGCTACATATCACCCATCTAAGGATCACAGATGCTGGATATTACCTTTGCGTTGTCAACTATCGTGAAGCTGATCACAAGTACATTGACTTGAAAATTGAAGGTTAGTAGCCATAGAATGTCACGGGCAAAAATCTAAATGATGTGCCATTATTTATCAGTGAGAATTTCAGAATATCCTTTTATATATTAAGACTACCTGTAGGAGAAAAGATGTATTAGTCTATGATGGCCAAAGAATTGATAAGAATTGTTAGCCTGGAAATTGCTATCCTGACTACTTCTGATTTTTAAAGACTTGGTATATTAATCCATTATGCAGATAGAATTGTATAAAAGTACATTATGGGCCCTCTTTGCTCTTTCTCTGCTGACTTCATACAGAGGCAAGATCTCAAGGGAGGGGCTCATTTATTTTAGAAGATCAGGTAGAGGGCCTACACAACCAGCCTTGGAAGAAACCTACCCAAGGAAGGCAATCTGGTTATGTTCCAACAAAGTGACACAGATGGCAGTGGTGGAATCAGGGTCATCTCCAGTCCTCCTCACACTCTTGCAATCACGGAGGGTGATAAATCTCATTATTGTCATCATTTGTTTCATAACAAATAAACAGATCGACTTTCTTCATATCTTCTCAATTATCCCTATGAATATCCATAGAAGAAGTGAGATTCTACTTCCTGCCTCCTATTTTTATGGCTTCGCAGAAATTTCCCTGGAAGGGAAGTTCTGAAGTTAGCTCTCCCCACCCCCAATCTTGAAAAAGACTTATATTTTATACTTGTAGCACTTTGCATTTTTTCCTTTATATCAGAAGGCTGAAACATTAATGAATACTTTACCTTTAACATGCAGATTTTAAAAAAATGCAGCTGGGAGCTTGTGTGTGAATTCATAACTATCAAAATGTAACAGGCAGCAAGAGAGATTTAAAACCTTTCTTCTTTTCTGTGGCCATGATAAAAATGGCTCCTTCTAAGCCTTTGTTATTGGAAGGAAAACTGCTAATAATACCATTGTAGTTTTCTCCCCAAACATTTTTTAAAGACTTGCACAGTGAATGAAAAAGCGCATTTAACAAAATCAACACAAGATATATTTCCTTGTATAATAAACACTTCTTTATTTCTTTTTATGTAGCGCCTTACAAGAGGATAAACATCCAAGAAAGAAAAGAAGAAGACAACCACATCTTAACTTGTCAGGCAGAAGGATACCCCCTGGCTGATGTTCTTTGGCTTTATGAAAACAGAATCAATGACACGATATATGCAAACACTACACATAAGCTGACAGACACAGGACTTTTCAACATAACCAGTGTCTTGAGAATCAAACCAAATGCTCCTGGAAATTACAGCTGCATATTCCAAAATAAGGAATTGAGGCAAACCTCAGCTCACAGAACAGTATTTCTAATAGGTAAAAAGAAAAATGCATTGATTATGTGGGAGTTTAATCCTGGCAGAAATGGAAAAGCTATTCCAACCATAAAAATGGGAAAGGATAAAAAGTGTTGTGTGAATAGATAGGGAAAACCGGCCTGCAGTATTGAAGATGCCCTAAGACAGAGGTCCCCAATCTTTGTGGCTTGGTGGCCTGGCTGGTGGGTGGAGGAGAAAACTGGTTGCACGAGTAGTAGGCCGGCATATGCTTCTGTGTGCACATGCAGCCCTTATACAAATGGTGGGCCAGCATGCAGCTCAACTTACATCAGCGGCAGGTTGGCGCACATGTGCGCGAATGCCCACCAGCCCACCGTTTGTGGGCGTGCAAGTTGAGCTGCACTCACATGTGCATCAGGGGTGGGTTCTACTTACCTTTACTACCAGTTCGCAACAGAATTGCGCAGATTACTTACGATGACGTCAGGGTCAGTGGGCGGAGCTTCCTGCCAGTTTTACTACTGGTTCTATAGAACCGGTCCGAACTGAGGGCAACCCACCACTAGTGTGCATGTGCTCTAAGCAGCCACTCATGGGGCCCAATTCCAAATAGGCCATGGTGTGGTAGTGGGTGTGGCGCAGGACTTGGGGACCCCCTGCCCTAGAAACATGTAGATGATCGCTAAGGAACCTAAATGTAAGGTAGCTGAAAGAAACAGTCTAAGATGCAATGGGTTAACATCTAGGAAGAATAATTGAACATGGCCGAGTCTGGAAAGAAAGCATGGGCAGAGAAGATGGGTGGTATTTTTTTCTTCTGAAACAAGTATAGGGAGGAATTACTCTAATCCAGTCTACCAATTACTTTGTCACTTTCTCTTAGAGCCACAGATTGGATTTGAGACATAATTGTAGCCTTAGGACTTCAGTGTAGGATTGATACATTTCAGATTCCAAAGAACTTCAATTTTTAAAAAAACATGCAAAATTTCAGTATTTGGGGTGACATCTAGAATGTCTCACAAGCTTGCTTAAATCAAGTAGAACACCAATTATGTTTCTGTGATGTATTTGTTATACATATCTTCCTATGAGCCACAAGTCCACTTCTCTTCTTAGTCTTGCCTTTCCTTATCTTTCATCTGAACAGTCATTACTACCATAGATGATTACTAAAATATTCTTTCATCTTAACAATCATTACTAAATGATTACTAAAATCTTCTCTCAAGTCTGTATGTAATTCAGGATTGCCATCCAAATGTATTGCAGATTTTTTTTCTGCATATTTGCATGTCGTTTTCAAAATGAATGTTTATTCAGGACTAAGAAAGGCATGATGTATTCCAGTTAAGGACAGATTATAAGCAAGGTAGAGTATGCCAGTTTCATGGCACCAGATAAGATAAGGGACCAGGTTAAAAACATTCTAGTCTTCCCTGAGGCACAAAAGAAGCTGAGGTACTCTCTTTCTCTCAGCTCTAGGAAGCAGGTGATAGCAAATCACTTCTGAAATCTTACCAAGGAAACCACAAACAGTTGTCAGGAGTCAACACTAACTTGAAGGCACAGGAGAAAAACCATCTGAAATAGAATGCAATGGGAAATACGCCTACCAACTTCCTCCCAAATTAAAAAAAAAAAATAGACAAATTGGATAGCCATGTTGTGAACAGGCAAGTCCTTATAGCAATCATGTTATAAAGCAGGGGTGTCAAACTCAAGGCCCAGGTGCCGGATCTGGCCTGCGGTGACACCCTAGAAACAGTAAAGGATTGGCCTGCAGTGCCTTTGCCAGTGAAAATGGAGCTCGGGAGGGCCGCATGCTCCGTTTTCACTGGCAGAGGGTGGCAGGAGGTTGTCGCAGCTGAAAATTGAACTCTGGAGCCGGTTTTCACTGGCAGAGCACTTGGGCCACCACAGATGCCCCTGACATGAGTGATGGCAAGCTGGCCATGCCCACCCTGGCCATGCCCCCCATGTCCCCAAGGTCAAATACAACCCTGATGCGGCCCTTAATGAAAACGAGTTTGATATCCCTGTTGTAAAGGGTCACATTTCTGTGATACATAAAGCATCTTGGAGTTAAAGAAAACCCCCATCTTGCCATGGTAAGGATTATGAAAACAGATGCATCTATCCAATTTTTTTTAGACCTAACAATAGAGAATCGGGTTTTGTAAAAAATCCCAACACATTGTATTTTCTTTTTTGCAGGTCAAAGAAATGGATCAGGCACTGGGAAAAATTCCATGATCTTGTTTATCCCAACAATTTTGTATAGTGCTATGATTTTATTTACTATCACTAAAATCTAAGGGGGGGAAATTAATACATTTGCACACCTAGAAAGGTAAGTATCTATTTGTTTTCCAATGAAATTGGAAATTTAACTTTGTTTGATATCTTAAGTATTTATTGCTTGGCAGTTATATAATACTAATGTATTTATGGGGAACCTTTAACCTTTAATTTATCAGCACATGGCTGTGTGATCATGTGTGAGTTTAGCAGCTAAGCAAGAAATTCTGGTTACTATTTGGATGGGAAATGAGCACTGTGGCTAGACTGTATAGTAGATACAGGGAAACTGTAGACAGGTGGCATGGCAATCCCAGTTCCATACTATTGCCAAGAAATGGGGTTTCCACAAAGTCACTAAAGATGAGCTTGATTTTTAATATACTAATTTTTGATTGATTGGGTTACATTTATTTGCTAACCTGATACTTTGATTTTTTTTCACATCTCTCCCTCCCTCCACCCGCTGTGTGTATGTACTATATATATATAACAAAATTTGTATTTACCCCGTTATTTCCGCTGTATAATTTTGACATGGCTGTTTTTGATAAAAGCAAGTTTGGCTCCTTTACTCTAAGGATTGAAAATGTCTATGCAAATGTGTGATCAGGCATGTAAAAAGCGAAAGTAATATTTTCTCTATCTCATTAAGCCTATATTGAATTTTGTTTTATACTATTTCCTGTTGCTGAACAGTCAAATCTGTATTGGAAATGAACTGAAGTGTTTTGGTTTGTGAAACAAAAGTTGAGAAATTTGAGAAGCTGGGCTTTCCCGATGAGGTATGAACTGTGGTTTGTACCACTGAGCCCATTTATTAGAAGTCTTAATGTTGGCATATCCATAGGAAAAGGTTGGCTAACCACAACTCAATATTTTTGGTGTAAATCTCTTTGTCTCCCTGCTGTTGGTTTTAGAAGAAGATCTGGAGCATCAAATCAAGAATAAAGTTTGATGACTGATGCAGATGGAGAAGCCTGAGCAAATACAAGAAGCAGTTCTTCTTTGTTGTTTGATCCTCCATTGATCCGATTCCTCCTCTTAGAAACTTCTTTAAGGAAGTTGGACGCTGTAATTAATGCTGATCTCTCTGGTTTTCGTATGTCCATTGATCATTCCAAATACTTGTGAAAAATGTGCAGGTTAGAGATTCGGGATTTGCTTATTTTCAAGACTCCCTGCAGCTTCCAGTTATAGCCTCATACAGAACAGGTGATATATACAGTAAGAAAACATTCTTCTTGTTGCAACACAAACTCCAGCCCTTATGGGCTTGTGTGTGATGTCATGATTTAAATAAAAAGGTAGGGCTTATCCTCTACTATTGCAATGAACATTTCCTTATGTTGGCACCTTTGTGGCTAGCTGCAGGTGCCTTTGGTCTGACTTCACATTTTTGCTATAGAAATGTTCTTTCTGAAAGCTAGCTCCACCATTGGTTATTGCACAGCAGCATCTCAATCAACAGATGATGAGGTCCTAGGAAACAGTTGTGTGGAATAGGGCTCCTCCCTTGTAAGACAACCTGATATTCTCAAGCATTAAGGAGAATGTTGTCCTGTTACTATTAAATTAAAATTTAGCTATTATTGTACAGTAGTTGGCTTCTGGATGGGTATGAAGAGTAGTGATTCCATTTTGTCCTGTCCGGTGCTCTTATGAAACATTGTAACTAACATTTTAAATATATTTATAAACTATTGTAATGTAGCATGTGCAAAGTATGAGTTACAAATCAGATAAGTGCCATTTCAAACCTTCTGCAACTATAGACAAGCTTCTTGTATGCTAATGTCATTCTGGATCTTTTCAATTATGATAAAAAAACTTTATTGTGGAGATGATGTTATGCTATAAATGCTACAAATATACAATCAATTGGAATAATCTCATAAGTGCCAAATGGTAATAACACTTGTTTTTACTTTTTGTTTAGTCTATTAAAGAATTATTATAGATAATCATTTCTAGGAAAAGTATCCTATTCAGTAGATTAGAATATTTAATAATGCATAGTTCAGATTAACGGGGATAATATTAGGTAGTTGAAAAGCGCTATGAATCTGAGGAAGATTAAAAGTAGCAAAAATGAATATTGCCTCAAGACTGATAATACATTAACCAGGATGGTTTTTGTTGATTCCACTGGATAGTTTAGACAAATTGATTATTGATTTAGTTCCCGTTGAATGGTAAATAGGATTTCCGTTTCAAACATATGAAAATAGAAGCTCTAACTTTCCTGACTGCAAATTATATAATTCAGTGTCTATAATGCATTCAGATGAAAATAATACTGAATAGATCTGGCTCATGGGCCATTTGGAAAGTCAAGCTTTGGAACTGTTGAAATCCTGTATATATATGTGGTTCCAACTATGCAGGTAGTCCTCAACATGTGAATATAATGAAGCCTGCCCATTATGGTTATATATTGTGATTGACAAGTTGTCATGTGACCGGTCCGATTTTACAACTTTTTTTCATGGTCATTAAATGAATATGACAGTAAGTAATAAGTGCAAACCCATTTTTCCGCCTATGGCACAGTCTTGCTGAAAACCAGAAGTGCCAGTTTTTCAGCAAAAATGTCATAAAATGTCACATGACTGGGGGTGTTAACCGTGCCATTTGGCACATTCAACAAAAGAAATCCCTGGCTCTTTAAGAGGGTAGCTTTTTTGAAAAATCCATCTAGGCATGGCAGAAGCAAAGACAGTTCTGGGATTTTCCTGCAAAAACCCACATGGGTAACTCCCCTTTTCCCCTCTGAATTATGAACTCACAGTTCATAATTGACCAACTGAGTTCAGTTCTTTTGCTTTGGGGAAAGCTGTTTGCTTCAATCAAAACATTCTTCATCATTTGGCCTTTTTAGATAATGTCCCTCCGGCAACAGACGGTTCATTTGTATTCCATAGCTTCCCAACACCCTTAGGAATTCACCACTCACCACCACACTTTGACAAAGCTGCAAGCGAAAGCAGGTACAGGCGACTATGGAGTCGAGTCAGGTTTGACAGTGGGATGCTATAAACAATTATAAATTCAGTTGTGTTACCAAACACCCAGAGTCATGTGATTGCAATTTCTGGCTTTTCTGCCAGTTTCTGGCAAGAATGCCCATTGGTGAAAATGGGTTTGCTTAATGACCATGGGGTTTGCTTAGCAATTGTTGCAAAAAAAAAAAAAAAAGTTGTAAAATCAGGCACTGTCATGTAGTAACCTACTTAACAATCGCCATGATTTATGACTGTAATTCCAGGCTTAATTACGGTTGTAAGTCAAGGGCTACTTGTAATTAAAGTCCTTGTTATATTCTCATTTTGTTCCAAATGCTTTGCCAGCCTCCAAAGGCCCTGATTTTTTAATATTATAGGTTTTGATCAAGAGTAAAATCATAGCTCAGTACCACCAATAGTCTAAAACGTTTACAAAAATAAATTTGGATAATATGAAAGAAAACTAGATTAGAGAATTCAAGTTTTCTTACTACAAAATCAGTGGTTTCAGGTCTTAATTTATGTAAAATATGTGTTTTATGATTAAAGCCCTCCCCCCCTTTTTAGGTTTACTGGACTTCCTAATGAATGCTTAAATAATTCTGGTTACTGTCCTTATGTTGCAGATAGAATGCACATGCTTTGATTCTATTCGTTAGAATTATTTTATTGGTTCTATGTTTTTAATGCAATGAACCAGAGTTTGGGGAGGAGGTTAAAGACATTGATGTGCAATTACTTTATATTTAAACAATCTGGAATTTTATTTTATTATTTATAAAATTTATTGGCTGCCTGTCTTACCATAGGATAACTCTGGGTGGCTTTCAGTTACATAAAATCTAAAACATAAAAAGTTAGAAACAAATATTAAAAGCAAAAGCACACATGGAGGAGGGGGTGGTGGAGGGGGGGGGGGGGAAGGTGGGATCTGTTATTACTCAATCAACCACCCCCACTGGAGCCCCAAGCCAACTGGCACAGCCACATCTTTAGGCCCATACGAAAAGATAGGAGGGTTGGGGCCCACCTCACATTGGTGGGCAAAATGTTCCAAAGGGCAGGAGCAACAGCAGAGAAAGCTTTCCTCCTGGATCCTGCCAGCAGGAATACTCGGCCCACATGAGTATTCGGGACCCACAGCAGGCCTCCTCTGCCAGCATGAGTGGTACAGGCCAATCCCAGTGGGGTGAGACGGTCCCTCAATTTATCCATTTATTAAGAGATTTGGCTCTATCGTGATTAAATAGTTGCCAAAAAGATTATGTGCTCATGGAAAGACACCTAAATACTAGATACAAAAAAGTGGATTAAAAAAATGTTTTTGGTTTTAAAAATGTAAACTATTCAATAAAAATTATTTTTTAAAAAAGTTAGCCTTTGAAACGGTTCTTTTATCACAAAAAAAAACAAAAAAACAGTGGATCATGTGGTTCTGTGGTTCTGTGGGCAAAGGTTCACAACTTGAGTTACAGTATTTTTTATACAGATCTAATTATTATACTTATAGCACTCTGGAATAACTCAAATTTTGTTTTTTTATAATATTTGGTTTTTATATTTTTTGTTGGATTTTTTTTTTAAGGTAAAAAGTTAGTGTTATAAGAAAAGCAATGAAATGTATTTAAAAAACCCAAACTTCCTGCTGTCTCTCAGCCTCAATCTTTCTCTCTGTATTTTGTACGCTTCAGTGAAAGTAAAACTAACTATAAAACCCTGGGACTTTCTAAATATGTCACGCATCCATTGCATGACTTGGACCTTGTGTTTGCTGATCAGATGAGCAGTCTGTTGAGTTTGCAGACCGTTGTATTTGTTTCATAAAATTTAATTCTGTTAGGGAGGTAGCCATGAACTTCTTCACATTATAGAAGAAATCACAAGGTAGCTGGAACCTTGTAACTTAACCCCTTCTTGGCAACTGCAGATGTGACAAATATATGAACAGGTATATTCCTGTAGAGTTTATCCACAAAGTCGGTTTGAGTAGGCGAAATGCTTCCCCTCTCATGTGGAATTTCATAGGTATACAAATGTATTCTAGTCTTCTAACCTAGTAATGTGCCAACTACTGCTCTCAGCAGTTTACAAGACAGTTTTAAGATTGAGGCATTAAACACTGTTTTAACTGAGCTTTTGATTTAAAAGACAAGCACCATTAATAATGAATAAATCCAGTTTTTCATGTGGCTCCTCGAAAAAATTAATTGCCCACCCCTGCTGCAGAGTGCAGCCACAGGGGCATTTTATATGCATTGTATATTTAAAAATCTTTTTGACTTTTTAAAATCATACCCCGCAGATACTTCTGGTGGCAACTGTAAGTGAAGCTCTTCAGATGATTCCAAGCAGCATGGAAGCTCAAATAATATTTGTACCATAGGTCATTGTTGAAATGAAGGGTCCTTGGTGCTGTGAGCTTGGTGGTTTTCTGCAGAAGTTTCATTACCCAAAACTAGGTAACATCGTCAGGGCTAGAAGGGAATGGGGTAGATAAATAAAGAGCAAACCCTACTCCCTTCTAGCCCTGATGATGTTATCTAGTTTAGAAATGAAATGTCTACAAGAAAGCAACTGAGCTTAGGACCCCATGCTTCAGTTAGTATAAATCTTGGCAGCTGGGTTAGTCTTGAGAAGAATAAAAAATGCCTCATTACATCTTTGTTGAAAAGGCTGCCTGCCTGTTCCTTTTTAGGCCGCCCACGCCTTTTGTTTATTCTAAACTTAAAGCCTTAAATGGCCTTAGATCCAGGCAGCCTGAGAGAAGCCTTTTTTTTCTCTTCTGCTGTATCAGCACTAGCTGAAGTTTGTAGTACAGAACGAAAGCAACCTGTACAAACATTGCTGGAGGGGAGTCAGGGGTTTTCAGCAGGTGCATTATTTTCATTATCTTCCAGAGGTGGATACATTGGACAAGTCAACCAAAGCTGGTAAAAGGTCATCCTAGCTTTGTCTTAAATCTGGTTAACAGACAGAGAGATTTGGATCCCAGAGCACTCCCAAAACTCAGCACTTGCTCTTTCTGTAAAAGGTACTCCCACTCAGGCTGATAGTGTTACCTTGCTGGAATTAAAGCCCTTCACAAGGAATATAATGACCATTTTAGCAGCATTTATTTTCAAGGTATTATTCCCCATGGATCCCTTTACCGATTTAAATTGGTCCCTAAATGATTTATCACTCCATCAATGGTTTTATAATTAACAACAGACGTGCCCGTAGGACAGAAGGTGGGTCGGAAAGAAAGTAGCATTGCTCTGGGATTTTTGTATGCCCGACATTACACAAACACAAGGAAGGGACAGAGCTCGTGGTGCCCGCAATTACTGATTAAGAGGGATTATGCTACTAAAAGAAAATATACTATTTGTATAACTGGCTTTTCCATTCTTTGATCCAGAATCTTTGAAAGGAAGTAATGAGCTGAGACAGCTGTAATGTTTTTGCTTTGAACTAAAGTTTATTTTCCAATATAAGATGTGGTACAGCTCCCCCTTGTGTTTTCTATTGTATTTGGATTACAAATCATTTTTGTTTAGAAATGATGAACACTCAATTTTAGTATGGAAATAAAGAGAATTATTTATTCAATCAAATTTTGTCTTATTGCTCACCACCCGTTTTTATTAACATATCTGATGTTCATTCAGTAAAGAATGTTCAAAGCTAACTAAAACATAGCATTATCATTGCAATATCTTGAATATTCCCATTTTATGTCTTGAAGCATGAGGCTCAACATGAATATCTCAAGATGGCTTTGATCAAAAAAAGCTTAAAAATAAGGAACTATTTTAGGGACTATTTTGTAATTTTTGGAGAAGTGGAGATAACAATTTTGAGTTCTCTACTGTAAAATCAAAAAAATAAAATCTTAAGTCTGATAGCTGATGATGAATTTTTATTGTTTGTATTTTACTGTATTGTGTTGTTTTGAGGGTTATGGAAAGTAAAGCCATGTACACATGTAGCAAGAGTAAAGGGGCATCTAGAGTAAGAAAGTCACACATTTAATTTGAGATTAACAAATACATACTGTAATAAATAAAGCTACTACTTCTAGTAATTTTCTTGACTACATTTATGTGTAGCAGGTGTTCCCATTTCTAAAGATACTAAAAGCCTTGGGAAAAAAAAGACAAGCATTGTCTATTTTTGCACAAGAAAAATGGAAATGGCTGTCAACAAAATATATAATGTTCTTATTGTTACAAATATTGCTACTCTCTAGAAAATATTATTTAAAAGTATTTTTACTGATCCATGCAGAAATGTAATATCCAGAATGTAAAGGGGAAAAAACATTATTTTCAACACAGCTATTAAAATAAGTATGTGCTACTTTGATTTTGCAGTAAAAATGCAGGCCCATGGGAGAAAATAACCAAGTGCCAACTCTGAGTACATTACAAAAAGAAACTGGCTGCATACTATAACTACAGTGAATTATCTCCAGCTGGCATGAGCTGTCATTTCTAATTGCAAGTTTAATATGCGTACTGTGCTTACAAACTTCTTTGAGATCACATTTGGTGCTTATATATTGCAGAATATAATCTGTGTTACGAATGAAGGCAAATATTCTGTGTTTGCCCTAGAGGTTCTACATCTTATTAATAAAAACAACTGGAAAATCTCAGAAGAAATGGGATCCTGCTCATTAGAAATGATCAATTATCTCTTATTTCATCATCTATAGCATCCCCAGATAAGAGGCACTCTGCTCTACTTCTGTTCTAGTATTAAAGCACTGGGCCAGCAACTAGGACTGAGTTTTAATCTTGCCTTAAGCATGAAAGCCAACTGGATGTCTTTGGGCCAGTCATTCCCTAGGAAGAAGGCAAACCAATTATTTTTGACAAGAAAGTGGCATGGATTAGTCCAATTAGCCGCCAAGAATCAAAACGTATGGAAGGAAAAAAAGCAAACAAAATATTTGTAAAACCTACTCAATTGTTTAATGAAGATGGTTTGGAAAAATGTAGATCAGCATATCTAGAAGGCAACTCAATAGGAAAAACTGCACTAATGCAATCTATTGTGTTTTGAGCTGCTTTTAAAGAAAGTTTCAAACTCAAAATGCAATAAAATGTGCATAAGACACTCATGCTTCCTGCATGATGGCTGGAGCAGAAAATCATAAAGCTCCCTTGAAAAAAATGAATTGTTAAAAGTTATTTATTAATACTGTGCAACATCTGTTTATTGTTTTTAAGCAAAGGCTTTTGATAGTATTAAGTATGAATTGAAATTTCTGCTTGGAAAAAAAAACCCTGAAACCCAGATGGTTGTTACTTCCCAGAGACAGTATGTTCACTCAAGCTATTTCAAGCATAGTTTAATGCTAACTGTGCCAATAAGTGCAATCATAATAATCTTTTGAATTTTATATTTAATCATGAAATCAGAATAATTAAGGGATTGAAACCTAATTTTCTATTTAGAATAGTAAATTCAGATTTGAGTAAGTCTTTGAGTACAGATATAACTCCACTATTTGCAAATACAGCATTTCCAATTTATACTGGTAAAATCAATGCATGATTATAATGTTTCTTTGGTAAATATTTGCACCTCAAGCATTTCTAATGTAAATATATCCTAACAGTACAGTCTCCAAATCACTCTTGCTCTCACACACGTTTTATTTAGTTTTGTTGTTTCTAAGGTCTTTCACAGGAAATTTTTTCACAGGAAAAAAAACAAACCAAGGTTTTCTTTTCTGCTTGAACCAACACAAACCTATGTTCTTATACAGTTCAACAGATGAATCAAGCCTCCTCCAAATTATAAGATGGCTACTTTGTTATATGAAAGAATCCTTTGCATTTGAATGCCTCTATTAGTAAAAAAACCCTCAAATATCTTTACAGCAAGCAGCGAAGGAGTAGAAACTCTGTAACTGAAAATCTGCCCTAAAGGTAAAGGTTCCCCTCACAAATATGTGCTAGTCGTTCCTGACTCTAGAGGGCGGTGCTCATCTCCGTTTCAAAGCCGAAGACTCAGCACTGTCTGAAGATGTCTCCGTGGTCATGTGGCCGGTATGACTAAACGCCAAAGGCCCATGGAATACTGTTACCTTCCCACCAAAGGTCCCTATTTTTCTACTTGCATTTTTTACGTGATTTCGAACTGCTAGGTTGGAAGAAACTGGGACAAGTAACCGGAGCTTACCCCGTTATATGGCACTAGGGATTCGAACCGCTGAACTACCAACCTTTCGATTGCAAGCTCAGCATCTTAGCCATTGAGCCACTGTGTCCCTTTTAAATCTGCTTTAGGTGCAGGTTCATGTTTCAATTTCAAAACGAACGTCTAAACTAATTAAACTGGTCACTAGATGTGTTAATCACGGAGAGATAGGGAGGGGAACTTAAATTACAAGACGCACCTGCCTTTGTGGTAGGAGATTATTTACAGGTATTTATCACATGGCACATTCACATCACATTTTGGTAAAAAAAACACAGATAAAAATACAGCATACGAAATATAAAATGTGATAGGGAAGCCCTGACGAAATACAGGTAGTCCTCGATTTACAACAGTTCACTTAGTGATCGAAGTTACAACGGTACTGAAAAAAGTTATGACCATTTATCACATTTATTACCGTTTATTTAGCAGCAACCCCAGGGTCACCTGATTTACAATTGGCTGTTTGACAACTGGTTCACATCCCGGGATCACGTTCTGCAACCCTCTGACACGCAAAGTCAATGGGGAAACCAAGTTTTTTTGTTTTTTTAATTTGATTTATATGCCGCCCTTCTCCGGAGACTCAGGGCGACTTACAATGCGCTAAGCAATAGCCTTCATCCTTTTGTATATTTATACAAAGTCATCTTATTGCCCCCACAAACTGGGTCCTCAATTTACCCACCTTAGAAAGGATGGAAGGCTGAGTCAACCTTGAGCCTGGCGAGATTCGAACCTGCCGTAATTGCAGGCAGCTGATCTTAATAACAGGGTGCTTTAGACCACTGTACTACCAAGGCTCCTTAACACGGTTGTTAAGGTCGTACAATGGGGCAAGCCGCGCTTAACAAATTTTTCACTTAGGAACATAAATTTTGAGCTCAATTGCCATAAATTGAGGAGTACCTGTACTGTACATGTACATTTTGGACTGACGGCTTCAGAACGATATCTTGCCGATAAGAACACGAAAAGTGCGCGTCTGCCTAACTCCTTGGGCATCATCGTGGAGGAAGAGAGCCGACTCTGCATCCCGGGAAAGCCAAATGAAAAACCGAGACCCCTCTTCTCCCCCTCCCCCCCCCCGCACGCCTCGATCTCGCCGACCGCTCTGGGGACCGCCATCCAATCCGCAAAATGGAGAAGTCCTCCACTGCACAGGAAATGGGAGGGGGAGGGGGAAGGATTTTCGTCCGTTCTAGCCTTTCTCGGTGGTTCTTCCGCAGATCTCAAAACGTCACCTCCGGTTG